TTTTTGCATCACCTATTAATATATATATATATCTATTATATGTATTTCATGTATTCGCTTTTATCGTTTGTTTTTCTTCGGAAAATCTACGTTTGTGAATATGTTTGGTGTGTGTGTTGTAACCATGTTTTGTCTTTGTTCAAAGAACAATGTCGGACATGGAAATGGATCTTTTGTCCAGCACCACTGCTGCGCCTGTCAGAAGTTTTTGTCTTCTCAGGATCCTCACGATCGTTGCAGGGTCCCTTGCGAGGACACCCGGTGCACCCAGTGTGAGGGTCTGGGGCCGGAGGACTTTGCACGATACAGGCGCTACGTGCGCTCTGCTATCACCCCTGAGGTGACCGGTTCGTCTGGTCGGGCAGCCCTTGCGGGCATACTCCCGTTATCGACTAAGGCCCGTGTAGCCATGGTGTATGACCTCTTTGAGGACATGCCACGGCCCCAGCCGGTACCCCAGGGAATCCACGGCTCTGTGGGTTCCTCCAAGGTTTTCGATAAGTCCGCCAACAAGGCTTGTCTCACGTCAACTTTGTCTTTGGAGAAAGCCTTCGCCACGGCCTCCAGTCGGGGACTCCCGTTACCTCCTCCATCATGGAGAAAGGGTTCGTTCCCGGTGCATGACCTGGCCTTCCCTGAGGCGGGTCCCAAGGCGGAGGCCCATGTGGAGAGGTTGGGTGTCCGGGCCCCACCTTCTGCTACAGTCACTCAAGCGACTTTACAGCAAATGGACGCCCTCTCTCGGCACTTCCCCCACGGACCGAGACCAGCGCATTTATAACTGTTTGATCGGTTTGAATGCAACCCTTGAGTATGTTGCCAGGGCTTCGGCCTTTCTTTCCGGCACGTGCCATTTCTTGAGGCGCCACCAACCAAGAGGTGCTCCTTTCGCAACCTTGGTTCAACAATCAACTCCCGTTGTTTGTATCACCAGTCCCGGACCCGAGGGCCATCGATCACGATGCTCTCGCGTTAGACTGGACGGGCATGGACGCTTATGCTTACCCGCCGACGGCGTTAATACCACTCATTCTAAGCCGGCTCCGAGGAGTTCGCTGTCGAATGTTACTGATCGCGGCCATGTGGCTGAACAGATCGTGGTACCCCGACTTGCTGGCCCAGGTCACGCAGTGGCCACTTCCACTGCCTGTGAGACCGGATCTCCTGATCCACCCTCACACCTGTCAGCTTCATCCAAACGCAGGGCAGTTCAATCTGCACGCGTGGATGTTGTCACCGAGCGTCTGAGGATTAAAAGTTTTTCTCGTAGGGTGTCTCGGGCATACGTTAGTATGCATCGTGATTCTACCCAGAAGGTGTATAATGCACGTTGGGCTATTTTCACGAAGTTGTGTTGTAAACATCACATTCATTCGCCAGATAAGGTATCTGTGCAGGTTATTGCTCGTTTCATGTCTCACTTACGAGAGACACGGAAACTCTCCGGGGGTTCCATTGCCAACTATGTCTTCTCCGTTGCCGGTGATTCGGGGTATTATCAAGGGTTTCCAGCAGCAAGATCTTAAAAAGGGCGGCTTTCGGGCACCAGCCTGGGATCTCTACTTAGTGTTTCAATCACTTACGGAGGCTCCGTATGAACACTTGAGTAGTGCTTCGTTTCGGCATGTGACTTGGAAAACAGCATTTCTCCTCTCCTTTGCCACGGCGGCACGAATGTCAGAAATACACACACTCGATGTCACCAATGTACGATTCGATAGGGGCGACGAAGGAGCGGTCCGCCTGGGCCTGCTCATGGGCTTCGTCGCTAAGAATCAGAAATTTGGCCAAATGGAGAGAGAATTCACTGTAAGATCACTCATAGAAATCTTACATCCTGCTGATACTGAGGACAGATCGCTGTGTCCAGTTAGGGCCCTTAAGTATTATCTTAAGGCTTTGAATGAACGCAGACAAGGGCATGACTGTCTGTTCATATCGTGTAACCCTAATCGAACTGCTGACATTACTCGCAACTCGATTGCGTTATGGCTTCGTTCTGTCATCAATCTGGCGTACCGGTCTTGGGGGTTACCAGTTGCGGGGTCAAACCCGCACGAGATTAGGGCCCTAGCGGCAACATTTGCCCTACACTCCAATATATCTGTTCACAGAATATTGCGAGGTTGTTACTGGAGTTCTGACTCGGTTTGGGCCAATCATTACCTCAGAAAGGTCTCTGATGAAGACGTGGAGGGTGTGCACCGTCTTGGGCCGCTGATCGCGGCACAAGCGGTCATCTAAGGGGTGTGCCCAGCGCAATTCGGAACTCCTCAGGCTTCAGACATTGCACGGTGGTCAATCTGGGTCCCGCAAGACAGCGGATGAGCGCGGCTTTCTGTGTGTTTCTTTATTTGGATTTGACAATTATGTACTTAATTGTCTGTCGTGTATTGCAACCTTGTAATGCATGCTTTCCAATATTGAATTTAGGTCACGCGCCTATTACATACGCTTAAGTAGGCTTGTTCTTGGGATATACGGTCCGAATGAAATTAATTTCCCTCTTTTCGACTGTTTAACCTGATCTTAGATTTAGCTCACACGGATACTGTGTTCTCATCCGCTGCGGTGATGAAATACCTATCCAGTGGGGCTGTTTGGAGTCACCAACCGTTTGGCAATAACGATTGAGCCTTATGCTTGGTATCCCTATATGGTAACGCCAAGCTGGGAGCATGCGCATCGAGTGCTTCCGCCTTGTTGTATACTATTGCTGGTCCGAAGGAACACGAGCAGTCAGGTTTTGGGTTGAAGGTGCTCCCCACCCCTACTGTGGTAGTCAGCCTCGGTATAACAGTGGTAACGTATTACTTAATGTAATTTGTAGAATTTTCCTATCAAGGATATTCTATAAGTAATGTGTTACCACTGGGCTGCTGCCCGCCCGTCCGTCCCCCGAGCACTTGCTCTCACAAGAGACAAGAGTGAAGGGTGTCACATGGCAGCTAGGTGGCTACGCATGTGCTGCATGAGGTGATTAAGATCTCTGTGGAAGATTTCGCTATAAGAGCAGTTGATGGGGACAGTGGTAAAGTATTACTTATAGAATATTCCGAAAAGGAAAATTCTACAAAACAATGAATACCTTTTTATAATCAGATAGTATAATAACTGGATTAAATTGGGTTCTTCATTTCGGACTTGTTGACTGGTATTTCTGGTGTGACGTAATCGCGGTGATCAGCTGATAATGTTTTATCGTGTCATTGGAAAACTTGAGTTTATTAAAAATGTAAGTAAAATTTGGGAGCCATGCTTTACCGTATGCTATAACCGAGTTAGCGCTATATTAATGAGCGCAATAGCGAAGGGAACACTGTATTTGTGTTCAAATCTTTACACCAAGAACTAAAAGAGCATTCCCACTGTTTAAAGTGCATCTGTGTCTGTATGAATGAATGTCTGTGTGAAGACTGTAGTCTTACATTGCATCTGTGACTGAATGAAGGAATGTCTGTGTGAAGACTGTAGTCTTACAGTGCATCTGTGTCTGAATGAAGGAATGTGTGTGTGAAGACTGTAGTCTTACAGTGCATCTGTGTCTGAATGAAGGAATGTGTGTGTGAAGACCGTAGTCTTACAGTGCATCTGTGTCTGAATGAAGGAATGTCTGTGTGAAGACTATAGTCTTACAGTGCATCTGTGTCTGAATGAAGGAATGTCTGTGTGAAGACTGTAGTCTTACAGTGCATCTGTGACTGAATGAAGGAATGTCTGTGTGAAGACTATAGTCTTACAGTGCATCTGTGTCTGAATGAATGAATGTCTGTGTGAAGACTGTAGTCTTACAGTGCATCTGTGTCTGAATGAAGGAATGTCTGTGTGAAGACTGTAGTCTTACAGTGTATCTGTGACTGAATGAAGGAATGTCTGTGTGAAGACTGTAGTCTTACAGTGCATCTGTGTCTGAATGAAGGAATGTCTGTGTGAAGACTGTATTCTTACAGTGCATCTGTGTCTGAATGAAGGAATGTCTATGTGAAGACTGTATTCTTACATTGCATCTGTGACTGAATGAAGGAATGTCAGTGTGAAGACTGTAGTCTTACAGTGCATCTGTGTCTGAATGAAGGAATGTCTGTGTGAAGACTATAGTCTTACAGTGCATCTGTGTCTGAATGAAGGAATGTGTGTGTGAGGACCGTAGTCTTACAGTGCATCTGTGTCTGAATGAAGGAATGTCTGTGTGAAGACTATAGTCTTACAGTGCATCTGTGTCTGAATGAAGGAATGTCTGTGTGAAGACTGTAGTCTTACAGTGCATCTGTGACTGAATGAAGGAATGTCTGTGTGAAGACTGTATTCTTACAGTGCATCTGTGTCTGAATGAATGAATGTCTGTGTGAAGACTGTAGTCTTACAGTGCATCTGTGTCTGAATGAAGGAATGTCTGTGTGAAGACCGTAGTCTTACAGTGCATCTGTGTCTGTGTGAATGAATGTCTGTGTGAAGACTGTATTCTTACAGTGCATCTGTGTCTGAATGAATGAATATCTGTGTGAAGACCGTAGTCTTACAGTGCATCTGTGTCTGTGTGAATGAATGTCTGTGTGAAGACTATAGTCTTACAGTGCATCTGTGTCTGAATGAAGGAATGTCTGTGTGAAGACTATAGTCTTACAGTGCATCTGTGTCTGTGTGAATGAATGTCTGTGTGAAGACTATAGTCTTACAGTGCATCTGTGTCTGAATGAAGGAATGTCTGTGTGAAGACTATAGTCTTACAGTGCATCTGTGTCTGTGTGAATGAATGTCTGTGTGAAGACTGTAGTCTTACAGTGCATCTGTGTCTGAATGAATGAATATCTGTGTGAAGACCGTAGTCTTACAGGGCATATGTGTCTGAATGAAGGAATGTGTGTGAAGACTAGTCTTACAGTGCATCTGTGTCTGAATGAAGGAATGTCTGTGTGAAGACCGTAGTCTTACAGTGCATCTGTGTCTGAATGAAGGAATGTTTGTGTGAAGACTGTAATCCCTACACACTTTCTTCACAGAATCAGTCAGATTCCAAAGTCCGCCTGGCAGGTTATGGTCTGGAGCTGGCCATCAAGAGCACGGAGTACAAGGCCAAGGACGACACCAAAGTGGAAGGTAGGCTGGGGAATCAGTATCAGTGTTAAATTCCGGTCCCGGAGAATACCATTATAAACTTGATAGAATCACCAGCAGGGCTTTCTAAACCAATCACTAATAGGATTAGACTGTACACAGCCCCTAATATCAAGTCAGTAGTGTTATACTGGTAAGAAGACTGCCTCGGTGGTCTAGTGGTACAATATCTGCCCGTAGGGGGGAAGGTCGGGAGTTCGTTTCTCGGCTGTGTCATACCAAAAGACGTTAAAAGATGGTACTTGTTGTTACCCTGCCTGGCAATCGGCAATAAGGGGCTAAAACGAGGACTGGTCGGCTAAGAGTCAGTATACTGTGTCTGAGTGGGGTATTCATTGTATCTCAGTGGGCTAGCAATATAGAATCAGCATTAGTCCGGACTAGTACAAACAGCCACACATCAGGTTAAACCCCATTTCAACTCGCCTAAACTTGTAAGATTTAGCTACTGAAATGACACATGTAATTGTGTTTATATGCTTAATGCTGCTTGTGTTGTTTGTGTGTATATGTTGTCGTGATATGTGTCCTTGTGATGTGTCTAATGTGTGTCCTGTTTCTGTAAGCCTCGGGAGTTCATGTGTCGCATGCAGGTATGTATTTATGTATTTATGTATGTATGCTGGTGGCTGGATCTCCCAAATCACCTCTCAGTACTGCCAGTAGTAGAACACACCCTCTAGCAAATGTCTAGACAGACACTTCTTGCTGAAGTAACCCACAGGATCTCAGTATTCTACATATGCCCAAGCTATACACAATGTAATCTGTCAAATAGCATGGGGCAAGCGCCCTTGTGACTCAGGAACAGAATGTGTCCTTGTGACTCAGGAACAGAATGTGTCCTCGTGACTCAGGAACAGAATGTGTCCTCATGACTCAGGAACAGAATGTCTCCTTGGGACTCAGGAACAGAATGTCTCCTTGGGACTCAGGAACAGAATGTCTCCTTGGGACTCAGGAACAGAATGTCTCCTTGGGACTCAGGAACAGAATGTCTCTTTGGGACTCAGGAACAGAATGTCTCCTTGGGACTCAGGAACAGAATGTGCCCTTAGGACTCAGGAACAGAATGTGTCCTTGGGACTCAGGAACAGAATGTGTCCTTGGGACTCAGGAACAGAATGTGCCCTTAGGACTCAGGAACAGAATGTGCCCTTAGGACTCAGGAACAGAATGTGCCCTTGGGACTCAGGAACAGAATGTCTCCTTGGGACCCAGGAACAGAATGTGTCCTTGGGACTCAGGAACAGAATGTCTCCTTGGGACCCAGGAACAGAATGTCTCCTTGGGACCCAGGAACAGAATGTGTCCTTGGGACTCAGGAACAGAATGTCTCCTTGGGACTCAGGAACAGAATGTCTCCTTGGGACCCAGGAACAGAATGTGCCCTTGGGACCCAGGAACAGAATGTCTCCTTGGGACCCAGGAACAGAATGTGTCCTTGGGACTCAGGAACAGAATGTCTCCTTGGGACTCAGGAACAGAATGTCTCCTTGGGACCCAGGAACAGAATGTCTCCTTTGGACTCAGGAACAGAATGTCTCCTTGGGACCCAGGAACAGAATGTCTCCTTGGGACCCAGGAACAGAATGTCTCCTTGGGACCCAGGAACAGAATGTCTCCTTGGGACCCAGGAACAGAATGTCTCCTTGGGACCCAGGAACAGAATGTGTCCTTGGGACTCAGGAACAGAATGTCTCCTTGGGACTCAGGAACAGAATGTCTCCTTGGGACTCAGGAACAGAATGTGCCCTTGGGACCCAGGAACAGAATGTCTCCTTGGGACTCAGGAACAGAATGTCTCCTTGGGACCCAGGAACAGAATGTCTCCTTGGGACCCAGGAACAGAATGTCTCCTTGGGACCCAGGAACAGAATGTGTCCTTGGGACTCAGGAACAGAATGTCTCCTTGGGACTCAGGAACAGAATGTCTCCTTGGGACTCAGGAACAGAATGTCTCCTTGGGACTCAGGAACAGAATGTGCCCTTGGGACCTCTAAGATGAAAGATGGGGAACGGGTGGTTGTAGTGTATGGCCATTGGCCACCACTGATTTTGTGTATCTTTGCTCCCATTGTTTTTAAATGTTTAATGTTAGCAGATTTTCCTCTGCTGGTTTGGGGAATATCATGTTTAGTCCACCCTTGATACCCTCCTACCCTCTTCACTATGTGTTACTAGGGATGTCTAGATTCTGGTATTTCTGTGGTTGCTTTTATTTAGAAATGTTTTTTCATTAATACCATGCATAACAGGAAGAGTTTTTCTTCAAATCCTCAGTGTTTATATTTTTTCATGCTGTGATATGCTATTCATTGATATCTTTTTGCACGTTATTTATATCATTCCCCCAGTGGCTTGTGCATTGTGTATACCACATTTACCAGGTAACATCACACGCTGGACAGAGCTACAGGTACCTTGCATATATCCCTAAACTACGTGGTGCGGAATTACCTAGTGTAGTTTTTTCAGCTTGGGTACCCAAATATTGTTATTTACTTTCTTTGTTTGTTGTATAACACTGCACACAGCAAAATTCCGACAGTCTATAAATAATTATGTCTGGACTACTTGTCCATCATGTCACATGGTGGGTGCCACAGTGTACTACTTGTCCATCATGTCACATGGTGGGTGCCACAGTGTACTACTTGTCCATCATGTCACATGGTGGGTGCCACAGTGTACTACTTGTCAATCATGTCACATGGTGGGTGCCACAGTGTACTACTTGTCCATCATGTCACATGGTGGGTGCCACAGTGTTCTACTTGTCCATCATATCACATGGTGGGTGCCACAGTGTACTACTTGTCCATCATGTCACATGGTGGGTGCCACAGTGTACTACTTGTCCATCATGTCACATGGTGGGTGCCACAGTGTACTACTTGTCCATCATGTCACATGGTGGGTGCCACAGTGTACTACTTGTCCATCATGTCACATGGTTGGTGCCACAGTGTACTACTTGTCCATCATGTCACATGGTGGGTGCCACAGTGTTCTACTTGTCCATCATGTCACATGGTGGGTGCCACAGTGTTCTACTTGTCCATCATGTCACATGGTGGGTGCCACAGTGTACTACTTGTCCATCATGTCACATGGTGGGTGCCACAGTGTTCTACTTGTCCATCATGTCACATGGTGGGTGCCACAGTGTTCTACTTGTCCATCATGTCACATGGTGGGTGCCACAGTGTACTACTTGTCCATCATGTCACATGGTGGGTGCCACAGTGTACTACTTGTCCATCATGTCACATGGTGGGTGCCACAGTGTTCTACTTGTCCATCATGTCACATGGTGGGTGCCACAGTGTACTACTTGTCCATCATGTCACATGGTGGGTGCCACAGTTTACTACTTGTCCATCATGTCACATGGTGGGTGCCACAGTGTACTACTTGTCCATCATGTCACATGGTGGGTGCCACAGTGTTCTACTTGTCCATCATGTCACATGGTGGGTGCCACAGTGTACTACTTGTCCATCATGTCACATGGTGGGTGCCACAGTGTACTACTTGTCCATCATGTCACATGGTGGGTGCCACAGTGTACTACTTGTCCATCATGTCACATGGTGGGTGCCACAGTGTACTACTTGTCCATCATGTCACATGGTGGGTGCCACAGTGTTCTACTTGTCCATCATGTCACATGGTGGGTGCCACAGTGTACTACTTGTCCATCATGTCACATGGTGGGTGCCACAGTGTTCTACTTGTCCATCATGTCACATGGTGGGTGCCACAGTGATTCTGCAGTAACCATGGTAACCGACTAATGGTGTTTCTACACAGGCCATGCTGGGGGTGAAAGCAGCCATGCAGAGGATGAGGAGGAGGATGTACAGGGCTTCATCTTCAACAAACTCAAGTGAGTCAAAGCACAAGCAGACGTTAAGGACAATTATTTTGGGAAAGATATCTTGTTTTGTTGATTGGAGTTGAGTATGGGATGAGGCTAAATGTCTCTCTGAAATGTTTTTCTTCTTTGGTTAAATGCTAAAACCAAAATTGTGGAATGTGGAAACAAGTTTCTCTATTTTAGTGATCAGACCTATTGTATCATTGGACAATGGATTATTGTCTTGATTGGACAAAAGGATCAGTCTCATTGTGATGTATTCGGGACATCTATGAAGTACTGAACAATGTTTGGTGCATGGTGCACCACACATGCACAGTGAACCTGACAGACTTACTTTAGTAAGACAAATTATCATTCAATCCCAGTACCCCTTTGTAATGAATGTTGGTCAACATTATGCTAAAACGTTGTCCCTTCCTAAACAGTCATGGAAGATGCGGTTTAAATTGACTTATTCCTCCAGACCTGCTTCAGTATAAAGCATAAACTAGTTCATAATGCCTCTATGTCCTGTTATTATTGTGAACTGGTATATGTGTTGATGACATCACAAATGACCATTGCTTTATATATTAAGTTCTGTTTCAACAGAAAATTGCACCCAGAATTGACAGACAATCTGAAGGAATTTCGGGACCATCTGATTGACTCGAATGTAGAGTTAGCTCCCCTTGATGTTTGGCAGTTGCAGGGTGAGTGGTGTTTAGCTGCAACACATGTGATATGAACTGTACTGCCAACCTCTAATCACATTGAAATAGCCAAAGAGCTATCAACTAGGTATCATCAGCAAGCTGAGATAGATCCATTCTCCCACAAGGGTTCTAGTTATATAGAGGATTAACAACTGTGTTCGGTTGTTACCGAAAAATCTACACACGAGTGATTAATCTGTTACGATTAGAACGAGGCTTTGCCGAGTTCTAATTGTGGCAGATTAATCACGAGTGTGTAGATTTTTCGGTAACAACCGAACACAGTGGTTAATCCTTTTTCTCCCATAACAATACGCCATAAAAATCAACTCGTAGTTGAAGATTTCCAGTGTTTAGTAACCACTCGGGATTCCCCCCAGCCTCGTTTTCGAATATGCTCAGTGAGACAACTGCACCAAAAACAGGTAAAAAGGATCTAGCAAAGACAACCCACACGAGTTTTCCCGTGACAGGGAAGCCACTTGTTAGCATTCATGTTATATTTTTTGTTAACTAGTAAAAGCTGATGGGAGTAACGGTTTGAGAATTAGTAATGTGATTTGATATTTGTTAATTGTTTTGGATTACTCGGCCCATAACTTTATTTGCTTAAGTCTCATCGTGACTATCATTCTCAATGCGCAACACTAAATAGGCCCACCTTTTTAGTGTGTGTAAATATGTTATTTGTTTATTTGTTGGCTAGAAACAAATGTTATTAACCCAATTAAGAGGAAATTAAATATTGTCTTAAATATTGTGAAATATTGTTAACGAAAAACAAGGGCCCAAGGAACTGTCAGCAGGACTGATCAGGCAAGATTCTATAAATACCAACTCAGGCAACTAATCAGCTGATTAAATCTTCCCAAATCCATCAATGGATTGTAATATTTTTGGACGAATTTTCCTCTTTAAAACTAATTTTACAGTGAATAATTTAATATGTAAAATGATGATTATTTCATGTCGTCTTTTTTTTGTTGTTTTTTTGTTCCTGAACATAGTGAGCACATGTGTTTTTATTAAAAATAAAAAAATAAAAACTTATTCAGTGGACAATTTTTCTTTTGAACATAATATTTAACATCATGACACCAAAAATGTTACTAAATGAGTCATCTAATTTCCCCATATTTGTGAATAAATAGAATGTGAATTTGACAAGCACAATAATTTATTGTGTGTGAAACATAAATACATAGGATATATGTAAACAATAACAATAACAGTTACCTCCAAACTTTATTCTTTTGTTATTTTATCAGATTAGAAGTTAAGACTTACTGATAATAGGTAATTTAAAATTAACATTTTCTTCTTTTTATCTTCATGAAAACAAGACATAATAATGAATTTGTATTTTAGTGACCTGTTCATATGTGATTTTTTTTGTAAATAGTATTAAAATTAAAATTAGACATTGCTAAAGTAAAGAAATGAGGTTTATGGTAAAATGTTATAAGAGGACCTCTTGTTGGTCATTTCTACATCACCCATAAATTTGAGTTTTTCTTTACTTACTATGTTCTGAAAATTTACACATTAGAATAATTTAAGGTCTCTGATTAAAAAAAGTGACACAGCTTTCTACTCCCAGGCAGCCAATTAGATTATGTGAAAAAAATATACCACTGTAAACCTTGTAATGGGAGAATAATAAATAAAAATACATTTCTTATTTTGTCATATGTCCAGTTTATCATCCCAAGAAATGCTAAATAATTATCATTAAAATTAAGCTAGCTATGCATTTTGGGGCAATTGCATTATTAAAGAAGTGTTTCTTTCAGTAAACATGGTAAATAATTTATCTTTGGTTTAAAGAATATACTTGAGACAAACATAATTCTACATGTCGAATACTCTGTATTGTCTGTTAATTCTGAAAATAATTAACTGTGATATAGAGTTTCTACCTAAAACTAATAATATGAAATTAATTTTGAGATTATTTCATCTTATCTAAAATACAAAATATATTTTAAGATGCATAAATGTACATCATTGATGAAAAAAAAGGAATATTGTCTTTATCTTCATCATTTTGTCGGCTCCCTATAAGAAATCAAAATAGTTAAGAAAAAATATAAATACATCTATTACTTTCTTTAGTTTATATAGATTTAGGTATGACTTAATACATTCAAGTTTAAACGGGGTAATGTTGTTTTTTCATAATGAGTTTCTTAATTGTCCTGAGATAGTATGTTTAAATAATTTAAGTCTTCATGTTTAAAAAACACCAAATAATCATAGGCCAAAATACATTAATTATATTGATCTGGATAAACTCCACCTGTTGAAAGGGGAAACAACTGCTGTGGTTGCAAAACATCTTGGAATGGTCCGTCCGGCAAAGATTGATCGTTTCCTGCATTAAAATTGAGTATTGCTTTAGATCCAAATTATCTGAGTGTTTATTTTCTTAAAATATAAATTTAAGTCTCGATTATTTTAATATAACTTCGAAATATGTATTTGATCGATCGGCTCTAGATCAACACTTCGTTATAACGTGACATTTCTTACGTGGATAATAGTTATTTTAAAAAACAAAAAAACAACAATATGGTTTGTTTCACTATTTCATCGGTATTTTTAGATGAATTTATTAACTGTTTCATTAGCTTTGTTATTAGCCTTGAAAACGCCCAGTAAAGAATGTACCGGATTTGCTCACCTGGTCCCGTAATATCGATGTGGTATCTCCCTTCAGTTACCGTCTTCTCATTCTGCAACTGAATCTGGTACATTGGGAAGCTGAAATTCTCTGATATATCTCCACATATCACACCCCATCTTCCCCCACAAGTTTTCTCTCAGGCACTAACTTTTGGAGATGGAAACATCGTCTCCACGGTAATGTTTTGCCAGCTGGGGATTTCCTGTACTAGACGACCTCGGGTATCCCCGATTCGAAAATAGTGCCGTCAGTTGTTTTTAGCCAGCCAATCAAAACGTGATGACACAACTCTCCACTCTCAGCCAGCCAATCAGATTGGGTGAAAAAAAATAAACCACTGCGAATAAACCACTGCTGGCGATTGAAGATCAAGCCCTGTTATGGGAGAAACTCAGTGATCACCCTTGTGGGTAGCTTGTTTATGCAGGAGGGAAGAAAGTTACAAAGATTTCATTAAGTTACTACATTTGGAAACAAATATAGTAGTTGTGGGTATTTAGTTTCTAAGTAAAACCAATATAATTGTTAAATGGTATGATGTGAGTAATGGTGTTGTGTCTGTATGATGTGAGTAATGGTGTTGTGACTGTATGATGTGAGTCATGGTGTTGTGTCTGTATGATGTGAGTAATTGTGTTGTGTCTGTATGATTTGAGTAATAGTGTATGTCTGTATGGTGTGAGTAATGGTGTTGTGTCTGTATGATGTGAGTAATGGTGTTGTGTCTGTATGATGTGAGTAATGGTGTATGTCTGTATGATGTGAGTAATGGTGTTGTGTCTGTATGATGTGAGTAATAGTGTTGTGTCTGTATGATATGAGTAATGGTGTTGTGGCTGTATGATGTGAGTAATGGTGTTGTGTCTGTATGATGTGAGTAATGGTGTATATCTGTATGATGTGAGTAATTGTGTTGTGTCTGTATGATGTGAGTAATGGTGTTGTGTCTGTATGATGTGAGTAATAGTGTTGTGTCTGTATGATGTGAGTAATGGTGTTGTCTGTATGATGTGAGTAATGGTGTTGTTTCTGTATGATGTGAGTAATGGTGTTGTGTCTGTATGATGTGAGTAATGGTGTTGTGTCTGTATGATGTGAGTAATGGTGTATGTCTGTATGATGTGAGCAATGGTGTTGTGTCTGTATGATGTGAGTAATAGTGTTGTGTCTGTATGATGAGAGTAATTGTGTTGTGTCTGTATGATGTGAGTAATGGTGTTGTGTCTGTATGATGTGAGTAATAGTGTTGTGTCTGTATGATGTGAGTGGGATGTGTTGTGTCTGTATGATTTGAGTAATGGTGTATGTCTGTATGATGTGAGTAATTGTGTTGTGTCTGTATGATTTGAGTAATGGTGTATGTCTGTATGATGTGAGTAATAGTGTTGTGTCTGTATGATGTGAGTAATGGTGTATGTCTGTATGATGTGAGTAATGGTGTTGTGTCTGTATGATGTGTGTAATGGTGTTATGTCTGTATGATGTGAGTAATGGTGTTGTGTCTGTATGATGTGAGTAATAGTGTTGTGTCTGTATGATGTGAGTAATGGTGTTGTGTCTGTATGATGTGAGTAATGGTGTTGTGTCTGTATGATGTGAGTAATTGTGTTGTGTCTGTATGATGTGAGTAATGGTGTTGTGTCTGTATGATGTGAGTAATGGTGTATGTCTGTATGATGTGAGTAATGGTGTTGTGTCTGTATGATGTGAGTAATTGTGTTGTGTCTGTATGATGTGAGTAATTGTGTTGTGTCTGTATGATTTGAGTAATGGTGTATGTCTGTATGATGTGAGTAATAGTGTTGTGTCTGTATGATGTGAGAAATGGTGTTGTGTCTGTATGATTTGAGTAATGGTGTACGTCTGTATGATGTGTGTAATTGTGTTGTGTCTGTATGATTTGAGTAATGGTGTATGTCTGTATGATGTGAGTAATGGTGTTGTGTCTGTATGATGTGAGTAATGGTGTTGTGTCTGTATGATGTGAGTAATGGTGTTGTGTCTGTATGATGTGAGTAATGGTGTATGTCTGTATGATGTGAGTAATGGTGTTGTGTCTGTATGATGTGAGAAATGGTGTTGTGTCTGTATGATGTGAGTAATGGTGTTGTGTCTGTATGATGTGAGTAATGGTGTTGTGTCTGTATGATGTGAGTAATGGTGTTGTGTCTGTATGATGTGAGTAATGGTGTTGTGTCTGTATGATGCGAGTGGGATGTGTTGAGTCTACAGTTGTTAAAGGTGTTGTGACAATAGGATGTGGTTGTGTTGCAGACCTCAGTCTACAGGCGGCACAGCGGGTGTTGTCAGCTCCAACAGAGGATGCCCTCCGTATGCTTGTGGACATCAGCCAAAACTTCCCCTCACAGGCTCGGTAACTGACTCCATTAAACTTACCATTATATAACAGCAGGGGAATACCTCCAGGATGTAACATAAGATGTACAGCAGGGGAATACCTCCAGGATGTAACATAAGATGTATGGCAGTGGAATACCTCCAGGATGTAACATAAGATGTACAGCAGGGGAATACCTCCAGGATGTAACATAAGATGTATGGCAGGGGAATACCTCCAGGATGTAACATAAGATGTACAGCAGGGGAATACCTCCAGGATGTAACATAAGATGTACAGCAGGGGAATACATCCAGAATGTAACATAAGATGTACAGCAGGGGAATACCTCCAGAATGTAACATAAGATTTACAGCAGGGGAATACATCCAGAATGTAACATAAGATGTACAGCAGGGGAATACATCCAGGATGTAACATAAGATGTACAGCAGGGGAATACATCCAAAATGTAATATAAGATGTACAGCAGGGGAATACATCCAGAATGTAACATAAGATGTACAGCAGGGGAATACCTCCAGGATGTAACATAAGATGTACAGCAGGGGAATACATCCAGAATGTAACATAAGATTTACAGCAGGGGAATACCTCCAGAATGTAACATAAGATGTACAGCAGGAGAATACATCCAGAATGTAACATAAGATGTACAGCAGGGGAATACATCCAGAATGTAACATAAGATGTATGGCAAGGGAATACATCCAGGATGTAACATAAGATGTATGGCAGGGGAATACCTCCAGGATGTAACATAAGATGTATGGCAGGGGAATACCTCCAGGATGTAACATAAGATGTACAGCAGGGGAATACCTCCAGGATGTAACATAAGATGTACAGCAGGGGAATACATGCAGAATGTAACATTAGATGTATGGCAGGGGAATACCTCTAGGACATAACATAAGATGTACAGCAGCGGAATACCTCCAGGATGTAACATTAGATGTATGGCAGGGGGATACATCCAGGACGTAACATAAGATGTACAGCAAGGGAATACCTCCAGGATGTAACATAAGATGTACAGCAGGGGAATACATCCAGGATGTAACATAAGATGTATGGCAGGGGGATACCTCCAGGATGTAACATAAGATGTATGGCAAGGGAATACCTCCAGGATGTAACATAAGATATATAGCTGGGGAATACATTCAGGATGTAATATAAGATGTATTGCAGGGGAATACCCCCAGGATGTAACATAAGATGTACAGCAGGGGAATACCTCCAGGATGTAACATAAGATGTACAGCAGGGGAATACCTCCAGGATGTAACATAAGATGTACAGCAGGGGAATACCTCCAGGATGTAACATAAGAAGTACAGCAGGGGAATACATCCAGAATGTAACATAAGATGTACAGCAGGGGAATACCTCCAGGATGTAACATAAGATGTACAGCAGGGGAATACCTCCAGGATTTAACATAAGATGTATGGCAGGGGGATACCTCCAGGATGTAACATAAGATATATAGCTGGGGAATACATTCAGGATGTAATATAAGATGTATGGCAGGGGAATACCCCCAGGATGTAACATAAGATGTACAGCAGGGGAATACCTCCAGGATGTAACATAAGATGTATGGCAGGGGGATACCTCCAGGATGTAACATAAGATGTATGGCAGGGGAATACCTCCAGGATGTATCATAAGATGTATGGCAGGGGAATACATCCAGGATGTATCATAAGATGTATGGCAGTGGAATACATCCAGTATGTAACATAAGATGTATGGAAGGGGAATACATCCAGTATGTAACATAAGATGTATGGCAAAGGAATACCTCCAGGATGTAACATAAGATGTATTGTAGGGGGATACCTCCAGTATGTAACATAAGATGAATGGCAGGGGAATACATCCAGGATGTCACAGTAGATGTACAGCAGGGGAATACCCCCAGGATGTAACATAAGATGTACAGCAGGGGAATACCTCCAGGATGTAACATAAGATGTACAGCAGGGGAATACCTCCAGGATGTAACATAAGATGTATGGCAAGGGAATACATCCAGGATGTAACATAAGATGTATGGCAGGGGAATACATCAGGGATGTAACATAAGATGTACAGCAGGGGAATACATCCAGGATGTAACATAATATGTATGGCAGGGGAATACCTCCAGGATGTAACATAAGATGTATGGCAGGGGAATACATCAGGGATGTAACATAAGATGTATGGCAGGGGAATACCTCCAGGATGTAACATAAGATGTATGGCAGGGGAATACATCAGGGATGTAACATAAGATGTACAGCAGGGGAATACCTCCAGGATGTAACATAAGATGTATGGCAAGGGAATACATCCAGGATGTAACATAAGATGTATGGCAGGGGAATACATCCAGGATGTAACATAAGATGTACAGCAGGGGAATACATCCAGGATGTAACATAATATGTATGGCAGGGGAATACATCCAGGATGTAACATAAGATGTATGGCAAGGGAATACATCCAGGATGTAACATAAGATGTATGGCAGGGGAATACATCCAGGATGTAACATAAGATGTACAGCAGGGGAATACCTCCAGGATGTAACATAAGATGTATGGCAGGGGAATACATCAGGGATGTAACATAAGATGTACAGCAGGGGAATACATCCAGGATGTAACATAATATGTATGGCAGGGGAATACATCCAGGATGTAACATAAGATGTATGGCAAGGGAATACATCCAGGATGTAACATAAGATGTACAGCAGGGGAATACCTCCAGGATGTAACATAAGATGTATGGCAGGGGAATACCTCCAGGATGTATCATAAGATGTATGGCAGGGGAATACCTCCAGGATGTATCATAAGATGTATGGCAGGGGAATACCTCCAGGATGTAACATAAGATGTATGGCAGGGGAATACCTCCAGGATGTAACATAAGATGTACAGCAGGGGAATACCTCCAGGATGTAACATAAGATGTATGGCAGGGGAATACCTCCAGGATGTAACATAAGATGTATGGCAGGGGAATACCTCCAGGATGTATCATAAGATGTATGGCAGGGGAATACATCCAGGATGTATCATAAGATGTATGGCAGGGGAATACCTCCAGGATGTAACATAAGATGTACAGCAGGGGAATACCTCCAGGATGTAACATAATATGTATGGCAGGGGAATACCTCCAGGATGTAACATAAGATGTATGGCAGGGGAATACCTCCAGGATGTATCATAAGATGTATGGCAGGGGAATACATCCAGGATGTATCATAAGATGTATGGCAGGGGAATACATCCAGTATGTAACATAAGATGTATGGCAGGGGAATACATCCAGTATGTAACATAAGATGTATGGCAAAGGAATACCTCCAGGATGTAACATAAGATGTATTGTAGGGGGATACCTCCAGTATGTAACATAAGATGAATGGCAGGGGAATACATCCAGGATGTCACAGTAGATGTACAGCAGGGGAATACCCCCAGGATGTAACATAAGATGTACAGCAGGGGAATACCTCCAGGATGTAACATAAGATGTACAGCAGGGGAATACCTCCAGGATGTAACATAAGATGTATGGCAAGGGAATACATCCAGGATGTAACATAAGATGTATGGCAGGGGAATACATCAGGGATGTAACATAAGATGTACAGCAGGGGAATACATCCAGGATGTAACATAATATGTATGGCAGGGGAATACCTCCAGGATGTAACATAAGATGTATGGCAGGGGAATACCTCCAGGATGTATCATAAGATGTATGGCAGGGGAATACCTCCAGGATGTATCATAAGATGTATGGCAGTGGAATACATCCAGTATGTAACATAAGATGTATGGAAGGGGAATACATCCAGTATGTAACATAAGATGTATGGCAAAGGAATACCTCCAGGATGTAACATAAGATGTATTGTAGGGGGATACCTCCAGTATGTAACATAAGATGAATGGCAGGGGAATACATCCAGGATGTCACAGTAGATGTGCAGCAGGGGAATACCCCCAGGATGTAACATAAGATGTACAGCAGGGGAATACCTCCAGGATGTAACATAAGATGTACAGCAGGGGAATACCTCCAGGATGTAACATAAGATGTATGGCAAGGGAATACATCCAGGATGTAACATAAGATGTATGGCAGGGGAATACATCAGGGATGTAACATAAGATGTACAGCAGGGGAATACATCCAGGATGTAACATAAGATTTATGGCAGGGGAATACATCCAGGATGTAACATAAGATGTATGGCAGGGGGATACCTCCGGGATGTAACATAAGATATATAGCTGGGGAATACCTCCAGGATGTAACATAAGATGTATGGCAGGGGGATACCTCCAGGATGTAACATAAGATATATAGCTGGGGAATACATCCAGGATGTAATATAAGATATATAGCAGGGGAATACCCCCAGGATGTAACATAAGATGTACAGCAGGGGAATACATCCAGGATGTAACATAAGATATATAGCAGGGGAATACGTCCAGGATGTAACATAAGATATATAGCATGTTCATGTGTCATGTTGTGTGGTAACAGATCCCTTGTGAAGACCACTGTTGACAACAATTTGAAGAAGGAAATTCAGAAAAACCAGCAGGTTGGTGAAATGAAACTTATAGAGTACAGTGCATGACTTAGCTGTAATGCTTGTGTGCCTTTGTGGAGTATTACAGCTGTAACCCATTGCTTTGTGAAGTATCACAGCTGTAACACATTGCTGTGTGGAGTATTACAGCTGTTAAACATCGTTGTGTGGAGTATTACAGCTGTAACACATTGCTGTTTGGAGTATTACAGCTGTAACACATTGCTGTGTGGAGTATTACAGCTGTAACACATTGTTGTGTGGAGTATTACAGCTGTAACACATTGCTATGTGGGGTATTACAGAGCTGTAACACATTGTTGTGTGGAGTATTACAGCTGTAACACATTGCTGTGTGGAGTATTACAGCTGTAACCCATTGCTGTGTGGAGTATCACAGCTGTAACACATTGTTGTGTGGAGTATCACAGCTGTAACACATTGCTGTGTGGAGTATCACAGCTGTAACACATTGCTGTGTGGAGTATTACAGGTGTAACACATTGTTGTGTGGAGTATTACAGCTGCAACACATTGTTCTGTGGAGTATTACAGCTGTAACACATTGCTTCGTGGAGTATCACAGCTGTAACACATTGCTGTGTGGAGTATTACAGGTATAACACAATGTTGTGTGGAGTATTACAGCTGTAACACATTGCTGTGTGGGGTATTACAGAGCTGTAGCACATTGTTGTGTGGAGTATTACAGCTGTAACACATTGCTGTGTGGGGTATTACAGAGCTGTAACCCATTGCTGTGTGGAGTATCACAGCTGTAACACATTGTTGTGTGGAGTATTACAGCTGTAACACATTGCTGTGTGGGGTATTACAGAGCTGTAACACATTGCTGTGTGGGGTATTACAGAGCTGTAACACATTGCTGTGTGGGGTATTACATGTGTAACCCATTGCTGTGTGGGGTATTACAGAGCTGTAACACATTGTTGTGTGGAGTATCACAGCTGTAACTAATTGTTGTGTGGAGTATTACAGCTGTAACACATTGCTGTGTGGAGTATTACAGCTGTAACACATTGCTGTGTGGAGTATTACAGCTGTAACACATTGCTGTGTGGAGTATTACAGAGCTGTAACACATTGTTGTGTAGTGTATTACAGCTGTAACACATTGTTATGTGGAGTATTACAGCTGTAACACATTGCTGTGTGAAGTATTACAGAGCCTGTACTGCCCAAATAGGCTGTCACAGGCCTATATTTAGGATACCATGCAGTCCCTTATCATGTACTGATCCACACCATGCCATTCATTATTATTTGAACCTTGTACTGTAACGTTTTGATGTAATAGATTTAATGCCATAACATTATTGTGCAGAACTTTGAGGCTGACCACTCCCTGCTGCCTGGTGACTCTGCTCTGTATCTGAACGGGCTGCCGGTGGACCTGGAGATCTATGACATCTTCTCCCTCCTCGAGGTCATGAGGTCAGAGGCCAGGGTCCTGGAGGGTCTCCACTCACTAGGATTCAAGGTCAGTGGGCGGATATGTTTTTTTATGTTAGCTCATCTGAAAGTCAAGTATATGTCTTATGCCTTAATTATTTCAGTCATATTTTTTTATGTGAACATTATCCTTTAATTCATTGTACTAATTATGTATATGATTTGTGAAGCGGTTCCAGCAATGCTGTAGCATCATGTTAAAGTGTAGTGACATGTACATTGCCTACAGGGCGAGACCCTGCATCGTCTCCTCAACACTGACCTGAAAGGTGGAGAAGACAAGAGCTACGCCCTGGACATCCGGCATGGTGCTATACAGGTACACACAGCACAACATTGTACTTTACAGTATCAGGAGTACTCACGTCTTGAAAAGAAGCAGTTATTACCTGATTTTGTTCAGTGGGGATTCCATAGTAGGACTGATGGATTGGGGTGGGGTTTTCAGGGGGTTGGTCAGGCTAGGCTGACTGTGTGCCATCGTACCCTGTCTGCATGGGACGTTGCTCATGATATGAATCACTGGTTTGTCTGGTCAAGATCTTACAGTTTTTCTGAGTGTGGTGTTAAAAAAACAAAATAAAACAACTACAAATTGTTCCATTTGTATATGAATAATAATGCACAACTGTATGTCCCTGTATGTTGCAGTACTGTATGTCCCTGTATGTTGCAGTACTGTATGTCCCTGTATGTTGCAGTACTGTATGTCCCTGTATGTGGCAGTTCTGTATGTTGCAATACTGTATGTCCCTGTATGTGGCAGTACTGTATGTCCCTGTATGTTGCAGTACTGTATGTCCCTGTATGTTGCAGTACTGTATGTCCCTGTATGTGGCAGTTCTGTATGTTGCAATACTGTATGTCCCTGTATGTTGCAGTACTGTATGTCCCTGTATGTTGCAGTACTGTATGTCCCTGTATGTTGCAGTACTGTATGTCCCTGTATGTTGCAGTACTGTATGTCCCTGTATGTTGCAGTACTGTATGTCCCTGTATGTTGCAGTACTGTATGTCCCTGTATGTGGCAGTTCTGTATGTTGCAGTACTGTATGTCCCTGTATGTTGCAGTACTGTATGTCCCTGTATGTTGCAGTACTGTATGTCCCTGTATGTTGCAGTACTGTATGTCCCTGTATGTGGCAGTTCTGTATGTTGCAGTACTGTATGTCCCTGTATGTTGCAGTACTGTATGTCCCTGTATGTTGCAGTTCTGTAGTACTGTATGTGGCAGTACTGTATGTCCCTGTATGTTGCAGTACTGTATGTCCCTGTATGTTGCAGTACTGTATGTCCCTGTATGTTGCAGTACTGTATGTCCCTGTATGTGGCAGTACCGTATGTCCCTGTATGTGACAGTACTGTATGTCCCTGTATGTGGCAGTTCTGTATGTCCATCTTTGTTGCAGTACTGTATGTCCCTGTATGTTGCAGTACTGTATGTCCCTGTATGTTGCAGTACTGTATGTTGCAGTACTGTATGTCCCTGTAAGTGGCAGTTCTGTATGTCCCTGTATGTTGAAGTACTGTATGTCCCTGTATGTTGCAGTACTGTATGTCCCTGTATGTTGCAGTACTGTATGTTCATGTATGTTGCAGTACTGTATGTCCCTGTATGTGGCAGTTCTGTATGTTGCAATACTGTATGTCCCTGTATGTGGCAGTACTGTGTGTCCCTGTATGTGGCAGTTCTGTATGTTGCAATACTGTATGTCCCTGTATGTGGCAGTACTGTATGTCCCTGTATGTTGCAGTACTGTATGTCCCTGTATGTGGCAGTTATGTATGTCCCTGTATGTTGCAGTACTGTATGTCCCTGTATGTGGCAGTTCTGTATGTGGGAGTACTTTATGTCCCTGTATGTTGCAATACTGTATGTCCCTGTATGTGGCAGTTCTGTATGTCCCTGTATGTTGCAGTACTGTATGTCCCTGTATGTGGCAGTACTGTATGTCCCTGTATGTTGCAGTACTGTATGTCCCTGTATGTTGCAATACTGTATGTCCCTGTATGTGGCAGTACTGTATGTCCCTGTATGTGGCAGTTCTGTATGTCCCTGTATGTGGCAGTACTGTATGTCCCTGTATGTTGCAGTACTGTATGTCCCTGTATGTGGCAGTACTGTATGGCCCTGTATGTTGCAGTACTGTATGGCCCTGTATGTTGCAGTACTGTATGGCCCTGTATGTTGCAGTACTGTATGACCCTGTATGTTGCAGTACCTCAACGACCTGGAGAAGGACAAGGAATACAAGGGATGGCCGGGCAGCATCCAGGACATTCTACGGCCCACCTTCCCTGGCATGCTCAGACATCTTCGAAAGAACATCTTCCATCTTGTTAGTATATGATGTCAATGATTATTAAGTTCAATCTTCGAATGTTTTTCATTATTATGAAACTGTCAGATGTTTCTGAACAGAATAGCCAATACACTTGTTTCGAGCTGCACACATCTAGCTGCAACTTAAAAAAAAGGTCTTGACTTAGCATACAAAACATGCACCAGTGCAACCTATTATTGAAAAATTCAACCAAATACTTTTGTCTATGTGCGTATAATAAAGCCACAAAATCAAACATGTCATGAATAACAAGAGGCACCAGCTCCACATTTGTCTAAATTTTATGCAAACTTTCACAATAGTAACAGCTTATGAGTTAAGCACCAGACTATAAGCCTACCCTCTTTCGAACACAAGTCAGATGTTGCCTTGGAAACACAAACATTGAAAACTTGATAAAAAGAAACAACGAAAGTTGCAAGTTCACTACCTAATGTGTACCAGCTTGTGAGGTGTTCTCCACTAATTAACCCAACCTTCATGTCCCTGCTACTTTGAAAATGCAAAAAGTACCAACATTAACAAAAAGACTGAACAGAAAAGAGCACTGTCAGCACTGTATTGGTGTGTGTATACAAAGCCCCAGAAACAAACCCCTACCTTTTATTAACCTCCTGTTAATCTTAAAGTATATACGCTGGTTCAACCATCACAATGAAGAGACTTCGAAGAGTGACATTAGAAACAGTTTTGGAAAAGAAAAGTTAATGCAAAACAGTGCCTGCCAGGAATAAACACTGGATCATAGGGTCTGACAATAAATACAGAAATGACACTAACTCATGTTGTTCCATCATGCTGGCATGTTGCAGTAATATTACTAAAAACGATGTAAAACATACTCACTCCATCCCTCTACAATAGTCAATGAAGAGCTTGTAAAATATACTCAGGAGTTTTCTTGCCACGAGTGGTTGAAAGAAGTACATGTCTTCCTCTCGTTGTAGTGTCTCACAGAAATGTGGGATCATTTATACAGCACATTTCACGTTAAAGCAAAACATAGAAACACACTTTGAACAAATTGGCAATGCATGTATTTATGATAATCCCATAGTCAAATATTATCCCCACCAAAGACTCTATAATGACTATGATGTAGAACAACATTCTCTCCCTAACTTGCACCATTCATTCTTGTATTATAAACAATCTGTAATTCTGAGTGTTGAGTTGGCTATTGTTTATGACACATTTTCAGAATAAAAGATGTAAGTCTACCAGGTAGGACACCTGTCTGTGTTGACAGGTTACTGTTTCTCTGCCGCTACCTCAGAATGGTAAGAATGTTGATACAGGTCACTTCTTGGTACTGTGGCATCTTGTGTAACTCTGCTTGGAATGTTTCAGGTTTTTATTGTGGATCCAGCTGATCCCACGAGTAAGGAACTTATCAAAATGGCCGAGGCTTTCTATGTACACAAGGCCCCCATAAGGTGAGACAGGACATAAGCTTTCCTAATTAAAGTATAATGCTCCACTGTGTCAGTGAAACTAAGCTCCTGGTATGTACAAATGTACTTCTAATTGGAATATGACTTGAATTAAATGCTTTTGCCAAGTCCCCTTTCTAACAATGCAACAACATGTATTGAATCCAGCCTCAAGCTATATTTTAAGTTGATGTGTTGAGTTTGTGAATGTTTACAGCATAGTCAACAGTATTCCAGGTATAGTATTGTGGCCTATAGATAATTGAGTTGGGAATATCAACCAGTGGTTGATAGCAAGAGCAACTGCATATGCCCCCGCTGGGATATGATAACACACAGTCAGCCACGGTACCGGTGTACTAAGCCATCTTAGCACTAAGGTGATCGTAACTCCCATACCTTTACATAAACTTGCGGCAGTTGTAGCGCTAAGGTTGTTTTGTACAAGGACACCCATGTCACAGGTTGCAGACACCCATAGCTTCTTGTTGGTCGGCAGTTGCTACAAGAATGAGGTGCTGGGAACATGTCATGTCAATAGATCCATACAGGGGCTGATGCAATATTGCAGATGGCGACGAGGACTCCTCCTTTGAAGGTTCAGTGTTCCAAGGCACTACCTATATGTATTTTGTGTTCTAGGCTGGGGATTGTTCTTGTCAGCAGCAGTGATGACAGTGTCAATGGGAATTCTGATGCCAGCGTGGCGTTTGCTCGTGCCTTCAACTTCATCCAGATCGATGACAGTGTGCCCCGAGCTGTGTCATTCATTACAGATGTGAGTGTAGATAGATATATGTCAGTCCTTGTGCTTCACAAGCCATTCTCAGTCATTGTGCCACTGCTGTTACATACGTTGATATGCAAGAGTTGCAGCAGTACAATGACTTGATGGAACATGGCCCAGATGGATTGAAGGTGGATGTCCTAATTGAAGGTAGATATCCATATTCAAGGTATATATCCTGGTTGAAGGTAGATATCGTGATTGAAGGTAAATAACCAGCTGGAAGGTAGATATCCATATTCAAGGTATATATCCTGGTTGAAGGTAGATATCCTTGTTGAAGATAGATATCCAGTTTGAAGGTAGATAACCAGCTGGAAGGTAGGTATCCATATTCAAGGTATATATCCTGGTTGAAGGTAGATATCGTGATTGAAGGTAGATAACCAGCTGGAAGGTAGGTATCCATATTCAAGGTATATATCCTTGTTGAAGATAGATATCCAGTTTGAAGGTAGATAACCAGCTGGAAGGTAGGTATCCATATTCAAGGTATATATCCTGGTTGAAGGTAGATATCGTGATTGAAGGTAGATAACCAGCTGGAAGGTAGCTATCCATATTCAAGGTATATATCCTGGTTGAAGGTAGATATCGTGATTGAAGGTAGATAACCAGCTGGAAGGTAGGTATCCATATTCAAGGTATATATCCTGGTTGAAGGTAGATATCGTGATTGAAGGTAGATAACCAGCTGGAAGGTAGATATCCATATTCAAGGTATATATCCTGGTTGAAGGTAGATATCGTGATTGAAGGTAGATAACCAGCTGGAAGGTAGCTATCCATATTCAAGGTATATATCCTGGTTGAAGGTAGATATCCAGTTTGAAGGTAGATAACCAGCTGGAAGGTAGGTATCCATATTCAAGGTATATATCCTGGTTGAAGGTAGATATCCAGTTTGAAATGTTAAAAGGTATGGGGTATGTTACATCTCTGACAACATTTTCCCACTGTTACACGAGAAGATGGGCAGTATTGTAGTACTTGGTGTTGTAGGTGTATGAGAAGATGGGCAGTATTGTAGTACTTGGTGTTGTAGGTGTATGAGAAGATGGGCAGTATTGTAGTACTTGGTGTTGTAGGTGTATGAGAAGATGGGCAGTATTGTAGTACTTGGTGTTGCAGGTGTATGAGAAGATGGGCAGTATTGTAGTACTTGGTGTTGTAGGTGTATGAGAAGATGGGCAGTATTGTAGTACTTGGTGTTGCAGGTGTATGAGAAGATGGGCAGTATTGTAGTACTTGGTGTTGTAGGTGTATGAGAAGATGGGCAGTATTGTAGTACTTGGTGTTGTAGGTGTATGAGAAGATGGGCAGTATTCTAATACTTGGTGTTGTAGGTGTATGAGAAGATGGGCAGTATTGTAGTACTTGGTGTTAAAGGTGTATGAGAAGATAGGCAGTATTCTAATACTTGGTGTTGTAGGTGTATGAGAAGATGGGCAGTATTCTAATACTTGGTGTTGTAGGTGTATGAGAAGATGGGCAGTATTGTAGTACTTGGTGTTGAAGGTGTATGAGAAGATGGGCAGTATTCTAATACTTGGTGTTGTAGGTGTATGAGAAGATGGGCAGTATTGTAGTACTTGGTGTTAAAGGTGTATGAGAAGATAGGCAGTATTCTAATACTTGGTGTTGTAGGTGTATGAGAAGATGGGCAGTATTCTAATACTTGGTGTTGTAGGTGTATGAGAAGATGGGCAGTATTGTAGTACTTGGTGTTAAAGGTGTATGAGAAGATGGGCAGTATTCTAATACTTGGTGTTAAAGGTGTATGAGAAGATGGCCAGTATTCTAATACTTGGTGTTGAAGGTGTATGAGAAGATGGGCAGTATTCTAATACTTGGTGTTAAAGGTGTATGAGAAGATGGGCAGTATTGTAGTACTTCGTGTTGAAGGTGTATGAGAAGATGGGCAGTATTGTAGTACTTGGTGTTGAAGGTGTATGAGAAGATGGGCAGTATTGTAGTACTTGGTGTTGTAGGTGTATGAGAAGATGGGCAGTATTGTAGTACTTGGTGTTGAAGGTGTATGAGAAGATGGGCAGTATTGTAGTACTTGGTGTTGAAGGTGTATGAGAAGATGGGCAGTATTGTAGTACTAGGTGTTGAAGGTGTATGAGAAGATAGGCAGTATTGTAGTACTTGGTGTTGAAGGTGTATGAGAAGATGGGCAGTATTGTAGTACTTGGTGTTGAAGGTGTATGAGAAGATGGGCAGTATTGTAGTACTTGGTGTTGAAGGTGTATGAGAAGATGGGCAGTATTGTAGTACTTGGTGTTGAAGGTGTATGAGAAGATGGGCAGTATTCTAATACTTGGTGTTGTAGGTGTATGAGAAGATGGGCAGTATTCTAATACTTGGTGTTGAAGGTGTATGAGAAGATGGGCAGTATTCTAATACTTGGTGTTGAAGGTGTATGAGAAGATAGGCAGTATTGTAGTGCTTGGTGTTGTAGGTGTATGAGAAGATGGGCAGTATTGTAGTACTTGGTGTTGAAGCTGTATGAGAAGATAGGCAGTATTGTAGTGCTTGGTGTTGTAGGTGTATGAGAAGATGGGCAGTATTCTATTACTTGGTGTTGAAGGTGTATGAGAAGATAGGCAGTATTGTAGTGCTTGGTGTTGAAGGTGTATGAGAAGATGGGCAGTATTGTAGTGCTTGGTGTTGTAGGTGTATGAGAAGATGGGCAGTTGTGTAGTACTTGGTGTTGAAGGTGTATGAGAAGATGGGCAGTATTGTAGTACTTGGTGTTGTAGGTGTATGAGAAGATGGGAAGTACTGTAGTACTTGGTGTTGAAGGTGTATGAGAAGATAGGCAGTATTGTAGTGCTTGGTGTTGAAGGTGTATGAGAAGATGGGCAGTATTCTAATACTAGGTGTTGAAGGTGTATGAGAAGATAGGCAGTATTGTAGTGCTTGGTGTTGAAGGTGTATGAGAAGATGGGCAGTATTGTAGTACTTGGTGTTGCAGGTGTATGAGAAGATGGGCACTATTGTAGTGCTTGGTGTTGTAGGTGTATGAGAAGATGGGCAGTAGTGTAGTACTTGGTGTTGAAGGTGTATGGGAAGATAGGCAGTATTGTAGTACTTGGTGTTGTAGGTGTATGAGAAGATGGGCAGTACTGTAGTACTTGGTGTTGAAGGTGTATGAGAAGATGGGCAGTATTGTAGTACTTGGTGTTGAAGGTGTATGAGAAGATGGGCAGTATTCTAATACTTGGTGTTGAAGGTGTATGAGAAGATGGGCAGTATTGTAGTACTTGGTGTTGTAGGTGTATGAGAAGATGGGCAGTATTGTAGTTCTTGGTGTTGTAGGTGTATGAGAAGATGGGCAGTATTGTGGTACTTGGTGTTGAAGGTGTATGAGAAGATGAGCAGTATTGTAGTACTTGGCGTTGAAGGTGTATGAGAAGATGGGCAGTATTCTAATACTTGGTGTTGTAGGTGTATGAGAAGAAGGCAAGTATTGTAGTACTTGGTGTTGAAGGTGTATGAGAAGATGAGCAGTATTGTAGTACTTGGCGTTGAAGGTGTATGAGAAGATGGGCAGTATTCTAATACTTGGTGTTGTAGGTGTATGAGAAGATGGGCAGTATTGTAGTACTTGGTGTTGTAGGTGTATGAGAAGGCCAGTATTGTAGTACTTGGTGTTGAAGGTGTATGAGAAGATAAGCAGTATTGTAGTACTTGGTGTTGAAGGTGTATGAGAAGATGGCCAGTATTCTAATACTTGGTGTTGTAGGTGTATGAGAAGATGGGCAGTATTGTAGTACTTGGTGTTGAAGGTGTATGAGAATATGGGCAGTATGGTAGTACTTGGTGTTGTAGGTGTATGAGAATATCGGCAATATTCTGGTACTTGGTGTTGAAGGTGTATGAGAAGATCGGCACAGGTGAAGTCACGGCAGAGGCTGTGATTGCAGAGTTCTCTGTCCAGTACCCGGGGGAAGACAAGGAACTGGTGTTTGGGGATGACACCGACTATAATGACGTGAGGAAGGTTGGTGCTGCACTTACATATCTTGTGTGACATGTTACAGTAGGACATGGATAGAGCGAACAAACGAATACAATGAACTGTTACAAAATCCCTAATTTATCTCCTCTATGTTATCATATAAAATGTTAGTATATAACAAACTCTCTACAGCAAACTAACATATATAGTGAACTGATATCTAATCCCCGACAAGCCCAAATACCACTAATTAGTGACATGTCTGAACTGAGAAATCTCACTGACAGTTGGCTATACGCAATCAGCTTAGAATCAACAGTCAGGGGTGAAGATTTAACCTTGTTAATAATGCTTTATGTTAATCTTACCTGTAATTAGACTAACCCTACCTGTAAAACAAACAAATAAACATCACTAGATTGTGTCAAAGTGTCAGTTCACTTGCGCTTGCTACAATGGCAGGCAGTAGTAAGAGGAGCGCTATCAGTCTAGATACAAAATTTATCATCATAAATGCTAAAGTAGACACAATTTATGGATAACAACTTCTTTAATACTGTATTCATCCTGATGCCCTTGTCAAGCAACTTCTAAGTAATGCCTATCAAACAATTTTATCCTAAATGCTGTTGATGCAGGCATAAAAGCGAAGAAAGACATTGCAATGGAATTCCAAAATACCAAAATCAACGTTGAGTACCATAATTACCGGTATCGTCTTGAAACACTCAAGATTCTCCTGAATACACAAAAGAGATGACATCATCAGATGTAATCTGGAAGGTAATTTAAGGTACCGACGTTTCCTACAATATCTGAAAAACTATTGGACCTACTCCAGTCAAAGTTGGTATGAGATTATTAAACAGTCATACATAACTGGATATTACATTTAAAGACAATCGGTGCATGAATAAAAAATCTGTCTATTTAGCTATCACTTTATTTCATCAACATCAAGACCTGTTCGTCACGGGTGGAACGAGCATTCATCATGTTCATTGTAACAGCCATCTGCATAATGCTACCCCTGCGTCACAGGGCCATATGACCCAGTTGAACCAATCAACTCAACCAAACTCAACTCGAAAGGTTGCACGGGAATCACGCATATTGAGACGCCCAACGCTAACGCTGTATACGTGCGTGCGTGATTCCCGTGCAACCTTTCGAGTTGAGTTGATTGGTAAGTTGATAAGAAACATGTACCCCAGATAGACAAGGAGAATGGATGAATATGAATTCAAGGCCATGATCTTATCTGTTTCCTTTCAGGCATGTGATATCTTGTCTATATCAGATTATCCCTGGTGCACTTGGTTAAGAGTAGGTCCTGTGCATTTATTGTGACACATGGAAGAAGTGATTTACCTCAACTTGTGTTCAGGTTTCGGTGACCTGGTTGATTGCATATCAGTGGCTGAGACATCGGTCAGGATATCAACCAGTGACGTGTATAAATATTTGTGGTGTAAAACAATACATAAACAATTCAGACTGTTATGATTCATCATTAACATAGTGTGTTTTGTATTCCACACATACCTGCAATATAGCCGTGTTTTCTGTTCCTCCCCCTCAGTAAGTGTTTGATGATCTTCATGTAATGATGTAATGTTACAGAGTGGGAATGAGTTTGTGGCCCACTCGGGGCTGAGTGGCTTCCCCCAGGTCCTGATGAACGGCAGCCCCTTGAAGAAGCAGTACTTGGCCCAGGACTCTTTCGAGGAGGGGGTGGTCAATGAGATACTGAAGGCCACGCCCTCTGTACAGAAGGCAGTGTATCATGTGAGTAGCTCACCTGGAGGGACTCCATGGTCAGAGCCATGTTTTGTGTTGTAAAAGTTTACCAACCAGCCAGTAACGTTACAAATATTTTATGATTTCATCAGTACTTTTGGTCATACTTGATACAGTTTTCATAGTAATTGTTTTGTGTTCTTTTGAAGAAGTACAGATTAATTATAAATAGTTGGTGTTTGCATGTAAGCTAGTGCATGCCATCATTGTCTCCTCCTTGTTGCTATGTTTGTGTCTGCCATCAGGGGGAGCTGTATGACAGCATGAACGTCCTGGACTGGCTGATGGAGAAAGATAATGTCCTCCCTCGCCTCAACTCCAGGATTCTCTCCACTGCTGCCAAATCTCTGGACCTTTCTGAGAATATAGGTGAGCAGCTCACTTGGCCTTCTTGTGTCAGGGTTTGATCCTTGCAGTATCAGCTCTTGTGAACCTAGGTTCCCTAAAGCCATTCATCCCAGCCTGTATTTGATGTGGGAAGGAAGTTTACCTGGATCTTTCATCATGGTCTGTGTTTCCTTTTAGACAGTGAAATCCTCCACGACACAGCTACTTTTAGCATGATGAATGCAAGAGATATGGCCTCCATTATGGCTGACAACATGAAGTACCTGACCCGCCGAGGTGAGTATCTGTGACCAGTGACTTTTGTAGATAGTTTGACTCTATGGGCCATCACCTCAGCATTGTTTATGAAAATGTTCCCCTGTGTGTTGACAGAGGAGGAAGCACTGCGGTCTGTCAGCATGTGGGTTGTGGCTGATCTGGAAACTACCCAAGGGAGGCAACTCATGTACAATGCCATCAAACATCTGGTGAGAGCAAACGTTTTTCTGAATTGTACTTCTGTTGTATGAAAAGATTAAGAGTGCTGTCTCTCTGTAAATTCTACTACGTGATTATAGCTTAGTGCTGTCTGTAGGTTCTACTACACAAGTCTATTGTATATCCATGCTGTCTCTCTGTACATTCTACTACATGATTGTAGCTTAGTGCTGTCTGTAGGTTCTACTACACAAGTCTATTGTATATCCATGCTGTCTCTCTCTACATTCTACTACGTGATTATAGCTTAGTGCTCTCTGTAGGTTCTACTACACAAGTCTATTGTATATCCATGCTGTCTCTCTCTACATTCTACTACATGATTATAGCTTAGTGCTGTCTGTAGGTTCTACTACACAAGTCTATTGTATATCCATGCTGTCTCTCTGTACATTCTACTACATGATTGTAGCTTAGTGCTGTCTGTAGGTTCTACTGCACAAGTCTATTGTATATCCATGCTGTCTCTCTGTACATTCTACTACATGATTATAGCTTAGTGCTGTCTGTAGGTTCTACTACACAAGTATATTGTATATCCATGCTGTCTCTCTGTACATTCTACTACATGATGAATGCTGAGTGCTGTCTGTAGGTTCTACTACACAAGTATATTGTATATCCATGCTGTCTCTCTGTACATTCTACTACATGATTATAGCTTAGTGCTGTCTGTAGGTTCTACTACACAAGTATATTGTATATCCATGCTGTCTCTCTGTACATTCTACTACATGATGAATGCTGAGTGCTGTCTGTGTATATCCATGCTGTCTCTCTGTACATTCTACTACATGATGAATGCTGAGTGCTGTCTGTGTATATCCATGCTGTCTCTCTACATTCTACTACATGATGAATGCTGAGTGCTGTCTGTGTATATCCATGCTGTCTCTGTACATTCTACTACATGATGAATGCTGAGTGCTGTCTGTGTATATCTGTGTGCTGTCTCTCTACATTCTACTACATGATGAATGCTGACTGCTGTCTGTGTATATCCATGCTGTCTCTCTGTACATTCTACTACATGATGAATGCTGAGTGCTGTCTGTGTATATCCATGCTGTCTCTGTACATTCTACTACATGATGAATGCTGAGTGCTGTCTGTGTATATCCATGCTGTCTCTCTACATTCTACTACATGATGACTGCTGAGTGCTGTCTGTGTATATCCATGCTGTCTCTCTGTACATTCTACTACATGATGAATGCTGAGTGCTGTCTGTGTATATCCATGCTGTCTCTATGTACATTCTACTACATGATGAATGCTGAGTGCTGTCTGTGTATATCCATGCTGTCTCTCTGTACATTCTACTACATGATGAATGCTGAGTGCTGTCTGTGTATATCCATGCTGTCTCTCTGTACATTCTACTACATGATGAATGCTGAGTGCTGTCTGTGTATATCCATGCTGTCTCTCTGTACATTCTACTACATGATGAATGCTGAGTGCTGTCTGTGTATATCCATGCTGTCTCTCTACATTCTACTACATGATGAATGCTGAGTGCTGTCTGTGTATATCCATGCTGTCTCTGTACATTCTACTACATTATGAATGCTGAGTGCTGTCTGTGTATATCTGTGTGCTGTCTCCCTACATTCTACTACATGATGAATGCTGAGTGCTGTCTGTGTATATCCATGCTGTCTCTCTGTACATTCTACTACATGATGAATGCTGAGTGCTGTCTGGGTATATCCATGCTGTCTCTGTACATTCTACTACATGATGAATGCTGAGTGCTGTCTGTGTATATCCATGCTGTCTCTCTACATTCTACTACATGATGACTGCTGAGTGCTGTCTGTGTATATCCATGCTGTCTCTCTGTACATTCTACTACATGATGAATGCTGAGTGCTGTCTGTGTATATCCATGCTGTCTCTATGTACATTCTACTACATGATGAATGCTGAGTGCTGTCTGTGTATATCCATGCTGTCTCTCTGTACATTCTACTACATGATGAATGCTGAGTGCTGTCTGTGTATATCCATGCTGTCTCTCTGTACATTCTACTACATGATGAATGCTGAGTGCTGTCTGTGTATATCCATGCTGTCTCTCTGTACATTCTACTACATGATGAATGCTGAGTGCTGTCTGTGTATATCCATGCTGTCTCTCTGTACATTCTACTACATGATTATAGCTTAGTGCTGTCTGTAGGTTCTACTACACAAGTATATTGTATATCCATGCTGTCTCCCTGTACATTCTACTACATGATGAATGCTGACTGCTGTCTGTGTATATCCATGCTGTCTCTCTGTACATTCTACTACATGATTATAGCTTAGTGCTGTCTGTAGGTTCTACTACACAAGTATATTGTATATCCATGCTGTCTCCCTGTACATTCTACTACATGATGAATGCTGAGTGCTGTCTGTGTATATCCATGCTGTCTCTCTGTACATTCTACTACATGATTATAGCTTAGTGCTGTCTGTAGGTTCTACTACACAAGTATATTGTATATCCATGCTGTCTCTCTGTACATTCTACTACATGATGAATGCTGAGTGCTGTCTGTGTATATCCATGCTGTCTCTCTGTACATTCTACTACATGATGAATGCTGAGTGCTGTCTGTGTATATCCATGCTGTCTCTCTGTACATTCTACTACATGATGAATGCTGAGTGCTGTCTGTGTATATCCATGCTGTCTCTCTGTACATTCTACTACATGATGAATGCTGAGTGCTGTCTGTGTATATCCATGCTGTCTCTCTACATTCTACTACATGATGAATGCTGAGTGCTGTCTGTGTATATCCATGCTGTCTCTGTACATTCTACTACATGATGAATGCTGAGTGCTGTCTGTGTATATCTGTGTGCTGTCTCTCTACATTCTACTACATGATGAATGCTGAGTGCTGTCTGTGTATATCCATGCTGTCTCTCTGTACATTCTACTACATGATGAATGCTGAGTGCTGTCTGGGTATATCCATGCTGTCTCTGTACATTCTACTACATGATGAATGCTGAGTGCTGTCTGTGTATATCCATGCTGTCTCTCTACATTCTACTACATGATGACTGCTGAGTGCTGTCTGTGTATATCCATGCTGTCTCTCTGTACATTCTACTACATGATGAATGCTGAGTGCTGTCTGTGTATATCCATGCTGTCTCTATGTACATTCTACTACATGATGAATGCTGAGTGCTGTCTGTGTATATCCATGATGTCTCTCTGTACATTCTACTACATGATGAATGCTAAGTGCTGTCTGTGTATATCCATGCTGTCTCTCTGTACATTCTACTACATGATGAATGCTGAGTGCTGTCTGTGTATATCCATGCTGTCTCTCTGTACATTCTACTACATGATGAATGCTGAGTGCTGTCTGTGTATATCCATGCTGTCTCTCTGTACATTCTACTACATGATGAATGCTGAGTGCTGTCTGTGTATATCCATGCTGTCTCTCTGTACATTCTACTACATGATGAATGCTGAGTGCTGTCTGTGTATATCCATGCTGTCTCTCTACATTCTACTACATGATGAATGCTGAGTGCTGTCTGTGTATATCCATGCTGTCTCTGTACATTCTACTACATGATGAATGCTGAGTGCTGTCTGTGTATATCTGTGTGCTGTCTCTCTACATTCTACTACATGATGACTGCTGAGTGCTGTCTGTGTATATCCATGCTGTCTCTCTGTACATTCTACTACATGATGAATGCTGAGTGCTGTCTGTGTATATCCATGCTGTCTCTATGTACATTCTACTACATGATGAATGCTGAGTGCTGTCTGTGTATATCCATGCTGTCTCTCTGTACATTCTACTACATGATGAATGCTGAGTGCTGTCTGTGTATATCCATGCTGTCTCTCTGTACATTCTACTACATGATGAATGCTGAGTGCTGTCTGTGTATATCCATGCTGTCTCTCTGTACATTCTACTACATGATGAATGCTGAGTGCTGTCTGTGTATATCCATGCTGTCTCTCTGTACATTCTACTACATGATTATAGCTTAGTGCTGTCTGTAGGTTCTACTACACAAGTATATTGTATATCCATGCTGTCTCCCTGTACATTCTACTACATGATGAATGCTGAGTGCTGTCTGTGTATATCCATGCTGTCTCTCTGTACATTCTACTACATGATTATAGCTTAGTGCTGTCTGTAGGTTCTACTACACAAGTATATTGTATATCCATGCTGTCTCCCTGTACATTCTACTACATGATGAATGCTGAGTGCTGTCTGTGTATATCCATGCTGTCTCTCTGTACATTCTACTACATGATTATAGCTTAGTGCTGTCTGTAGGTTCTACTACACAAGTATATTGTATATCCATGCTGTCTCTCTGTACATTCTACTACATGATGAATGCTGAGTGCTGTCTGTGTATATCCATGCTGTCTCTCTGTACATTCTACTACATGATGAATGCTAAGTGCTGTCTGTGTATATCCATGCTGTCTCTCTGTACATTCTACTACATGATGAATGCTGAGTGCTGTCTGTGTATATCCATGCTGTCTCTCTGTACATTCTACTACATGATGAATGCTGAGTGCTGTCTGTGTATATCCATGCTGTCTCTGTACATTCTACTACATGATGAATGCTGAGTGCTGTCTGTGTATATCCATGCTGTCTCTCTGTACATTCTACTACATGATGAATGCTGAGTGCTGTCTGTGTATATCCATGCTGTCTCTCTGTACATTCTACTACATGATGAATGCTGAGTGCTGTCTGTGTATATCCATGCTGTCTCTCTGTACATTCTACTACATGATGAATGCTGAGTGCTGTCTGTGTATATCCATGCTGTCTCTATGTACATTCTACTACATGATGACTGCTGAGTGCTGTCTGTGTATATCCATGATGTCTCTCTGTACATTCTACTACATGATGAATGCTGAGTGCTGTCTGTGTATATCCATGCTGTCTCTCTGTACATTCTACTACATGATGAATGCTGAGTGCTGTCTGTGTATATCCATGATGTCTCTCTGTACATTCTACTACATGATGAATGCTGAGTGCTGTCTGTGTATATCCATGCTGTCTCTCTGTACATTCTACTACATGATGAATGCTGAGTGCTGTCTGTGTATATCCATGCTGTCTCTATGTACATTCTACTACATGATGAATGCTGAGTGCTGTCTGTGTATATCCATGCTGTCTCTCTGTACATTCTACTACATGATGAATGCTGAGTGCTGTCTGTGTATATCCATGCTGTCTCTCTGTACATTCTACTACATGATGAATGCTGAGTGCTGTCTGTGTATATCCATGCTGTCTCTGTACATTCTACTACATGATGAATGCTGACTGCTGTCTGTGTATATCCATGCTGTCTCTCTACATTCTACTACATGATGAATGCTGAGTGCTGTCTGTGTATATCCATGCTGTCTCTCTACATTCTACTACATGATGAATGCTGAGTGCTGTCTGTGTATATCCATGCTGTCTCTCTGTACATTCTACTACATGATGAATGCTGAGTGCTGTCTGTGTATATCTGTGTGCTGTCTCTCTACATTCTACTACATGATGAATGCTGAGTGCTGTCTGTGTATATCCATGCTGTCTCTCTCTACATTCTACTACATGATGAATGCTGAGTGCTGTCTGTGTATATCCATGCTGTCTCTATGTACATTCTACTACATGATGAATGCTGAGTGCTGTCTGTGTATATCCATGCTGTCTCTGTACATTCTACTACATGATGAATGCTGAGTGCTGTCTGTGTATATCTGTGTGCTGTCTCTCTACATTCTACTACATGATGAATGCTGAGTGCTGTCTGTGTATATCCATGCTGTCTCTCTGTACATTCTACTACATGATGAATGCTGAGTGCTGTCTGTGTATATCCATGCTGTCTCTCTGTACATTGCCATGTGTTGTGTAATCATAGTGTAGTTATGCCCTGTGGGTAAAGCACCAGGATTGCTACATGTTTAGAATGTGAGCTGAGCTCTGCTGGAGTGAAGGCTGCCTGGTTGTAGACCTGGTGGTTGTGTGTTGCTCTGGCAATGTGTTATTCTCATCAGCCACAAGTTTGTCCAATTATATATATATTCTGATGAAATAATTCACACACTGACTTTCATGAATCATGTTTACGTCAACTTCCTGTTTGTTATACATGTAGAAATCTTCTGCTGACATGCGTTTGAGCATGATCTTCAATCCATCATCGGCCAACCAGGACAACAACTTGAACAAGGCTGTGTACACCGCACTGACCACCCTGTCCGGGAACATAGCCAAGAGCTTCATCACCAAGCTGGTGAAGGAGGAGAATGTGATGGAGATGAAGGCCGGCACCAAGAAGCTGGTCGATCTCGAAGTTCATGTGAGCTCATGAATGATTGATTCAGATCAAATATGTTTTATTTCCAAAGCAAATGTATTGGATGTAAGTTGTAAGATGTTATTAATCTTGGTATCATGAAAGAAAGTAATACTTGCTCTCTGATACTTAGGACTCTACACTAGAGCTCAACACTTTGGTGTCTTAATACTGTTATAATAATTTGGTGCAACTTGATACTTGAATAGTGTGAGTGAGTGTTGTGTATACTGAACATGTTGTGCTCCGTGTTCAGGGGATGGACATGAAGACGTACCTAGCAGCCCTCAACAAACAGGGGGACACGTTTCTCAAGTCTCATCGAGCATTTGCCCAAAAGGTTCTGCTGTTTGAGGAAACAGCACGAGGTATCATCACCAATGGCAAGGTGAGACACTTCGTTTGTATATCATCTTTGATTTGTTGATATGGTTGCCTGATCAGGGAGACACCTTATCCAGAATATGAGGATTGTAGCAGATCTCTATGCTGTGGAGATTGCTCTCAGTCTTGTCATAGCAGAGGGAAACCTAGAATAAACATGATAAATGTGTTATCTTCAACGACAACAGCCCATTCTGTTTTTTCTCTATTTAAGCCTTGACATCGTATTGATGTGTATGCTAAATATGCCAGGTGATTGGTCCCTTGGATGATGGGGAAGACTTCCTGCCAGATGATGTTGGTCTCCTGGAGAAATACACATTGCAGCAGTCGGCTCGTAAAATCCGGGAGCAGATCCGTGGCCTGGGATATGATAATGACCAGTAAGATATTGCGAGTCTTGATAGCAAGTGCTTCAGTGGAAGAATGACACCCTTTCTGTTAAATCCAATTTGAGTACAGGGATTTAAATGAAATAATTCTATTAAAAAATATATTGAAGCCGAAAATGTTTATGAAAGAAGCTACCTGACGGATGTGTTCTTGCTTACACTGCTACGCCCTTTCGCTGGTATGACCGATCAGTACTTGATAATAGTTAGTCCTTCTCATCTGGCTGCTTTGATATGTAACAATGCTAACTTCAGCATGAAATCCTGAAATCATTTTCTCTGTACCAGGGGAAGTAACTTGCTCCTGAAGGTGGCGGCACTGTTGACTGCCAAGAGTCAGACTGAGGGCAGGAAGAAAGTCAGCTTCAAATCTGATGAATACAGGTAATAACTCTTGATAATGATGCTTGCCTGCAGTGACAGAAATGATTGTTGATGAGAAACAATAGAAATGGAAACAGTTTTTGTGTGTGATGTATTGTGAGTGTTGTTGTGTTGCAGTGTGTTGAAGATCCCAGCTGATGACTCCATCCCAGCCTTTGTTGTGGAGGTGGTTATGGACCCTGTGTCCAGGGAGGCCCAGAAGCTGTCTGCCATACTCCACGTCCTCAGGCAGAGCACCAACGTGGAGATCCGCCTCTACATGAACTGTAAGGACAAGCTGTCGGAGATGCCTCTCAAGAAGTAAGTACCAATTAATGAGCAGCTGGTCCCTGCAGGGTCGTCTCCATTGGCCTGTAGATGTTTAGTGGTTGAGTAGCGCCTACTGTTTCAGTAGTTCATTATGACAAAATCATCACACCACACCACTCTGACAACACATACAGCACAGAGATAGAAACTAACAGTTTTAGTCAACTAGTCCTTATTATGATAACATATAGTACCCCTTAAAAATGGCAAATTTCTAATACCTTTACTTGCCTATACTATTGGGCAGTTTGGGAAGGAAACCTCTCTGACAACATGTACTCTATAGATAACACTCCTAGGGATTAACATGGCAGACAAATTCAGGGAACACAAAAAACACCCTTAAGTGGTTGTCTCCATCTCCTTGTACTGAACACTCCCATTATATTACTGTTTGGTCCATGTCTTCAGTACTGTTTACTCAACATTGATGTGTGTTTATTTCAGCTACTATCGATATGTCCTTGACCCTGAGTTGACCTTCAAGGTTGATGGCACGTACTCCCGTGGTCCCGTGGGCCGGTTCACTGACATGCCTGAGAAGTCTCTGCTCACCCTCAACATGGATCCCCCCGAGAGTTGGCTGGTGGAGGCCGTCCGCTCGCCGTACGACCTGGACAACATCCTGCTGGAAGAGGTGAGAATATGCAGTGAAGCGTGTTTAGTTTAAACATTTTATTCATGTAAAGGCTTGGGCACAAGGTTAACACCACACAAGGATCACCCTGACCCATAGATTTACATGTGTGATTACTTACAAATGTAATATCACGTGATATATTGTTTAATGACAATGATTCACTATAACTCCATGGTTACACTACAAGTCAAATATGTTCACATTTCTTTCTGACTAAGCATGCACTCTTTCTGACTTGTATATGTTTTATTAAAGATAAAGCTTCAGTCAACTTCAGTGCATGCATTTTCAGATTGTTTTATACTTGTGTTAACTACCTGCTAGTCTAATTTTGTTTTGTATTGTAATGAATAGTCAAATTTTATGGTCACATACTTGTTTTAAACCTATCTCTGTGATAATCTAGTTCTTTTACTGTCCTTTACCGACAGGTTTCTTAGCCTAAATTTATTTAATTTGAATTCGTCATGATATTGCTGAAATATTGTCGAGGTGACTATAAATCTTAACTCATTCACTCTCTCACTCACTTCGATAAGGGCTCCCAAGAAGTTTCAGAATATAATATTTTATCAGAAATATAGCTTGACAAAGCAGTTACAATTCTTGATGCTTCAAGATGAAGTTTTCCACCCTGTCACTCGCTCTTTAATACAGCCATCCCAAACTTCACATACATTTTCAAAGTGTGGTCTTATAAACAGTTCATAAATTATCTTTTATGAAGGTTAATGTACAAAAAAGGACCGATTTGTGTTGAAATTGCTATTCATAGTAGTTTCAAAATATTCAATACAATTAGATAATATGCCTAGGTATGTTGAACAGTTTAGTTTCTCAGTTACCGATCCCTGTGGTACACTACATGTTGTAGCAGTATCACCAGGGGTCAAGTGGTTTTATGCAACCTGTGTTAGGTTTTATACCACCAGCTGGAGGTGAGAGGTTTAAGACCTAATTAGGGACGCATAAAAACACTTGTATCCTGAGTGATACTGCTACAATGAACTTATCATTTCGACATGTTTTAATCTGCCATTGTAAAAGAATTAAAACAAATTCAAATTTGATAGAAAACAGCTGTTTGATGGATCTGAGGCTAACTTGTGCTAATGTCACGGGACCTTCATTGACTTTGAAAAAGCGTGCAGCGTTTTGCTTTGACGCAGAGTATAACTGATTTATTATCCCGGTCAGTATGTGCAGCCTGTTTTTTTCATGGTGGGGTATAAGGGATTTATTCTCCTGCTGAGAAGTTTATTTCCCCCCCAAGGTTGGATACATTGTATTTTATCAAGATCATGTGAACCAAATCAGACTTCATCATTCTGACATGGAGTTTGATATGAGCATTTAACACTCCAGAATCAGACAGTGTGCCATTTAAAGAGAAAGATTGTTTGTGAGCTGTTGCATAATCAGCCAGCCTCTCTAGTAATTCATCCTTTAATATTCATTGTTTATACTGTAACATGTCTTTCTATATAAGCCCACCATGCCATATTCTTACCAAATGCTTTTGAAATTTGCAGAATACCATTAAAAAAACCTCATTGTTATCAGCTGTGTTGCACACTTGATAATATAATTCCACTAACTGCTGGATGGTCGAGTGAGCGGCTTCGAATCCTCTTTGGTATTTGTAAACATAGGAATTCTCATGAAAATAATTGTGCAACTGTTTGAACATAATTTGTTCAAAGTCATACCTATATAGTTAATCAAGGATGTTAGGATAGCACCTTTTGGATCACCTTGTTTGAAAAGTGGCATTACTTGAGCCAGTTTCTGATGACTTGGACGGGTAGGCATTCTCAATGACATATTGAATACCGGTAATATACATAAGACTTATATGCTACTGTTTTAATATTTTATTACTTATACAATCTGGGCCTGAAGCCTTATTTAGATAAGATAATAGATAATAGAGAATAGAGAATAGATAATATTATGTTTCATATTTTTTAACTTATCCTGTATTACTCCTTGATGAGATGTGTGAGGTCTTGCTGAAGGAGAAGTGGTTCGAACTGGTTGAGTGGCTAACCCTATCACACAGCTCACTGGGATCTCAGCCTAATCCATTGAATCCTTTGCGTGTTTTTGCAACTGTATTGTTTCTAGTGATTTATAACCTACTTACGGTTTGTCTCTTCATATATATCTTATGACTTCAACCATAGCATTAATATTTTATGCTTGTTCCAATTAGCCATTTTGAATTCATTGAATGGTCGCGCATGTTCGTATCATGCATTCTGTATTCTTTATAGTGCTTGGTACTTCAATTCATTGTTGTACCCTTGCAATATTATCATTATCAAAATGGTGTTTTTTTTCAGTTCTTTGTGTAAGCTTATTCTTCCTAAACCCGCATGGCTGTGATTGAGATTATAGCATACACAATTGGATTACACTCGGCTATCATTGCAGATACAGTGTAATAAGTCTGGGTGGGACCCTCATCGCTTGTGTCTCAACTGTACTACCTTGTGCTCCCAGGCTTCTAAGTGTAGAGATTTCCCCTACAGCCTTCTCGAAATACCTCAAGGTATCACAGAAACAGTGGACACAGCAGACCGGGAACGTTGATAAAAAAGATGTCAGATTATTTGAGCCTACTATACCCAACTACACCACTACACTACTTATGTCTTCGGTAGGGACTACGCAACCACCTCATCGCCTGTACAGATCCTGTCCTCTGACACCGATGTCTACCTTCCTTTCAACATTGATTTACTATGCCTCCTCTTCTACGATGACGCGTGGCATGACACCGACGTCCCTGATATCGTCCCTCTCCCAGACATACCAGTAGCGCTGCCACTTCAGGTGCCTATCGGTTTTGGACATGCAGCCTTCCATCCGGTGCCTTACATGAACCCTTCCATCCCGTGCCATGAACCCATCCTGGATTCCTCTGATGCAGACGATGATCCGTGTCTTGACCGTTCCCATGGTGGAGACCACAAGGCTTAGCACTGATGTGACGGAGGCCAACGACTGGGAACTTCCACCCCTAGTCATTCCAGCTGTCGAGCCTCCTGTAGGTGGGAGATTAGGACCCTACAGGCAGAATTGGGACATCCTTGGGGACCCATACATTGTCAACATGCTCCCTTTTGGAATTTCCTTGTCCCCGTGGCTATTTACATGCATCACCAAGCCGATAACTACCTTCCTCCATCTGAACTATGTCCAATTCAAGGCGGAAATCAGAGCTCACACCTTTGTTCAACCTCCAATTCACCTCTTCCCGAATGACCGAGATCTCCTCTGTACCCAGGGACAGGTGGCTCAGAATTCAACACCACCTACTCCCAGCACTTCACCAGCCTTGTACTCTTTGCCAATGGGAGGCGCTTCCGGGCCTACTCACGTCGGCGCAGGACTTGACCTCCAGAGAGAGGCTTCAACTGCGCCCTATATAGAAGTTCCTTGCTCCCTACATCAGCCACCAGGATCAGACTCCATCATGCTCCCGGACCACCTTAAACCACTTCTCCAAAGATGGATGGTGGAGTCGAACGTCTTAGACGGTGTCACCTTGACAGAGTTCACGATTCATTACACCTGTTCGTTGATGCTTCACTTCAAGACTTGGTCCAAGTCCTTCAGGGCAGTGGCACATCAACAACCTAGAACTAGAGGCTGTCATCCTGCCTCTCCCCACTGGAAGCAGGCACTTCACCACGCTCGGATCACCATATCCAAGGACTGCATCACTGTAGTATGGTGCCTCAGCAATCAGGGGATGATCCACTCCACCTCGCTCTTATGGCAGACGTTCCGGTTCTTCCAGCTACTTGATCAACTGGAGCTTCAGTTCCGAGTTTAACACATTCCAGGTTGCCACAACATCCTTGCTGACGCCCTCACCAGACAAAGTAGCTCAAACAGAGTGGAAAGTCCACGAAGACATCTTCAACACCCAACATCTACCTGCTTGCCATCAGCCAGAACTCCCAGCTTCGAACCTTCATATCTTCATACCTTCACAAGCTTTGGTTTTCGACGCCCTCAGTGTCCCCTGGGAAAGATTAAAAGCTTACACTTTTTCGCCTCCAGTACTCCTTCCCAGGGTCTTTCAAAAGATCGGGTCGACCTAGAGCCTCTCTTTTACTTTGATAGCTCCTTGGTGTCCTGAGAGGGGCTGGTTTGTGGATCTCAAGGAGATTTCCGCCATCGATCCCCCCCTGGAACTACCAGATTGGCCTGGTTCTTCGACAAAGAGCCCTAAGCGCCAAGGGTTACTTGGCAATGGTGGCAATGCAATCACCTTGGCGCATAGACCTTCTACCAGGGGCCTCTATATGACAAGAGGCACTTCTTTGGAAGATTCTGCAAGGTGAAACACCATGATCCCACCTCTGTGTCTCCCCAATTCTTGGCTGAATTCCAACTGTTTCTGCACAATAAGCATCGTCTGAAGGCCAGCACCATCACAACCTACCTTAACTCAGTCTTGGCCAATCCAGACGATCAGAAAGATGACTAAGATTCCAGAACTCCAAGGGTCATGCTTTTTTCATCTAGAAGACCAGCATGCCATGTTCAGATCCCCTGGCGTGTGATCTGAACGTGGTGCTTACCCTGCTGAGAGGCATGCCCTTTGAGCCACTCCACTCAGCGTCCTGCTCCAACCTTACCAAGAAGACAGTCTTCCTTATAGCTCTGGCTACAGCGGCACGGGTGAGCAAACTTCATGCACCAACTGTGTTAGATTTGAGCGCACAGTGCATGGAACCGTTCATCTTGGGCAGTACTGGGACTTGCAGATTATACATATCCAAGACTGCCAGGACAGCCGGACAGAGCCACTCAACCAGTTGGAACAACTTCTTCTTCAGCAAGACTTCACTCAGCTCTCTCCCTCTGCCAAGAAAAAGCAGTTAATTCATTAAGGAGTAATGCAGGACAAGTATACAAATATAAATAATATCTAGATTTTACTAGAACTGTTTATTCTCATGTGCTTAATGTTTTTCCTGTTTTCACATTTGTTTTCACCTCATCTTACTACCATTAACACATGGATAGATGGATGGATGGATGGATGAAAATAGGTGTTGCAAATTAGCTTTATCTAAATCTGTGTCATACCTATGATGTTTCTCCAGTGCATGTCCTGTGAAGATCCGGGCTAGAATAGGTCTTCAGCAACCCATGCCTGCCATAAAAGGTGACTATGCTTGTCATAAGAGGCGACTAACGGGATCAGGTGGTCAGGCCCGCTGACCTGGTTGATGCATGTCATCGTCCCCAATTGCGTGGATCGATGCTCATGTCAATCACTGGATTGTCTGGTCCAGATTCAATTATTTACAGACCGCCATCATATAGCTGGAATATTGCTGAGTGGGGCGTAAAACAACAAAAAACCAACCAACCTCCAGTGCCTATGTGACACAACAGCTGGATATAATGTAGCATGTGACCCTGTAAGATGATAACATGTTCCCCAAAAATATATAATAAAAACTAACAGTCCTTAGACTATGATTTTCAATGTTTGACGTGGTCAGTGTACCTTTTGTTGAAAAGGTTTCTATTTCAAGAGAGGTAATATTTTGTCTAACGGCACATAAAATGCTGGTATGTGGATGATTTTCCTGAATCTTGGTATCCATTTTCTTGGCCTGATTCACAAGTTTTCCCCAAGGAGCCACTATGCACCAAGCAGTATGCCTGATTACATGTGTCAGTGTGTGAACTCTGTGTTTGTTGCCAGGTCCATGATGGCGTGAAGGCTGATTTTGAATTGGAGTACATTCTACTGGAAGGTAGGACCTAAATGCTTTTAATACAACACTCATTGGTGTGAGATCTAATTTGAAGATAATTCATGTTGGAAAAACATATCTCCTAAAGTATAAATTGAAACAAACTCCCTTCTGTCTTGTAGGATAAAAGTTCCACATGTGGACTCTGGGTAAGAATTGATCCATAGACCCTATGCTGGTCGTAAGTGACAATTAAATGGAGTGGGTGGTCAGATTCAGAGACTCAGGTGATTGCACAGCATTGTTCCATGACTGTGGATTGTTGCTCATAATATAAATCACTGGTTTATGTATAGTGTGGTGTTATGAATAACTAAGAAAGAAAACAAAGCCATATAAGAGTATGTTTGCTGTACACTGCCACCATGTTGGTGTGATTGTCCCCCCAGGTCACTGCCATGACTCCTCCACCATGCAGCCACCAAGGGGCCTTCAGTTCACACTCGGAACCAACAGCACTCCCGCTGTCAAGGATACCATCGTCATGGCCAATCTGGTGATATATTTCTTTATGTTTCAGCTAGTTTTGTATGCCTGTTAAGCAAGCTTTAATTGAGAAATCATTAGTTAATATGACTGGAAACTAAGAAACTGATTACTATTCTCCTCATTTCAGTCATGCTGTTGTGACCAGTGTGCTACAAATGTAACACTGTTGGACCAAGTCCTCACAATGATGGACACTGTTGGACCAAGTCCTCACAATAATGGACACTGTTGTGACACTGTCAGACTGTCCTGACAATGTTGGCCACTGTTATGACACTGTCAGACTGTCCTGACAATGTTGGACCTAGTCCTCACAATGATGGACACTGTTGGACCAAGTCCTCACAATGATGGACATTGTTGGACCAAGTCCTCACAATGATGGACATTGTTGGACCAAGTCCTCACAATGATGGACACTGTTGGACCTAGTCCTCACAATGATGGACACTGTTGGACCAAGTCCTCTCATTGATGGACACAGTTGGACCAAGTCCTCTCATTGATGGACACTGTTGGACCAAGTCCTCACAATGATGGACATTGTTGGACCATGTCCTCGAAATGATGGACACTGTTAAACCAAGTCCTCACAATGATGGACACTGTTAAACCAAGTCCTCACAATGATGGACACTGTTGGACCAAGTCCTGACAATGTTGGACACTGTTGTGACACTGTTAGACTGTCCTGACAATGTTTGACACTGTTGTGACAGTGTTAGACTGTCCTGACAATGTTGGACCTAGTCCTCACAATGATGGACACTGTTGGACCAAGTCCTCACAATAATGGACACTGTTGTGACACTGTCAGACTGTCCTGACAATGTTGGCCACTGTTGTGACACTGTCAGACCGTCCTGACAATGTTGGACCTAGTCCTCACAATGATGGACACTGTTAAACCAAGTCCTCACAATGATGGACACTGTTAAACCAAGTCCTCACAATGATGGACACTGTTGTGACACTGTAAGACAAGTCCTGACAATGTTAGATGGTGTTGTGACTCTGTTGGACACTGTTGTGTTGTAGGGTTACTTTCAACTCAAGGCTAACCCAGGAGTGTGGCAGCTGCAGCTCAGAGAAGGGCGCTCCAGGGAAATCTACGACATCAACAGGTAGGGGAATGAAGATAGGACCGACCTGTGGCATATGCAGAAGTATCATCAGTGCAGGTACACAGTAACTTGTCTTTACCTGCCTGCCTGCCTTTGGTTGTCATTTTGCATATTTGACTGTTTCAGCCATGACTTCACAGACACTCCCAAAGGTTCTACTGATGTGGTGGTTGCCATAAGCAGCTTCAAGAGCAAGATCATCAGGGTCAAGGTGAGAACATGACAGGAAGTAGGATGTACTATAATGTACATTTGGGGTTTACCCTGAAAGAAAATAGGATATACTAGAATGCACATACAGGATTTGACCTGACAGAAAGTAGGATGTGCTAGAATGTACATACAAGATTTGCCTTTATAGAAAGTAGGATGTGCTAGAATGTACATGTTGGGTTTGCCCTGACAGAAAGTAGGATGTGGTAGAATGTACATACAAGATTTGCCCTGACAGAAAGTAGGATGTGCTAGAATATACATACAAGATTTGCCTTGACAGAAAGTAGGATGTGCTAGAATGTACATAAGGGATTTGACCTGACAGAAAGTAGGGTGTGCTAGAATGTACATACAGGGTTTGCCCTGACAGAAAGTAGGATGTGCTAGAATATACATACAAGATTTGCCCTGACAGAAAGTAGGATGTGCTAGAATGTACATAAGGGATTTGACCTGACAGAAAGTAGGGTGTGCTAGAAAGTACATACAGGATTTGACCTGACAGAAAGTAGGGTGTGCTAGAATGTACATACAGGGTTTGCCCTGACAGAAAGTAGGATGTGCTAGAATATACATACAAGATTTGCCCTGACAGAAAGTAGGATGTGCTAGAATGTACTTAAGAGATTTGACCTGACAGAAAGTAGGGTGTGCTAGAAAGTACATACAGGATTTGACCTGACAGGAAGTAGGACGTTCTAGAATGTACATACAGGGTTTGCCCTGACAGAAAGTAGGATGTGCTAGAAAGTACATACAGGATTTGACCTGACAGGAAGTAGGACGTTCTAGAATGTACATACAGGATTTGCCCTGACAGAAAGTAGGATGTGCTAGAATGTACATACAGGATTTGCCCTGACAGAAAGTAGGATGTGCTAGAATGTACATACAAGATTTGCCCTGACAGAAAGTAGGATGTGCTAGAATGTACATACAGGGTTTGTCCTGACAGAAAGTAGGATATGCTAGAATGTACATACAGGGTTTGCCCTGACAGGAAGTAGGATGTGCTAGAATATATATACAGGGTTTGCCCTGAAAGGCAGTAGGATGTGCTAGAATATACATACAAGATTTGCCCTGACAAGAAGTAGGACGTTCTAGAATATACATACAGGATTTGCCCTGACAGGAAGCAGGATGTGCTAGAATGTACATAGTATACAGGATTTGCCCTGAAAGAAAGTAGGGTGTGCTAGAATGTACATACAGGATTTGCCTTGACAGAAAGTAGGATGTGCTAGAATAAACACACAAGATTTGCCCTGACAGAAGGTAGGATGTGCTAGAATATACATACAGGGTTTGCCCTGAAAGGAAGTAGGATGTGCTAGAATGTACATAGTATACAGGATTTGCCCTGACAAGAAGTAGGACGTTCTAGAATATACATACAAGATTTGCCCTGACAGAAAATAGGGTGTGCTAGAATATACATACAGGATTTGCCCTGAAAGAAAGTAGGGTGTGCTAGAATGTACATACAAGATTTGCCCTGACAGGAAGTAGGATGTGCTAGAATGTACATACAGGATTTGCCTTGACAGAAAGTAGGACGTTCTAGAATATACATACAAGATTTGCCCTGACAAGAAGTAGGACGTTCTAGAATATACATACAGGATTTGCCCTGACAGAAAGTAGGGTGTGCTAGAATGTACATACAGGAGTTGCCTTGACAGAAAGTAGGACGTTCTAGAATATACATACAAGATTTGCCCTGACAAGAAGTAGGACGTTCTAGAATATACATACAGGATTTGCCCTGAAAGAAAGTAGGGTGTGCTAGAATGTACATACAGGATTTGCCTTGACAGAAAGTAGGATGTGCTAGAATATACATACAAGATTTGCCCTGACAGAAAGTAGGATGTGCTAGAATATACATACAGGGTTTGCCCTGAAAGGAAGTAGGATGTGCTAGAATGTACATAGTATACAGGATTTGCCCTGACAAGAAGTAGGACGTTCTAGAATATACATACAAGATTTGCCCTGACAGAAAATAGGGTGTGCTAGAATGTACATACAGGATTTGCCCTGACAGAAAGTAGGGTGTGCTAGAATGTACATAGTATACAGGATTTGACCTGACAAGAAGTAGTACGTTCTAGAATATACATACAGGATTTGCCCTGACAGAAAATAGGGTGTGCTAGAATGTACATACAGGATTTGCCCTGACAGAAAATAGGGTGTGCTAGAATATACATACAGGATTTGCCCTGAAAGAAAGTAGGGTGTGCTAGAATGTACATACAAGATTTGCCCTGACAGGAAGTAGGATGTGCTAGAATGTACATACAGGATTTGCCTTGACAGAAAGTAGGATGTGCTAGAATGTACATACAAGATTTGCCCTGACAGGAAGTAGGATGTGCTAGAATGTACATACAGGATTTGCCCTGAAAGAAAGTAGGATGTGCTAGAATGTAGTGTTCTGTGCTGGCAGGTTTCGAAGAAGGCAGACAAGCAGAAGGAGCAGCTCCTGCAGGACTCGGATGAGGGCCAGGGATTGTGGGATTCCATTTCCAGGTTAGTGGCATCGTATGTCCTGAAGTAAGTACTGTGCTCCATTGGTGTATTTGTGTGTACACATAGAGGACTAGTGTGTTTCATCCCCAGCTGCCCTCTGATGCATGCTGGAGTAAGTAGCTGTACTCTCGTGCAGAGCGCTTTGTCTGTGTCGGACGTGTCCTTCATGTGTCTGCTCAACCTTTGATTGTATTGTGCAGATGGAAATGTTAACTTCAGGATACAGATTTAGAGCTTTCTTTGTCCTAATCTACAGGGTACATAGTCTACCCCTCATGTCAGGCAATAAACCCTTGCACACAATGTCATAAATGATACTTTACATACACCAAGCCTACAGTGAGCACACCATACCTGACACCCCTCGCATACAGTGGGCACACCATACCTTGCATCCCTAGCATACAGTGGGCACACCATACCTGACACCCCTTGCATACAGTGGACACCATACCTGACACCCCTAGCATACAGTGGGCACACCATACCTTGCATCTCTAGCATACAGTGGGCACACCATACCTGACACCCCCAGTATACAGTGGGCACACCAAATCTCACACCCCCAGTATACAGTGGACACACCATACCTGACACCCCTAGCATACACTGGACACACCATAACTGACACCCCAAGCCACACTCCGGCGCAGTGGTGACTCAGCATAACACCACTGCCACAGGCTAATTTGCATATCATGTGACCGGACTTTTCTCTTGTTTGTAAACAAACACGCTTTTCCAGAAATCAGTATAGAATGGACTAATGCATTTAGTTGGGGGCGCTTTACATATTGTTTTGTATAATTATATAGATATTCTACTGCGACAGTGACTTGCATGACAATATATATTTATACATCAAGGGACCGTATCGCTAGCTCTCCATTGGGCTTCGATGACAGCACGTGGAGCTGTACAACCAATGTAAACAAAGGATAACTACTGAAAAACAAGTAGATGTTCGTGTATTAGGATACTTTCTTAATGAACCGTAACCATTCTTTGACATTTGTTTATGAAAATGTGTAGACTTGTCAAACATGAAACGGATGAAAAGCATATGCAATATCTTGAATGGACTGTGAAAGATGTGACGAATCGTCACATGGCGCTGGCCTGTGGCAGAAGTACTATGCTGGCTGGCTGGGTAGGAGAGTGACCCCAAGCATACACTGGACACACCATACCTGACACCCCTAGCGTACAGTGGTCACACTATACCTGATACCCCTAGCATACGCTTGAAAAGTCCAGAACTGACATCTCTATCACACAGTGGTCAAAAGAATCCGGAAGTTTTCAAGATACTCGTTATATATTTCAGTGTGCTTATGCCATACTGTCTATAAAACTGTCTATGGGAGATTGGTTATTTTAAGCATGACTTGCTGATCATGTCCTTCCATCGTTCGTTAGACCTGGAACACTGTCTCATCTGTAAACATCCCATTATCAACTTTCCATAATTTGTACCAGTACACTGGGCCAGGCGTTTCTCCTGATGTGGATCAGCTCAGTTGAACTAGCTTTAGCTCATGTAGAGTTCTATTAACTGTCCATTCTGATGCCAAAGGACCCCCTGTTCTCCCAATTTTCAAACCAAGTTGTTTGGATGACCACATCATCTGTCATTAGTATATCATAAATGGTCCGATTTCCAAATACAAGCTGATGTGATGCATCACTGCCAGAGCTAAACTTCTTCAGATAATGACAAGTTTGCGGACCTGAGAAGCTGTCGTCTGCACATGTGTCATCACGTGACTCGCCCTAACAACAAGGGAGATTACCCTGCAGATGACCATGTGAAGAATGTTCATGGGACAAAACAGTGTTATACTAGAATATCATCCTTTTGTAAAGTATACCATTTATGTCCAGATTTATTAGCTCAATGCCTGTGGGTGCCTTTGATGTGCAGTCCTAAACCGCTAAGTTAAGGTTCATGAGTGGATGTTTGTATCTCATTAAATCTTCTCCCTTTTGTGAAGTTATTCATGATGTTCCGTTGGTCGATGATGCAAAATTAACAAAATTTATAAATTGGTTCTAAGGCATTTTGAATAATAGTGTGGGATGACAGCCTCATTTTAGTTTCTTTATTTGGTTGTGAATGACTGCAGTTATAAGACCAGAAATATTGACTGTTTATATAACTGGGTACACCAACAGATACAGCCACATAATAACAATGTGTGTGAGATGTATTACCAACCTGTAAGGAGGATCTCAGTGATCAAACTTAGACAGCATGCAAAAGACAGATGTGGTCAGTCAGGGTGTAGGTCAGGTTAGTATTTTGAACAAGGCCAATCAAGCTGGCTACCATACCCCACAGCTGACAATAGTTGAAGCTGAGGTTTAGAAATAGAGTTGATTAGAGAAAACTCCACACAGGTTAAGTTGATATTTTGCTGGAAGCAGAGCTGTAGTGGACACCAACTGTACAGGTTATTACATTTACACTGTGAAAGGTCACTACATCATTTACCACAATACATACAGATATGCAATATACAAAAAATACACATATATACAACACTGGCACTCTACTACCACCATGATGATAACATGAGTGTGTAAAGTAACTGTCTGCTATATTGGATCACATTATTTTTAGCATTTCACTGCCAAGGTCATGTGTCATGCGGAACCTTTTTTTATTTCCTTTTTTACACTGAAACATAATGTGTTGTGGGTGTACGTGATAAACACAACTGTTATTTTTAGCCTACAGTTGGTAGTTAAAGCGGTTGTTTCATGATAAATAACATTGAGGTACTTTTTTTTTTATACAAAGTAAAATTAATGAAAATTCCAACTGTAAGTCTAAGAACAGTAATTGATGACTGGTAAGGGTGCTGAATGTTGAGGTGTGGATGGGCCTGCTGCTTCACTTGTCTGCCCAGCTGGTGTGTGCTGCCGTGGGGAACTGCTTGTAGACATAGATATTTGTTCAAGTGTTGTCCGTACTGTCGTCTGTGTTGTGAACTTGAGAACCATGTGGATATATTGATTGTCAGTGGGGGGTCAATACCTTATAATCTATACCATGTGTACCTCATACCAGTCAGTGGGGGGAGGGGAGTCAATACTATGTGTACCTCACACCTGTCAGCGGGGGGTCAGTACTATGTGGATATATTTAATGTTGCAATTTTGCATGCTGTTATTAGGTGAGCAGTCAACCCTTTCTGTCTCCCTTTTGTCAACATTGAGAAATGTTTAAGGAATACACCTACAGTGGTTTGAAATTCCCACTGAGACATCATTGATATACTGTCTAATTTCCAATTAATGACTGATGTGATCAACTGCTTTGACCCCATTGCATATGTCAGTGTGAGCAATGTCATGTTTGGCCTGTTTGCTGTTTCTGAAGCATGATTCTGAAATCAGAACCAACACAGATTTCCTGTTTATTTCCTGCAGCTCATTCACTGGACAGAAGTCTGATGAAGATGAAGATGAGACGCTCAACATCTTCTCCCTGGCTTCTGGACATCTGTATGAGAGATTTTTGAGGTGGGTGGTTGTCTTAGCAACTGTTCAACACTAGAAGTGGTTGAGCATCAGCTGTACCTGTTTTACATCGTTCATGATGTGACATGTGTAACAAGTTAAAGTGGGTACCTCGGAAAAGTGCAGAATGTTTGCAGCTGGCTAGGCAGCTGAGGATTATTTAGCGTGACTATCAGACTTTGTCTGATGTCCTCTGCGAGTGCCTGACTTTGTCTGATGTCCTCTGCGAGTGCCTGACTTTGTCTGATGTCCTCTGCGAGTGCCTGACTTTGTCTGATGTCCTCTGCGAGTGCCTGACTTTGTCTGATGTCCTCTGCGAGTGCCTGACTTTGTCTGATGTCCTCTGTGAGTGCCTGACTTTGTCTGATGTCCTCTGTGAGTGCCTGACTTTGTCTGATGTCCTCTGTGAGTGCCAAACTTTACAATGCTCATTTGTAACACAGGGACATGGAAGTTGTACTCTACTCCCAATAAACGAAGGTTTACCTTGAAGTCTTCTAGTGACTGATGACAGTGAAAGCCCAATGCTTGCTACAATGTTTTGCTTCGTTGTCTTGCAGAATAATGATGCTGGGTGTGTTGAAAAATACAAAATCAAAAGTGAAATTCTGGTTTCTGAAAAATTATCTGTCGCCAACAGTTACGGTAAGTATAATGATGATACAGAAGATATATTTTCTGTATTTGGAAGTTTTTTTCATCCTCAGTTATCCAGTGTATTCCATTCAATGATGATAAATACTCTGAACACATTCCATATCACTAAAAACAGCCATTCAATCAAATTGGTGCTAGAGAAATTCTAGTTGGCTGTTTACATTGCCTGACAACGTCCCTTTACCTGCACACATGCTAGCTGATGTTTACATTGCCTGACACTTCCCTTACCTGCACACATGCTAGCTGATGTTTACATTGCCTGACAACTTCCCTTTACCTGCACACATGCTAGCTGATGTTTACATTGCCTGACAACTTCCCTTTGCCTGCACACATGCTAGCTGATGTTTACATTGCCTGACAACTTCCCTTTACCTGCACACATGCTAGCTGATGTTTACATTGTTGATATCCAATGCTCTGATTGGAGAGCTACCAGTCTGTCTGAATCTATTTGAGGTTCTTTTTAACACTTATGTCGGGGTTGGCTTGTACAGATGTACGATCACTGCTATTTTTAGGACTTCATACCACACATGGCCAAGGAGTATGGGTTTCAATATGAGCTGGTGCAGTACAAGTGGCCACGCTGGCTTATACAACAGAAGGAAAAACAGAGAGTTATCTGGGGGTGAGTGGCAGAGTCACCATGGGGGTGGCTATTACAGGTAGATTGTGTTACTCCAGTGTCAGCACCCTATGTGGAATGTGGGGTGGGACCTCATGACCTGATGCCCCTCTAGATTGTACTTAGTCAAGTGATTGACTGCACTCCCATCCCCTGTGGGGAATCCGTGGCTGTGTCTATTTGATGTGCCGGGAGTTGTTTAATATGGTTACCAGCTTAACATCATGCATGATTAGAGTCGTTCACCAAGTTTAGAGAGTAAGGACTGGTTGTCATCAAGCCCAATAGGTTTGTTTGGCGTAGTCTTGCTGACTTTCAGCCTACCCTGATACACCTGTAATCATGGTAATAGGAAAAATGTATTCATTTACTCAAACATATTGAAAACTGACCAGTGTTATCTTTCCTTTCAGATATAAAATACTCTTTTTGGATGTGTTGTTTCCACTGCATGTGAAGAAAATAATATTTGTCGATGCTGATCAGGTGAGAAGTTATATGTTTGTCCTATTGTGGAGATTCCACACCAGCCTTTCTATTGCACACATCTGGTTCTGGTTGAATGATATAATTTTGATTTCATGACAGTCACTACTAGTTGTAACAAAACGGATGTCATTTAAATGAGTTGTTTCACCTCAACTTTGAAATTCTTACAATTAAACTGAGCTAAAGATCTGCTTTATAGTAAGTGATATTGAATTACACTGGATGCTTCTAATACTGTAGAGGCAGTGGGGTAGTCTAGTGGTTTAAGCGTTCGCTCGTCACACCGAAGACCCGGGTTCAATTCCCCACATGAGTACAATGTGTGAAGCCCATTTGAGGTGTCCCCCCTCCCCCCGTCATGACATTGCTGGAATATTGCGGCATAAAACCATACTCACTCACTCTTATACAGTAACTTCAGTCAGTAAGCTTGTCTCCTACACTACACAGTCCTCCTCCAGTGTTTCATGTAACTTGATTCTTGTTTTCAGATTGTGAGGGCTGATTTAAAAGAACTACATAATTTAGACTTGGGAGGGGCCCCATATGGTTACACCCCATTCTGCAGTGACAGGAAGGAGATGGATGGTTTTAGGTAAGTTTTCAGCTTCTTCTCTTCAAACCTGTTTTCTACATATTCAAACCTCAGTTTCCTTGTCTACAAATACAAAAAGTAATCAGAATTTGATGGATGTGTATGTTCTCAACATGTTAGGGAGTGATTGTACAACTTGTTTATTTCAGGTTTTGGAAGTCCGGCTATTGGGCCAGTCATCTAGCTGGGAGGCCATACCACATTAGGTAATTGATGGGACCGGGTATCATTAGAACTTGGTGCTCCTAGAAGTTTCAGATTCTGTAATCAGTATCCTTGAAATTTACTTATTATGTATGTCTTGTATATTGTAATTAAAACAAAGTATTTTGTGTGGACAGAAGATGCAGTTAAGTCTAAGAAGAACATTTCTTACTGAATGATAATTTGGTAAGTTGCATGAAGCATGCAGTAGTGGAATATTCCAAGTTTGTTTGTTTGTTGTTTAATGCCACATTTAGCAATATTCCAGCTATATGACAGTGGTCTGTAAATAATCGAGTCTGGACCAGACAATCCAGTGATTAACATTATGAGCATCAATCTATGCAATAGGGATCGATGACATGTGAGCGAGCCTGACCACCCAATCCTGTTAGTCACCTCTTACAACAAGCACAGTCAGTCACCTGAAGTGTCGGGATGAGCCTGAGATAATGATACGTAACTTGCTTGCAGTGCCCTGTATGTGGTGGATCTGAAGCGGTTCCGGCGCATCGCCGCTGGGGACCGACTGCGAGGACAGTACCAGGGTCTGAGTCAGGACCCTAACAGTTTGGCCAATCTAGACCAGGATCTGCCCAACAACATGATCCACCAAGTGTCCATCAAGTCCCTGCCCCAGGAGTGGCTGTGGTGTGAGACCTGGTGCTCCACAGAGTCCCTGCAGTATGCCAAGACTATAGACCTGGTCAGTTACTGGTACAACACTACCTTCTTCAGACTGATGAGTTTCTCATGGACATTAAGCTTTGTTGCACTGAGCCACTGCCGTATGAAGCCTGACATCTGTTCTTCTGTTCACAGTGCAACAACCCTCTCACCAAAGAACCTAAGCTGAGTGCAGCCATGAGGATCGTCCCAGAGTGGAAGGAGTATGATTATGAGATCAAAGTGTTGTGGGATAAGGTGTATGGGACCAACACTCGTTTACAGACAGAATATGAAGTATCAGATACACAAAAAGGTATGGGACAGTTAAATAATATTTCTCTAGTTGAACCTTGTTTCCCACAATGCTCATATCTATGCTGAAAGCATGGCCATAACATTGCAAGTCTCAGGCCTAGTTACACAAGATAGCTGTGGAACACACTTCTGCACTAGGCACTCTGTAACTGGAGATTCTGCCTTATTACCTTTGAATAGGATGCATCTGACACATCCATCTTGCCAGAGTATTACATTGTTGCTCACTGTGGTGTAGATGGCCTGCCACTGTACTCTTTTGCTACTGGTCCATCGTTCATTAAAGGTTCGCTATAATGACTGATTTGTAGAGAACCCTCCCCTTCCCCTCTTGTTTTAATTAGCTTTCTGTTTGAAATATACCTGTAAGTACAGGTGACTTTCTTCTTTGTTTCAGATTCACTGAAAAAGGATGAGTTATAACACTGGCCCAAACTAGAGAATGTTATGTACATATGTAAAGTGTTTTGTAATATGATGTGTGGAAATTCTCATCCTCCCTGGTGGAGAACATCATCATGTGGTGACAGGGGAACTGACTTCAAGGCTCTGTAGCGCTTCAGTTTGGACATAATTCGACATATTTAACAGTTACTGCACAAGACACAAAGCTAAAACAGCTTCACATTTTTGAGAATTCCATTAGTTACTTAACCCAACAGCATCTCATCTGCGTGTGTTCCCATCAACTACAGGCAGTGCAGCATCCCCCAGCAGAACACACAGGTCAACATGGAATACACTGCCTGTTGCCAGGCTCAGGGAATCTAGAAACACATCGGACGTTTAGATCATTGACATTCTTCACTTATATCCTTGTTCGATGAAAATCATGAATAAATTTATCTTATGTTTATGTGTTTCATTGAGAAATTATCCAACATCTCACAATACCATTGTCCAGCCTAGGTCTCCGCAAGTTTACCCTTTAACCTGGATGGCGAGAAGTACAGTAGGATTTGTTGACACTTGTTTCGTTTACGTTAAGGTGAACATCATTTCTGAAATGTCTTTGAAGCTCATGCCAATAGTCCAATAGTGAAGTGTTAGATGTATGTATGTCCGTCAGTGTGATTACAGCTCCTGCACATCACGTCAGGTCAGTGGTGACTGCTGGATGTGAGCGTGGACCAGGCCGAGTGTCTGTACACAGCTTGTGCTTCCCTGTGGGTGGAGGTACATCTAGGGGATATTGTCCTGTAGTCTTCTTTGTATGTATGGGCATCAGGTGCAGCAGTTAGAGGGACCAAGTGCAGAATAATGGCAACATTTACATGAATCAAGTCTTTCCCTTCTTTTTAGAAACCCATAGAAACCTCACCCACTACAACTGCACTAAAGAGGGCGACAGTCGTTCCTAGTGCTAGGCATTGTCATTAATTCACATACTGTAAAACGTTGATGTGGGCTGTGAGTTCATGCTAATCATTAACCACTTTCTACGCACCTTAAAATCTGAACTAGCAGTGCAACAAATTGCTGTTTGAATAAAATGAGCTGGAAGTGCCGATGAGCCCTGCTGTAAAAGGCGACTATGCTTGTCGTAAAAGGCGACTACCGGAATGGGATGGTCAGACTCGCTGACTTGGTCGATGCATGTCATCGGTCCCAATTGCGTGGAGCGATGCCCATGATATCAATCACTGGAGTGTCTGGTCCAGACTCGATTATTAACAGACCGCCGTTACTAAGCTGGAATAGTGTTATAAAACAACAAACCAACCAACCAACCATCCAATGAGCCCAGTTCCCCATGTAAGGTATCAGTGAACAACACTGTACCAACCTAGCTGTATTGATTAGGTCGTCTTGTCCAGTGGATGTGTTTGTGATGGTCTCCATGACTGGGAAATAAAGAGATCTCACTGTATAAGGTATCAACCTGTAAGTAAAGGAATAGTTTGAGACAATTACACAAGTCATTAAAAGATGGATGTGTGTATGAAATATGAATGCTTGCTGATGGGGTTTGTTAACTTCATGGTCATGTGGCTAGGGCATCCGACCTCGGGTCAGAAGGTCTGTGGTTCAGATCCCATCATGGGACTCGGACATTGCTTGGCTGCTACATATTCATGACCTGTTGTTGCATGTCTGGAACCTAGCTCTGTGACGCCATGCCTGGTGGAGGCATGAATGCATGTAGCTAAACAACTGGCATGATTGCTTCAAATCTTGAACAAAGTGAGAATTATACATCTGTTTATTCTGATCCTGTTATGTTCTCACATACTTAGTTCAGTACGAGTCATCGGTGTATAGTTTACTTGTAAAAAATGAATTTGCTCCCTACATTATTTCATAAAGATGTGAGTGAACAAATTTGTAGTATATGTAATATGAAATTACATATGTCTGTCCTAAACAACTCAAAACCAGACATGATGTTCAAGATGCAGATGCATGAAGGTGGTTCTGAAATACCTTAACCCAAAGCCCATACCTACAGGTTGACTTCTAGGATTGGAGTTGATTGATCCCTATAACCATCACACTGTCACATACTTCAATGCAGTCCTAATTCCACATCATGAATAATCTTCACTATTATCGGAGTGTTAATAAATCATTGACCTATGGGTTCGCCTGTTGTAAGTCTGGTTGAGGGAGCAGCTTCTGTGTCATGTACATTTCAATCCTCTGACGAACTGTCTACTTGTAAGGCCAAAACAGTAATACTTGATCTTCAGGCACATTCCCTCCACTTTACTTCTGCTTCATGACAAAAGACAAAGGACACCAAGCTCTTGGCTAAAACTATCATGGTCTTCCATTACCACATAATGTAGTATATTATTCTTGTGTTCATTTCATTATAACAGTTATCAATATAGATCTAAGGTTGATCTATGAGTGGGGGGTTGGTGTACTGTGCAATGATTAATTGAGGAAACCCGAGTTCTGCCAACTGAAGGATTGTTCCATCTGTTTTCTGTATCAATGACGTACAGGATGGGAGTGTACTTGGATACACTTTGTAGTAGTGCTGTCTTTGTAGTAGTAGTATTTTTCATTTATTGAATGCAAATCTTTTATATTTTTAAAAGTAGATGTACAGCCAAACTGTACAACAGAGTCTAGGGAAGATGGCTTCATACCATTGTCTTTCTCGGACATTCTGACAGTGGTCAGAATCTTTGTTCCAACTTCAACAGCCATATCATGTACATCCTTTGTAATTTAAGGTTGGGACTTTTTTCAAAATATTTCTCCTTCCATTAGGAGACAATTGGGGTGTCCATTCACTTCAGTTACAGATGTTGCGCTGTAAAACTATCACAAGAACCAAGGATCATCATCTGCAGCAGAAGGGAAGTGTGTCTCCCCGTCAACCATTGCTCCGGGAATTTATCATTGATTTATCGAAATAGACAGTGTACAACTTTCAAGTAAACCCTATTTTGTTCTTCCCAATATCAGTCCAAATGTTTGTAAATCATGAGGAAATAAACATTCCATATATAGATTATCCTGTTGTGTTGTGGCCTGCCACCAACATGTAAACTGCAGGACGAGGGCACCACAGCCAGGGCACCACTGCCAGGGTGCCACAACCAGGACACCACAACCAGGACACCACAGCCAGGGTGCCACAGCCAGGGTGCCACAACCAGGACACCACAACCAGGGTGCCACAGCCAGGACACCAGAGCCAGGGTGCCACAACCAGGACACCACAACCAGGACACCACAGCCAGGGTGCCACAGCCAGGACACCACAGCCAGGCTGCCACAACCAGGACACCACAGCCAGGGTGCCACAACCAGGACACCACAGCCAGGGTGCCACAACCAGGACACCACAACCAGGACACCACAGCCAGGACACCACAACCAGGACACCACAGCCAGGACACCACAGCCAGGGTGCCACAGCCAGGGTGCCACAGCCAGGGTGCCACAACCAGGGTGCCACAGCCAGGACACCACAGCCAGGGTGCCACAGCCAGGGTGCCACAGCCAGGGTGCCACAGCCAGGACACCACAGCCAGGGTGCCACAACCAGGACACAACAGCCAGGGTGCCACAGCCAGGGTGCCACAGCCAGGGTGCCACAACCAGGACACCACAGCCAGGGTGCCACAGCCAGGGTGCCACAACCAGGACACCACAGCCAGGGTGCCACAGCCAGGGTGCCACAACCAGGACACCACAGCCAGGGTGCCACAGCCAGGACACCACAGCCAGGGTGCCACAGCCAGGACACCACAGCCAGGGTTCCACAACCAGGACACCACAGCCAGGGTGCCACAACCAGGGTGCCACAGCCAGGGTGCCACAGCCAGGGTGCCACAGCCAGGACACCACAGCCAGGACACCACAGCCAGGACACCACAGCCAGGGCACCACTCTCAATGTACGACCCTCAGGCACATGGATCACCTCTCATCTGGCTGACCTCTTTGTTTGTTTATTGTTTAGTGCCATACTCAGCAATATTCCAGCTATATGATGGCGGTGTGTAAATAATCGTCAGATGCTTTATTGACATCATGAGCATCAATTTAAGTAATTGGGATACGATGATATGTATCAACCAAGTCAGCGAGCCTGACCACCCAATCCCGGTAGTCGCCTCTTTCGAGGAGCAGGGGTTGCTGAGGACCAATTCTAACCCAGACCTTTGGTGAAGACTTACAAGCCAACAGAGCAAATTATTAATGAAAACATATTATCATGGACATCATGTTTGAAACAAAATGGGTCAGATATATCTTGAATTCTAACATGAATTTGGAAGTCACAATAACCACCTCCGGCTGAAACCTCTCATTGGTCATTAGGTATTTTTAAACAATAATATGTTCAATCATAGGTTACAAAATGAAGATTTTCTGTTACTAAAATATGACAATATATCTTGACCTGAAAACACACTACCTAGGTATTACTTGCTCATCTTGACACTGATGCATGTTTATCCACCACCTAAATATTACTTGCTCATCTTGACACTGAAGCATGTTTATCAACCACCTAAATATTACTTGCTCATCTTGACACTGAAGCATGTTTATCAACCACCTAAATACTACTTGCTCATCTTGACACTGAAGCATGGTTATCAACCACCTAAATATTACTTGCTCATCTTGACACTGAAGCATGTTTATCAACCACCTAAATACTTCTTGCTCATCTTGACACTGAAGCATGTTTATCAACCACCTAAATATTACTTGCTCATCTTGACACTGAAGCATGTTTATCAACCACCTAAATACTACTTGCTCATCTTGACACTGAAGCATGTTTATCAACCACCTACATATTACTTGCTCATCTTGACACTGAAGTATGTTTATCAACCACCTAAATATTACTTGCTCATCTTGACACTGAAGCATGTTTATCAACCACCTAAATATTACTTGCTCATCTTGACACTGAACCATGTTTATCAACCACCTAAATATTACTTGCTCATCTTGACACTGAACCATGTTTATCAACCACCTAAATATTACTTGCTCATCTTGACACTGAAGCATGTTTATCAACCACCTAAATATTACTTGCTCATCTTGACACTGAAGCATGTTTATCCACCACCTACATAATACTTGCTCATCTTGACACTGAAGTATGTTTATCAACCACCTACATAATACTTGCTCATCTTGACACTGAAGCATGTTTATCCACCACCTACATAATACTTGCTCATCTTGACACTGAAGCATGTTTATCCACCACCTACATAATACTTCCCCATCTTGTTGATGAAATAAAGTGTTTATTTTTCTAAATATAGCAAAAACAACAACAACAAAATAAAGTCTCAAATAATGATATGTGGTTACATATATCTGTTTAGACTAGTACCAATACACTTTAAAAGTGATCAATAGAAATGTTACATAGTATAATATTTTTGAAATTCTAAATTCTAATATTTACATAACAAATATATTTCATTTAAATTACACAATTCCTGCATTTATGTATGATATTCATACAAAGTTTCAAGAAGAATTATTGAATAGTTTAAGAGTAATGCTTCTGAAACTAACCCTACCCTTATTTGACCCCACTTGTTGCCTTCGAAAAGCAAAAAAATAATAAATCCCTAAACAGCAAAGGCAGCTGTCCCACAAAGAAGTATTGAAGGGTTGATGATGTTTTTCTGAGGGCAATATCTGAACAATGGAAAACTAGCTAGCAAGTTACTTTAACACCCTTACACTAATGTTCAATGAGTAAACTGATAAACTTGACTTGCTGTTGGTAAATATGTTAATATCTTTTATTAAATGTTAATTCCAAACAATGTCTTCCAAATGATTGTGATCAAGTTTGTCATGTTGATGGTGTGTTGTTTTGCACGAACATTCCCATCACATTTCACAAAAATGCCAAAATAAAAAAATATAGAATTTAAAATTCTATACCATTACAAAAATATTAAGGGTCTAATATTTTTTGTGTTTAACAAACGAAATGATTTGAGAAAAATAATGTGTATTAACTGTTAGTTAAACATCACTTTGCAATTGTCAATTATTAACCTCGATGATAATGTAACCTGATAAAATAGTGTGTGGTTACAGTGTGATTCAAACCTGCAAAGTCCATACGGCGACCACAAGGAAGACCTTGCAAGGAATTAACAAGTAAATGTTCACTAACAATAAAACTAGTTAATCCGTTATTGAATGGGAACATTTGTGTTTATTCAGTACAATATTTTATACACTGAATGGACACATGATTTGCAAGTTTCATGTAAGGACCTTATGTTTTCATTTGTTGGATCAAGGATCCGCCAAAAGAATGTTACTTCAAAATTGGAAAAAAAATAACAAAGATTTACACTAATTTTCTTTGTGCCGACAGGTCATACTTTCAAAATGATTTTGAGATTAGTGTCGTAAAAGAGTTCCACTGCATAATAAACCTCGGAGTTATGTCCCTTGTCCTTGATACAGGGACTTGGCTGAATTTAAATCTTTAAAAATGACAAAAAAAGCAAATCTTTGAACTGTGCATCATTGAACTTGTCAGATGTGAATACAGAAGTGAATTAAAACTGAACTGAAATGGGTTTATTTTCTCTTTTATTGCCCCCCAAAATCTGTGATTCAACAAATAAACAAATATTGGTACTAGGATTTGATTAGACAATTGGTCAGAGATATAAGTATCATATAAAAAATATATATATCTACAAAATAAAATCCAAATGGAGCACAGAATTTTCTAAACTCAGTCCAGACTGGAGAACTATGCAGAATCTTTGGGTAATCAATATGAAAATCTTTTAATTACAACTTTGTGACGAGTTGAAGGTCTGGGATGATTCATGCACAGGAGGTCGACCTTTTGGTAATAAGAGGGTTGACTAAGGGAACAAAGGTCTACTTCATAAACATGGCTTGATTTGGGGATTAGGAAAGACAATAGGATTACGATGTGTTTTCCTAACATGTTAATCCAGATTATGAAGGTTGGAAGCATAGACAGGACATAACATGGACTACATTACACTCTCATTTTACATGTTCATTCACTTAACACTGAACATCGAAGTTCGCGTATGTGAACACACGACCCAGGGAGATTACCAGTACCTGAACGACACATCAACACTGCAGGGAGATTACCAGTACCTGAACGACACATCAACACTGCAGGGAGATTACCAGTACCTGAACGACACATCAACACTGCAGGGTACACCGGTTTTTTTAAAAGATCCTGTGCAGACCCTGAGAAAATAGTATTATTGAAGACAACACCACAACCACTGGGTTGGTGGGGGAGGTCATAAATAAAACCACTTGGTGGGTGGGAGAGGTTATGAATACAAGTACTGGGTGGGTGGGAGAGGTTAATAATACAACCGCTGGATGGGTGGGAGAGGTCATAAATACAACCACTGGGTGGGTGGGAGAGGTTATAAATACTACCACTGGGTGGGTGGGAGAGGTTATAAATACAAGTACTGGGTGGGTGGGAGAGGTTAATAATACAACCGCTGGGTGGGTGGGAGAGGTCATAAATACAACCACTGGGTGGGTGGGAGAGGTTATAAATACTACCACTTGGTGGGTGGGAGAGGTTATAAATACAAGTACTGGGTGGGTGGGAGAGGTTAATAATACAACCGCTGGGTGGGTGGGAGAGGTCATAAATACAACCACTGGGTGGGTGGGAGAGGTTATAAATACAACTAAAAAACTTTCAGGAAAAGTTAATAGCAGCCTATCAGATGTATGAGAACAGTCGTGTAATGCAGACAGGGGGTGGGGCGGTGTGCAAGGGAGTTACAGCTAGGTTTTGACTAGTTATGACCCTCCTGTCATGCTTGTCATATGTTTTGGTGACATTCACATGAATACCCCACTCACTGACCCTGAGCCGACCAGTCCTTGTTTTAGCCCCTTAATGCCAAGTGCCAGACAGGGTAACAACAAGTACCATATTTTAACGTCTTTTGGTATGATGCAGCCTGGGATCGAACCCTAGACCTTTGGCTCTCCGGGCGGACGCTCTACCACAGGACCATGGAGGCGGTCTTCAGTTATTAGTGAGTGAGTGAGTATGGTTTTACGCCGCTTTTAGCAATATTCCAGCAATATCACGGCGGGGAACACCAGAAATAGGCTTCACACATTGTACCCATGTCGGGAATCAAACCCGGGTCTGCGGCGTGACGAGGGAACGCTTTAACCACTAGGCTACCCGACCGCCCCTCTTCAGTTATTAAGAAGTGTACTGAAGTGTTTGTGAGTACAAGACGACAACCTTCAGATGGCCATAATGTCCTGGTTTGTAACTTGACGGGGGAGTCATGATGCGATAAGGCTGAAACATTACTTCATGAAAACAGCAACAAAACTGATAGGTGGAAACAGCACCAAATAACAAAAACAGCACCATATACCAGTCTGTAATTTAAGGTCACTTGTACTCATGCGCTTATCGCAACATGCCCATTTTATCTAAAAACACATTCTCCTCGACTCTCACTTGCATTCCAAGGAATTTATTTAGACCTTATCAGTATTCAAGTCTGCACCTAACCCTTCTCAGGCGCCAGTATTCAAACCCAAATCTGCACCTAGACCTTCAAAGAGGCCAGTATTCAACCCCAGGTCTGCACCTAGACCGTCTCAGAGGCCAATATTCAAGTCTGCATCTAGATCTTCTCAGGCGCAAGTATTCAACCCCAAGTCTGCACCTAGACCTTCTCAGAGGTCAGTATTCAACCCCAAGTTTGCACCTAATATTAGTAAAAATCCCAAACTGGAACTACACATTTTCCCATTCATGCTGTTATAGTTATAACTAATGAAATAGTTGGCTTGTATTTCTCAACACGACCGGGGCGGTCGGGTAGCCTAGTGGTTAAAGCGTTCCCTCGTCACGCCGAAGACCCGGGTTCGATTCCCGACATGGGTACAAAGTGTGAAGCCCATTTCTGGTGTCCCCCGCCGTGATATTGCTGGAATATTGCTAAAAGCGGCGTAAAACCATACTCACTCACTCACAACACGACCATTACACAGTGGTAAACAGGAGTAGACATTTTTACGAGGGCTGGTCAAAAAGTTCTAGGCCTGACTAACTCAACTAGTCAATGTAGTACATTGTTTGAGTAGTTCATTGCAAGTGTATTTGGTCTGTTGAGGCTGTGTGTATATTACTGAAAGCCAGTTGAACGTGATTGGGGTCCAAAGGGACACAAAAATGGAAAAAAACAAGTCCAGAACAGTCATTAAGTTTTTGACTTTAGAGAAAAGTAGTCTCCAAGAAATACATGACCGCATGTCACAAGTGTATGGGACAAGTGCCGAGCTATTCCATTGTTAAACGTTGGGCAGCTATGTTAAAGGCTAGGAGAACAAGCCTTGATGATAACCCTACATCTGGTCGTCATTCAACTTCCATCAGTGAAGATTCAATCAAGGAGATAGAAAAAACTTATTCTGTCAGATAGACTATTACCATTGATAAACTTGAGGAAGACAGAGGCCTCATATAAATCCTAAAGAAGTCTAAATTAACTTACCCCAATCAGTGCAGTGCAGTGAATCATGCAGAGTTGTAACGCAGCAGTGACCAGAGAAGAGAACTATTGAAGTGTTTAAAGCTAAAAACCTGGTCACATGCTACAGAAACAATAGAAAAGGCAATCACTGGCCAAGCTGTGGCTGGACCAGATCACTAAAGACCTTACATAACTATACCCCGTACTTTACCTAAGGATTAGTAGAGAGTGTTCAGGTTAGTTTAAAGAGCTATTACCATACTTAACTCAATTATTTACCTAAGTTTAAAATACGTAAGTTAAAATACACACTATTTTACATTCTGCTACATGTGGAACCATTCATGCACCATTTTGTTACTAGTAATGTTGCTGTGAACCTGTATTTTTCAAAGATATCAGGGAAATGAACAAAAAACTTAGCACCAGAGGCTCTTACTAAAATCGACTGATTCGTAATGTAAGTTGATTTCATATTTAAGTTATGATATAGTATCTTTGAAGATTTAATATGTATGTTACACTCCAGGGAATAACAAATGGTCAGTCTATTCAACTGCTTCACGCTATCAACAACTCGGCTGGACAACTTGAAGTTGCTCTCTACGATATAACACGTATTACCCATGGTGGACCAATATAAGTACTGCGAGAGGTAATAATAAGTTATTACTAGATAAAGACCATCGCACTATATCTGATGGGTATTACAGTGTATGCTCACACAATGATGAAATTTTAAAGCCTTTGGGAGCTAGTCTCACACAAAATGAGTCGAATGGGGGTGCTGATTTTAAGCAGTGGCGTACATTCTATGAAACTTGATAGGGACTTAGCAAATACGCTTGGATTTATAAGAAGATAAGTAACATTCGACACAACAGTGCATGGAGTTAAATTGCCCAATATAGTTCCCTATAAAGAGTTATGCATCCATCTTGATCAGATCAGTACAACGGATAATATTCAACTCGAAAGTCCTTCAACTCTGCAAAGAGCTATTCCAGCCAAAGATGAAAAATACAATAGTGGTAGAACTCAATCTTTCTCATCATTACAATATAAAAAGTTAAAGCGGGGTATTATTACAGATCTCAAAATTTCTGTATTAGATGTAAAACATATAGGATATTTGAGTGTAACACTCCATATTATAAATAATGGTTGATTCTTCAGGTCCTGGAACGCATAACCTTAGACAATGTAATACAATTGCGCTTTCCGATCTTGGAGACACAGAAGGATTTGATAAACCCCGTTCCGATGGCAAGTTATATGCTTAACATTTACAAGATAATGTATACAAACGGAAAGAAGTTGTATACAGGGCACCTGTGCCTAATCTAGGATCGAGATTTAAATGATGTTGTCGTTAGTATACTCCATAAAAACACTTCATACAATCTTTTTGCAATGATCATAATAATTGGTCTATGGTCGACGCAAAAAAATGAATGGCTACTGAATATCATCATTGCCCCACCTTATGTGATGATGGGTAAGGGACATCAATTAACTAAGATAATAAATAGTGGGATCGTACTAGGGGCTTATATCCCATCAAAACGAAAAAGTGTGTTTGTCTCTCCCCTGCCAGAAAACCCAGGCTATATGTGATTGAATCGTCCAGCATTAAAAAAAGTTAGTTTAAATTTGGTTACTGAATTCATTGATGTGAGACATAACTTGGCTACTATACCTGGTCTTTCTACACTTATTATTGAAGTCTTGTTGGGGGATGCGCCAGAAGAAACCTTCGAGATAATACCAAATGAAAGCATTTTGCTTACTAAGATATTTATTCCATATAATATACATATAATACAGCTGATGTATTCTCAAGTCATTTGCACTCGACTATTTAAACACTCTTGTGTCATATTATATATTGTGGGTTTATATATACGGAGCTCAATGAAGCATCTGAAAAGATGGATACTGTTGATGGATTTCGTTTACATGAAATAAGCGACATAAAACATTGAATAGAGAAGGAGAGGGAGTTGAGACTTGGATTGTATAAAAAGTATCGCAGAGCTGTGAATGCTCCCGACGGAGTTGACACTGCACTTGTAACAGCTGACATGGGACTCGGTGTTAGTTTGTTATCAACTATAATCGCTGCACCTATCGTACTTAGCATGGAAATAGCAGCCGGAGTCTCTGGACTGGCGGGAATAGCGATAAAAGAAAGCATTAAAACACGATAGTATTCGTATACTCGCCGAAGCAAAGTTGAATAGCATTGAGCAAGCGCGTCAATTATTCTGTGCCAAAACCGAAGAACTGGTTGGAGATTAAGAATAGATTGTTTCCTGGATACATCGTTGGATCACATTTAGATGAATGCCTACATAAGTCTATAATAATGGAGAATTACAAGCCTATCAAATGGCGAGAATTACATCAGTGATGTCAAACCAACCAAATACGGTTATCAATTGTTTCTTTCCAATTTCGAAGAAGAGTATTCAGTCTGGTCTCCTAGTAAAATGAACGAAGAACTTAGTAAAAATGTTGAATATAACTTTGTTCAAAATATAATGGTCTGCGTATGAGTAAAAATAATAAAATATATTTTCATTAAAATTTAGCTTCGTCTCATTGAATCACATCATCATTTTTGCATAAAAATTTACCTACCGGTATGTGGTATAAATCTATAGCTAGCTCCAGTGGAAGTGAGCTAGAACTGTCATTGCCTATAAAACTTCATATCATGGTGGTGAGTTAGAGCCAATTTAGCTGAGTCTCATGACGATTAGTTGTGTGCATCATCGTTTTTGCTAAAAAATTCCCTCTGTAGTAGCAGTAGAAGGATATAAACATAGCTCCAGTGGAAGCGAGCCATAACTGTCATTCCCTATACTATACTCACGGTGGCATCTGAAAACCGATATTGTAAGTGTATTGAAAAGTTGGGCGATTATGTTGAAAAATTTGTATTTATGAGTTGGAAGAACATAAATACCTGACACTTTTGTGGGTACGATTAAAAGAACTTGTTATCCATAAAAGTGTTTTCAATAAATGACCATTCCCCAAATAACGTGAAAAGAAAGGCCTATATTTTGGGGGTTTGAAAAAATAGAACTGTCATTTCTTCATGCCCCTCCCCATATAGTTGTTCAGATTTTAGCAATCCCCTGCTCTTCGTTGTCATTTTTTCACAGCTGTCACGGTGATCTCGGTGCATAAAACAAAACTTTTGAGTGATGTGAGGTGTTTCTTACATTACGAAATGTCATGTCATGGGTTCGATCGCGACCAGAAATCTGTATATGTTAGGTCCTCCAGGTAATGAACAAACACCACAAACCTGGATTCAGAAACCGGGACAATCTGTAAATGTACTCACAACCTTACAAAGGAAAATGCTTACTTTTGTACTTTTCTTAATTAATTAGGTACTCAAACGGGCCAAACGATATGGCACATAAGCATGTTCATGTATTTATAAAGAAATGTACTATTGTAAGAAAGTTGAATAATATTGAAACAAATATCTGTTTTTCCGGATTATAAATTTACCGGATGTTATGATTGCTGTTTCTTCCGTGTTTTGGTACTTTCAATGTCCACGTGTGGAGCGATGGTTGGCGCGTAGGTATAACTAACTGTCGAAACAAGTGGTAACTATTGCATAGATTAGTTGCTGACATTGGATTCCACGTCGTCCTTTGATGAGTGCACTGTAGCTCTTCAGTTCAAGCTTGAGAGTGTTCCAGCTGGTAAGTGACAAGTAGGCCTAATCACGGCATCAGTGGACTCATTTCCTATACTATAGAATCTATTCAACGATGTTAATGTTATTAATTTCAAATTGTTGTCCTTTTAGTGCTTCCTTGATGGATAGAGATAAAACTTATATAAACTCTGGTATATAATTAAGTGTTACCCTGTTAGATATAAAATTATATTTAGATCTATATTCAGATTACCATAGAAGGAAAGATTGACCAAACAACAATGTTTTGTGAGATATTATGGACAGAGTGTGATGCAGGCAGGGGCGACAAGCAAGGTCCTACCTTGACTAGAAATAGCATACAGACCTATCACGGGTCAATTGTCCCGCTGCTGTGCTTGGCAGACAGGACCCACAGCAGAGATACTGTCGGTACTATCAGAACCAGTTATATGGTTTGATTCCACAACCATCTGGCCACTACCTCGGACTCCCGACTGACGGGTACCAACTGGCATGTGAAGGGCGGAATGAAGTGTAGGGGGGGCTTTTGCAAGGCAGTGGATACACTTGTTGTCCGCCATCCTGAACTGAAGTTCCTGGTAATCCATCTATGTCAGCAGTGTGCATAATGTATTTAGAAATTTTGTGCGCTGCTGTTTTGTATGGAGCAAACAGGGCTTTAGTTTAACACCATGCTGGTGTTGCACAATACTTTGGCTGTCTGCTAACTACAGATGGAGCCCCAATTCTTCTGCCTGCTGTTTCTGCAGGGGGAGTGACAGTATCTAGGCTTGGTTCCTGTCTGCCAAGCACGGTGGAGGGACAACTTGACCCGTGATAGGGTCTGTATGCAATTTCTAGTCTGTGGTAGGACCTTGCTAATCGCCCCCGCCTGCATCAGCCACACTCTGCCCATTATATCCCACAAAACAATTATGTTTGGTTATATTTAGAACCGTTATATACATCTAAAACATTCTTCAGTTTTTTTTTAAATCTCAAAATGCTTACTCATTTTGGGGAAAAACCAATAGAGTGATAAATAGATAAGTGAAAAAATATTGGTTACCCAATGAAAAATGTGATAACCAAATTAAAATAGAAACCTTCAAGTAAAAACTCAATTGCTCAAAAAGTTATCTGGAACTCTGATTCAAATAGATACACCTGAGCTTCAAAGATGAGTACTAACAAATATAATGTGTTAAGCATGGCAAGAAGTTGGGTTGTTTGTTAAATCCTGCAACTAGTCTGGAGAAATACTGTAACATTATGATGTTTCCTTATGTGTATGATGTGGGTCATGACATGTCAGGTAGTCAGAGATTGTGGGTTCGAGTCCCGGTTCGCCCCGAATGTGTTTCTGGGTTTGTTGGCACTATACCCGTGCTCGTGGGTTCACTGTAGTGATATACGTCTGAGACCTGCATCACTTTGGGCTTTCCTCCCACATCAAGCTGACAGACCGCGATATAACTGGAATACTGTTAAAAGCGGCGTTAAACCCAACTCACTCACTCACTTACTCACTCAGGTAGTCAGAACCACATCCCTGTTTTTAGGTTTAGGACATGGACTCTAAGATTACTAGCATGCACTAGAGTGTACATGTTTTTATAGGGAAGGGTTCTATCCCCAGGTATTGAAGATGGTGATACTCTCTTGACTGAAAGGTGACAAGAAATACCACAACTTTGGTCCACTTGCCGAGATGTGGAACCGCAACCGTCGCGGTGGGCTGGGAGTCATGCTACTAGCTGGCCAGATCATGAATGTTGGGGTTCACAGAATCCCCCCTGTCACTCTGGCTCTCATAGCAGCGCAGACTGCCATATTCCTCAACTTTGTGCCCCAGTACTTTCCCTCGGCCTCAGCTGTGTGCATGAGCACATACTTGGTGTATTATCACAAGCAGTGGAAAAGGTTGATTCTTGGGACATTTTTTCATGCTGATGACATGCACTTGTATTTCAATATGTCCTCCTTGTTGATGAAGGGTTTGACGCTAGAGAAAAGGTTAGGCAGTGTCTACTTCGCCTACCTGGTGGCTGTGTTTACTGGGTTAACAAGTCTCACCTATGTGGGGTTAAACATGCTTCTGGAGAATGCCATGGAGGACCACACTTATTCTACTTCATGTGCTGTTGGATTCTCAGGTAATAGCTGGATCTTCTCCATCTGTTATTAGTCTTATCCTTATTCATGTAGATGTATTACCGATACATTGCACAAGCGTCATGCCAGATGTCCTCACCAATGATAACTATAACATTAATGGATGAGTGACAGTACACCGTGGCTAAGGTGTGATATGACAGTCATGGCACAATTTTAACAGTGTAAATAGTTCTCAATATATCATTTTGCCAGCATCCTTTAAGCTTTAGTTGTATTTTATCCAAGTGCCAACCAATGAGATTAACTGCTAACTGGTAATTATGTGATTAGTGCATTTCTGTAGAGTATACTCGGTAGTACCAATCTGTCCTTGTGCTGCAGGTGTTCTGTTTGCCCTGAAGGTGCTGACAACCCACTACACCCCGCCTGGTCTCCACTACGCCCTGGGCCTCATCCCTGTGCCCTCCCGCTACATCTACTGGGCGGAGCTGGTGCTCATACAGATGATCACACCTAACGCCTCCTTTGTTGGTAATGTAGCAACTCTGATGCATGATGGGATATAGGGGCAGGAAACAACTAGCCCCATTAGTTCATGGTAGCAATGGCAGTTGTCAAAGTAACAGCAGCTTTTGTCAGATCATTTTCCCGAGGCAAGAGAGTTAACTGACTATAAAAGTCCAGTTTCCACCCTTGCCAAACTAGGCTGGGATTATTTTGGCTGGACTAAAGATTCTATGCATAGTCCAATCAAAATCGCGCACCGAAATCAAAATCCGGTTCGTAAACTGTCATGCAGAATTCGGTCAATTGCAGGATTTGCAACATATGTGCATCGCCAACTTGTTGTCAACAGATATTTTCCAAATCTTTTCATGTTTTTAATCAAGGTGCTCACATGATTTGATGTACTTCGCGAAGTAAGAACTGTTTTATCCCAAAATAGATCTTGATGGTCGATCAGATCGTCTTGACTTGGTGCCACCGTTTTGTTTGAAGCAAATGCATGTGATGCGAGAGACGGAATCTGATTGGTCCATATGGGAGAGGCATAGAATGGACATAACTCGTAATAGTCACTGGTGGCACTACGATCGAGCCCAGGAATTCCAGCCTAGTTTGGCAAGGGTGGAAACTGGATTTGTAAAGTCAGTTAACGCCCTTGCCTCGGGAAGATGTTGTCAGATAGATTGATACAACTTTTGCAAATTATCCCGATACACAAGTACAGGCAGTTGAAAGAAATTGTTTCATAACTAGGACATACTAGTGAGAAATTCCATTGTTAGAAAATCAACTTTTCAGGTAAAATAAGCACCAGACAATAATCTGATGAGTGCAGCATGGTAACCATGATTATGAAGATTGACGTCCAAGGAGACGGAGACACAGCTAGTGTTAGGGTGACGGGCTGATTGACGTCCAAGGAGACAGAAACACAGCTAGTGTAAGGGTGACGGGCAGATTGACATCCAAGGAGACGGAGACACAGCTAGTGTTAGGGTGACGGGCAGATTGACGTCCAAGGAGACAGAAACACAGCTAGTGTTAGGGTGACTGGCAGATTGACATCCAAGGAGACGGAGACACAGCTAGTGTTAGGGTGACGGGCAGATTGACGTCCAAGGAGACGGAGACACAGCTTATGTTAGGGTGACGGGCAGATTGACGTCCAAGGAGACAGAAACACAGCTAGTGTTAGGGTGACTGGCAGATTGACATCCAAGGAGACAGAGACACAGCTAGTGTTAGGGTGACGGGCAGATTGACGTCCAAGGAGACGAAGACACAGCTAGTGTGAGGGTGACGGGCAGATTGACGTCCAAGGAGACAGAAACACAGCTAGTGTTAGGGTGACGGGCAGATTGACATCGAAGGAGACGGAGACACAGTGTTAAGGTGACGGGCAGATTGACGTCCAAGGAGACAGAAACACAGCTAGTGTTAGGGTGATGGGCAGATGGACATCCAAGGAGACGGAGACACAGCTAGTGTTAGGGTGACGGGCAGATGGACATCCAAGGAGACAGAAACACAGCTAGTGTTAGGGTGACGGGCAGATGGACATCCAAGGAGACGGAGACACAGCTAGTGTTAGGGTGACGGGCAGATTGACGTCCAAGGAGACGGAGACACAGCTAGCATGAGGGTGATGGGCAGATTGACGTCCAAGGATACGGAGACACAGCTAGTGTTAGGGTGACGGGCAGATTGACGTCCAAGGAGACGGAGACACAGCTAGTGTAAGGGTGACGGGCAGATTGACGTCCAAGGAGACGGAGACACAGCTAGGGTTAGGGTGACGGGCAGATTGATGTCCAAAGAGACGGAGACACAGCTAGTGTTAGGGTGACGGGCAGATTGATGTCCAAAGAGACGGAGACACAGCTAGTGTAAGGGTGACGGGCAGATTGACGTCCAAGGAGACGGAGACACAGCTAGGGTTAGGGTGACGGGCAGATTGATGTCCAAAGAGACGGAGACACAGCTAGTGTTAGGGTGACGGGCAGATTGATGTCCAAAGAGACGGAGACACAGCTAGTGTAAGGGTGACGGGCAGATTGACGTCCAAGGAGACGGAGACACAGCTAGGGTTAGGGTGACGGGCAGATTGATGTCCAAAGAGACGGAGACACAGCTAGCATGAGGGTCATGGGCAGATTGACGTCCAAGGAGACGGAGACACAGCTAGTGTTAGGGTGACGGGCAGATTGACGTCCAAGGAGACAGAGACACAGCTAGTGTGAGGGTGACGGGCAGACTGACGTCCAAGGAGACAGAGACACAGCTAGTGTTAGGGTGATGGGCAGATTGACGTCCAAGGAGACAGAAACACAGCTAGTGTTAGGGTGACGTCCAAGGAGACAGAGACACAGCTAGTGTTAGGGTGACGGGCAGATTGACGTCCAAGGAGACGAAGACACAGCTAGTGTGAGGGTGATGGGCAGATTGACGTCCAAGGAGATGGAGACACAGCTAGTGTTAGGGTGACGGGCAGATTGACATCCAAGGTGACGGAGACACAGTGTAAGGGTGACGGGCAGATTGACGTCCAAGGAGACAGAGACACAGCTAGTGTTAGGGTGACGGGCTGATTGACGTCCAAAGAAACAGAGTCACAGCTTGTGTTAGGGTGATGGGCAGATTGACATCGAAGGAGACGGAGACACAGCTAGTGTGAGGGTGAGGGGCAGATTGGCATCCAAGGTAACGGAGACACAGTGTTAGGGTGATGGGCAGATTGACATCGAAGGAGACGGAGACACAGTGTTAGGGTGATGGGCAGATTGACATCGAAGGTGACGGAGACACAGTGTTAGGGTGACGGGCAGATTGACGTCCAAGGAGATGGAGACACAGCTGGTGTTAGGGTGACGGGCAGATTGACGTCCAAGGAGACAGAAACACAGCTAGTGTTAGGGTGACTGGCAGATTGACGTCCAAGGAGACGGAGACACAGTGTTAGGGTGACGGGCAGATTGACGTCCAAGGAGACAGAGACACAGCTAGTGTTAGGGTGACGGGCTGATTGACGTCCAAAGAAACGGAGACACAGCTAGTGTGAGGGTGATGGGCAGATTGACATCGAAGGAGACGGAGACACAGTGTTAGGGTGATGGGCAGATTGACGTCAAAGGAGACAGAGTCACAGCTAGTGTTAGGGTGATAGGCAGATTGACATCCAAGGTGACAGAGAAACAGTGTTAGGGTGACGGGCAGATTGACGTCCAAGGAGACGGAGACACAGCTAGTGTGAGGGTGACGGGCAGATTGACGTCCAAGGAGACAGAGACACAGCTAGTGTTAGGGTGACGGGCTGATTGACGTCCAAAGAAACAGAGTCACAGCTTGTGTGAGGGTGATGGGCAGATTGACGTCCAAGGAGACGGAGACACAGCTAGTGTGAGGGTGAGGGGCAGATTGGCATCCAAGGTAACGGAGACACAGTGTTAGGGTGATGGGCAGATTGACATCGAAGGAGACGGAGACACAGTGTTAAGGTGACGGGCAGATTGACGTCCAAGGAGACAGAGACACAGCTAGTGTTAGGGTGACGGGCAGATTGACGTCCAAGGAGATGGAGACACAGCTAGTGTTAAGGTGACGGGCAGATTGACATCCAAGGAGACAGAAACACAGCTAGTGTTAGGGTGACGGGCAGATTGACATCCAAGGAGACGAAGACACAGCTAGTGTTAAGGTGACGGGCAGATTGACATCCAAGGAGACAGAAACACAGCTAGTGTTAGGGTGACGGGCAGATTGACGTCCAAGGAGATGGAGACACAGCTAGTGTAAGGGTGACGGGCAGATTGACATCCAAGGAGACGGAGACACAGCTAGCATGAGGGTCATGGGCAGATTGACGTCCAAGGAGACGGAGACACAGCTAGTGTTAGGGTGACGGGCAGATTGACATCCAAGGAGACGGAGACACAGCTAGTGTAAGGGTGACAGGCAGATTGACGTCCAAGGAAATAGAGACACAGCTAGTGGAGACACAGCTACTGGGCTGATCTACACTCCTAACTTCTAGAAGTTCAAATTAGATTTCTGTTTCTGTGTTTGTTTGCTGTTTAACACACTCAGCAGTATTCCAGCTTTATGACAGCAGTCTGTAACCAATCAAGTCTGGATCCAGTGATTGATATCATGAATATCGATGCACGCAATGACATGCATCAACCAAGTCAGTGATCCTGACTACCCGATTCTGTCAGTCACCTCTTACAATAATCATGGGTTGCTGAAGACCTATTCCAACCCGGCTCTCCTTGGTTGAAATAGGTTTCTGACCACCCTTCATGCATGTAGAATTTTAGGTTTTTTTGCTCATAGAAATGTTATTGTTCAAACAAGATCACATAAACTGTTTCCAGTGGTTAGAGCTATCTGATGGTAAGCTCTTGTAGTCTCTGCTGTGTGTGTAAGGTGAAGTGTGTGTACAACTGTGACCCCTTCATGAACATGTAGACAGACATTCCGTCAATGTTCAATACTCACCAGACATCCATCTTAGGACGATGATCTCACTTTTAGTAATAAGTTTCTTACATTTGTTGTGTAAATATTGGTTCTGTGCAGTGTTTTGTTTACAGTTGGTGTATTTTTCCTCCCCCCTCCCCCATGTCTGCAGGTCACCTGGCAGGGATCCTGGTGGGGCTGCTGTACATCAAAGGCCCCCTCAAGCCAATCATGGACGGCTTTGTTCCCCCCGGTAGGTTGTCTTCACTCCCCACTTGGAAAACTTCAGAAAACATAAACAGTAAACACTGTGTTTGTGTATTTACACAAATAATCACTGCTATCTGGGCACCCTATAGTCAAGTGCTAAGAGTAAATAACAATAGTCTCCCTCAATATCTCGTATCCAAACTTTCATATCATTTTTTATCCTGCTCCTGTAATTTCAAGAAATGACATGTATTTATACTGATGGATTAAGGTTCTTCTATTTCAATAAACATGGACAAACTTTGTGAGTCGCCTCAACCTGTCACTGCAGGCCCATCCTACACATACACTGCCAGGAATAGTGGGTATCGGTCAGCAGGATACACAACAGGAAGGTCATGGGCGTCTCCACAGCAACAGTACAGTCAACCCAGTTACTCTGACCAGTCGGCATACACAGGGGGGATGAGTGAAGAGGAACAATATGCACATGCTCGAGAGGAGAGTTTACAACAACAGCGGGCTGCAAGTCAGTCAAACAGTAAGGAATGACACATTTGTATCTTGTTTGTCTGAAAACAAAGTTAGATACAAGCAGGACTACGCTCCAGGTTGTACTGTGCTGTCCAGTTTCTTTGTGCCTTAGGCAACAACAGAAGCTCTATATACATGTTGGGGGCACGGGTGGCCCAGTCGTCTAAGGCGCCGTGATTTGCTGTGCAGAGTTGCGTCCCTTGGGCAGGCCAGAAACCTATGATTGTGGGTTCGAATCCCAGTTCGCCCCAATTGTTTTCTAGGTTTGTCAGCACCATACCCTAATCGTGGGTTTCACCGAAGTGGTAAACGTCTGCAACCTGCATCACTTCGGGCTTTCCTCCCACATTAAGCTGACACGCCGTGATATAACTGGAATACTGTTAAAAGTGGCGTTAAACCCAACTCACTCACTCACTATATACATGTTGTAGCGGGTAGCAATTAAAGACTTTTAAAAGGAAAACTCACATTGATGACAGGACCTTTTTGCATGAATTTATACCATTATACTTGGTACATGCTTTCATTTATTTTAATGTCAAATATGTATCTCGCAGTGCAAATGTGTTGCATAGTCCCTCTAGTGGCAGGATTTTTTTATTTTTCTTGTTATATGTCTTTCTACTTTCTACTCTAGTTGTATTCATGTTATTGAGAGAATAATTATGGCAGATATAATTAAGGTTAACAGTGCATTGTGTTTCTGTGGTATTCATGTGAATGAAGGCCTAATGTAGTATTTAACTACCCTGTTTCAGGATTATACCCTGACTTGGATGAACTGAGGACCAGGCGGAGCCAGCACTACAACCGGTACAGGTGACCCACCCATCACCACATGCTGCAAGTCATACACAGAATGTTCCATCAGGGTTGGTCCAGGACTAGCTGCACTGTGTTCAATCAACATCACTGGAAATCTAGTTCTTATGACACAAGGAAATGTCTGTGATAATTGTCCACTTTCTGCCTCTGGCTTTTGTGTCCAAACGAGTCTTGACATTTGTGATAATTCCTCCAATTCATGTTGATTATATTTATCCCCTGCCACAAAGTGGAAGGGGCATATATATAGGAATGGGTGCTGTCCGGTCATCCGTCACATTTTGCAGAACTAAAAAACATTGAGAGATATCTTTACCAAACTTGGCACATAGATAGGTCTAGAGGTGAACTTGTGCCTTTTAATATTTTGGGATTTTTGAAAAAAATATTTTTTGGGTTTCCATGGCAATGACTTTGAATTAGATCTTGAAAACCGTACAATAGTTTCTTGCCTTGCACACAACCAAACTTGTCATATTGGCAGAGGATATGAGTATTTCATGCTGGGTTTATTCATTTACATGACTTCTATCAGTAGCCCACTACTGCACATTTATGCTGCTTATCAGATATTCCAAGGATGTATGCAGAAATGGTCAGCTTGTAAACTACATTTTCAGTATAACTGTGGTTTTTGTTATGTGTATGTATATACCAATGTGAGCCATTGATGGAGAGCCTTTTGCCTGATTCATCTATGGAACATTTGTACAGAATAGATTTAATAGTTAAGGACATTTCTGAACACATTTATTCATGACCAATGACATGAAGCTGAAAGTGAATGAAACTTTGTATTGATACTATTATTTTGTAAATTAGAAAATTACATTAACCATTTGTAGACATGTTATAAGAAAAACAACTTTCAAATCTTTGTACTAAGAATGAACTGAAGACCAACAGTACCAGCAATAACAAGGTTTCATCTTTGACATAAAACTGTTATATGTACATGTATTAACATACAACCAACAGACAACTTTCCTAGTAAAAATACCAACAGTACTCTCTTGTTTTTGTTATGATTTATTTGTTTACCCCATATATTACATATATACATAACAAGTATAAAAATATGATTTCTAATATCTCTTGAAAACAACAGCACACAGTAACAATAAATATTTCCTCCAATGTTGAAGATACACTGCAAAGAAGCCAAGGCAGCAGCTTGATAACTAAGTGATCGAGTCCAGGGTTCACTTGCTGACAAATAACTGACTTTCATTAACATAGACCTGGAGGGGAGCTCTCCTAGTGCAAGTGAGCCTTGGTAAAGTAATTCATCTAATGCTGAAGGTGAAGGCCGGTTCTCTTGCCCAGATATTCCCTCTCTGTCTGATGAGACATCACTTCTACAGATACTTGTTTCAGAAACGCTGAGACCTTGGATTCTCATATCTCTACAGAAGCAGCTGTCCTGAAATACTGCTGCAATGGGTAATAACATATCCTCAATGGGAACTATGTGCCCTAATATTGAACAAGCAAATCTAACCGCCCACACATACATGGTCATACCAACATGTTAGCCGACATTTGCGACATCTAGAATAAATATATCACCTATAATACCACAAAAACTAAGCTTCCCAAGGTAACAGTAATCTCAGCTTGAAACAGCACTCTGATGGCAGAATGTACTGCTGAACCAGCCTGCTGTCACTGTCCTGCCATGTGAAGCAGTGTCCGTCTGTCCCACCCAGGAGCCTCCAACACGAGCAGTGTCCGTCTGTCCCACCCAGGAGCCTCCAACACGAGCAGTGTCCGTCTGTCCCACCCAGGAGCCTCCAACACGAGCAGTGTCCGTCTGTCCCACCCAGGAGCCTCCAACACGAGCAGTGTCCGTCTGTCCCACCCAGGAGCCTCCAACACGAGCAGTGTCCGTCTGTCCCACCCAGGAGCCTCCAACACGAGCAGTGTCCGTCTGTTCCACCCAGGAGCCTCCAACACAAGCAGTGTCCGTCTGTCCCACCCAGGAGCCTCCAACACGAGCAGTGTCCGTCTGTCCCACCCAGGAGCCTCCAACACGGGCAGTGTCCGTCTGTCCCACCCAGGAGCCTCCAACACGAGCAGTGTCCGTCTGTCCCACCCAGGAGCCTCCAACACGAGCAGTGTCCGTCTGTCCCACCCAGGAGCCTCCAACACAAGCAGTGTCCGTCTGTCCCACCCAGGAGCCTCCAACACAAGCAGTGTTCATGTACAGCAGCTGGCAATTGGGTGAAATGACTGTTGCTTTACCACACTTGTGTTGAAGGTTGTTCAGTTAATGGAGAAGGAGAAATCTCCCTACTATCACAGACTTTAGATCACATCTGTCTTGCTGAATCCTCATTTACACATTATCCCTAAATCTTGTCCCATGTTTGAAATCTCCAATGCATCACTTAGGGCCTGTTGAAAGCAGCAGATTCACCTGCAAACACAATATATTCAAGGTTCATACAGATAGGGAACACTAAAATTCAAGGCTTCAGTAAACTATGGTTATAACAAACTCAGTGCGTGTTCGTTATAAACATAGTTTATTGTATTTAGTTTGGTTTTTAGCTTTAGTCTGTCATTATCTTTTTAAATCCAGCATTAGTCTTAAGACCTAAAAGCAATATGAACACAAGTATATGTCACTGCGTACAAATTCAAGGCTTTTCAAGCTATTAGGTGATTTTCAAGGTTGACAAAAAAATGAAGGGTTTCTAAAACGGACCTTAGAATTAAAGGCCTTTGCAAGCCTTTACGGACCTTGATATTGACTGGCTGTGATATGTATGTGTGTCTGCACACAGGCTGTGATTTGAATATCATATCAGGACACATGGGGCATGATACAGTCTGTATTCTTAATGACCCTATGTCCAACTCACCTGTTCTGCACTGGGACAGGCAATGATCCTATGTCCAACTCACCTGTTCTGCACTGGGACAGGCAATGATCCTATGTCCAACTCACCTGTTCTGCACTGGGACAGGCAGTGATCCTATGTCCAACTCACCTGTTCTGCACTGGGACAGGCAGTGATCCTATGTCCAACTCACCTGTTCTGCACTGGGACAGGCAATGATCCTATGTCCAACTCACCTGTTCTGCACTGGGACAGGCAATGATCCTATGTCCAACTCACCTGTTCTGCACTGGGACAGGCAGTGATCCTATGTCCAACTCACCTGTTCTGCACTGGGACAGGCAATGATCCTATGTCCAACTCACCTGTTCTGCACTGGGACAGACTATGATCCTATGTCCAACTCACCTGTTCTGCACTGGGACAGGCAATGATCCTATGTCCAACTCACCTGTTCTGCACTGGGACAGGCAATGATCCTATGTCCAACTCACCTGTTCTGCACTGGGACAGACTATGATCTATGTCCAACTCACCTGTTCTGCACTGGGACAGGCAATGATCTGTACGTCCTCTTCTGTGTAGTTGTCTGTGAGGAGCTGGGTAAGCTGCTGGAAACTCTGTTGTACATTCACCTAAAATATGGACAATGATTGTTGCCATCTACAAATACTTCATCTTCGTAATTTTTCCTTGACAAAACTTTTATCAACTTCAAGTGAACTCTTACTGTTACTCCTTATACTTCCTCTGAAACTCATTCACAAATGGCTTAATCAAAGAAGTGGGCAAGCAATGTAGTATCGGTAATACCATTGTTTGCCTGTAAAACATTATGAGGCAGTGCATACCAACAGGTGTAAAATATGACATGCTAGATCAGCTAGTGTTACCTTTATGGGCCTAAACAGGATTGACTCTGTGTCCCTGTTGGCCAGATATAGGGACATACTGCGATGGACAGAGGGCAGTTTGGTCTTCACATTTTTGTATGTCTCGGCCACAACATCATGAACCTTTTCTGGGGTGGCAAACGGCTGCTGTCTCAGTTTCACATTCTGTCCAACTTGTTCCTGCTTCATCTTCACGATCACCTCGGCCTGTAACACAGCTTCAAATAGCTAGAGGACATACAGAAACACAGCAACTTGTAGTGTATGGCTTCAAATAGTTGGGGACGTACAGAAACACAGCAACTTGTAGTGTATGGCTTCAAATAGCAATAGCTAGAGGACATACAGGAACACAGCAAGTTGTGGTGTATGGCTTCAAATAGCTAGAGGACATACAGGAACACAGCAACTTGTAGTGTATGGCTTCAAATAGCAATAGCTAGAGGACATACAGGAACACAGCAAGTTGTGGTGTATGGCTTCAAATAGCTAGAGGACATACAGGAACACAGCAAGTTGTAGTGTATGGCTTCAAATAGCAATAGCTAGAGGACATACAGGAACACAGCAAGTTGTAGTGTATGGCTTCAAATAGCTAGAGGACATACAGGAGCACAGCAAGTTGTAGTGTATGGCTTCAAATAGCAAAAGCTAGAGGACATACAGGAACAGCAAGTTGTGGGGTATGGCTTCAAATAGCAATAGCTAGAGGACATACAGAAACAGCAACTTGTAGTGTATGGCTTCAAATAGTTAGAGGACATACAGGAACACAGCAAGTTGAAGTGTATGGCTTCAAATAGCAATAGCTAGAGGACATACAGGACACAGCAACTTGTAGTGTATGGCTTCAAATAGCTAGAGGACATACAGGAACACAGCAAGTTGTAGTGTATGGCTTCAAATAGCTAGAGGACATACAGGAACACAGCAAGTTGTAATGTATGGCTTCAAATAGCTAGAGGACATACAGGAACACAGCAACTCATAGTGTATGGCTTCAAATAGCTAGAGGACATACAGGAACACAGCAAGTTGTAGTGTATGGCTTCAAATAGCTAGAGGACATACAGGAAAACAGCAACTTATAGTGTATGGCTTCAAATAGCTAGAGGACATACAGGAACACAGCAAGTTGTAGTGTATGGCTTCAAATAGCTAGAGGACATACGGGAACACAGCAAGTTGTAATGTATGGCTTCAAATAGCTAGAGGACATACAGGAAAACAGCAACTTATAGTGTATGGCTTCAAATAGCTAGAGGACATACAGGAAAACAGCAACTTATAGTGTATGGCTTCAAATAGCTAGAGGACATACAGGAACACAGCAACTTATAGTGTATGGCTTCAAATAGTTAGAGGACATACAGGAAAACAGCAACTTATAGTGTATGGCTTCAAATAGTTAGATGACATACAGGAAAACAGCAAGAGGTAGTGTATGGCTTCAAATAGCTAGAGGACATACAGAAACACAGCAACTTGTAATGTATGGCATCAAATAGCTAGAGGACATATAGGAACACAGCAACTTGTAGTTTATGGCTTCAAATAGTTAGAGGACATACAGGAGCACAGCAACTTGTAGTGTATGGCTTCAAATAGCAATAGCTAGAGGACATACAGGAGCACAGCAAGTTGTAGGTAAAGGCTTCAAATTGTTTGAGGACATACAGGCACACAACAAGTTGTAGGTAAAGGCTTCAATTTGTTAGAGGACATACAGGAACACAGCAAGTTGTAGTGTATGGCTTCAAATAGCTAGAGGACATACAGGAAAACAGCAACTTATAGTGTATGGCTTCAATTGGCTAGAGGACATACAGGAACACAGCAAGTTGTAGTGTATGGCTTCAAATAGCTAGAGGACATACAGGAACACAGCAAGTTGTAGTGTATGGCTTCAAATAGTTAGAGGACATACAGAAACAGCAACTTGTAGTGTATGGCTTCAAATAGCTAGAGGACATACAGGAATACAGCAACTTGTAGTGTATAACTTCAAATAGCTAGAGGACATACAGGAACACAGCAACCTTGTAGTGTATGGCTTCAAATAGCAGAAGGACATGCTGTAATAGCAAGTTGCAGCTTATGGCTTCAAATAGGTAAAGAACACACTTCAACAGCAAGTTGTAGTGTATGGCTTCAAATAGCTAAAGGACATGCTGTAACAACAAGTTGTAGTGTATGGCTTCAAATAGCTAGAGGACATACAGGAATACAGCAACTTGTAGTGTATAACTTCAAATAGCTAGAGGACATACAGGAACACAGCAACCTTGTAGTGTATGGCTTCCAATAGCTAGAGGACATACAGGAAAACAGCAAGAGGTAGTGTATGGCTTCCAATAGCTAGAGGACATGCTGTAACAACAAGTTGTAGTGTATGGCTTCCAATAGCTAGAGGACATGCTGTAACAACAAATTGTAGTGTATGGCTTTTATGGGTAAAGAACATACTTCAACAGCAACCTTGTAGTGTATGGCTTCCAATAGCTAGAGGACATGCTGTAACAGCAGGTTGTAGTGTATGGCTTCCAATAGCTAGAGGACATAAAGTAACAGTTGACATTGTAGTCCACTGGCATATGAAAAACTCTGATCCCGATTTCAATGATGTTGCACTCAAATTAGAATCAACCCTCGCAGGATTTATGCTCTACGAAAGAACTGTGTTGCATGTCAGCAGAACTTTATAACCTGCCTTTCGGTATTTCAGGTACATTTCATAGAATTTTAAGCATCATCATACCTAGAAGAAGCACCAGAACATGTGGCATAACCCTGATTAATTCTACAGTCAGCACATAGGTAACAGGCTGTCAGAGCTCCAGATAAGCTTTTGGTGTTGTGGGTATTTTCTCCATGCATTTCAAAATCATTGGGTATCAGTAATTCTATCTGGGTATTCAAATTTCTGTTACCCACTAGTTTTTACACATGTGGGTATTTAAGTTAAATATTTAAAAACACTATTCATCTATTCTCTGCAAACTGGTGTCGTGTGGGTTCGAGAGCTCTATAGGACTCAAAAATACTACGATACTTCCACAAGAATGTGTGATGGCAAATGATCATGATGTAACTGTCATCGTGAAGTTTGGCAAGTATGACGGAATGCCCGTTTATAATTTCAAAATAAGTTGCTGATTTGCAAATCGAATACGCAGGGTTACTTCACAATATTTTGATGATACGCACAAGTTTTATTTTTGTAGCATATCTGTAATGTTCGTTGCGTATTTGATACGTTTGGATATTATTTTAATGCGTATTTCTGCATTTCTGATGCGTATTTTACGCAGATACGCAGCTTATCTGGAGCTCTGGGCTGTGGTGGTCGTGTTATATGTAGTGAGTAGGGGTTTGCCCATACTGAAGCAGTTCACTTGGCGATGTGTAAACTACAGGAAACATAGAGACATGCTCCATCCCTCAAACCATTATTGGTGCCACTTCCCCCACACTTTAAGTTTAACATCAAGTCATGGCCACTGTTGTGTCATAATCACAATCCTAGCAGAAATTATAATCATGGCAAGATGTAATGGGAATACATCTTTCGCCAACTTCTGAAATTTATCAAACACGAGCTTGGTATCACAGCTATAATTTGATTGGCTGCCTGAGGTCACGTGGTCAAAATTGACCAATCACGAAACTTGTAGCAGATTTCGGCAAGAAAGCGTCATTAGAAACAAATTTTAATCCAATGAAATCGCTTGTTATAACTCCGAAAAAAAAAACAGGCGATGTTACGAAAGCGCGATTACGAAATTTCTCTCAGCTAAATTACTGTACCATTTTACCCCTGAGTGGCATTGATTGGTCATGTTGCTTAAAATACGGAAAACTAGAGTTTTGACCAGCACTATGCGCATTCATACATATTCATACAAATATAGATACACATTCAAGCCAGATTAATTGGTTTGATACAGTTACTTGATCCGAATCAAAAGGAATGACCGCCGTGTTGTGACAGCAACTACATGTGAGTTGACAGTGTCGCCTCAAATTGGATTGCCCACTAATTATGAATATAAACTTCGTTTGTGGTTCTCTTTTATTGCATGCAAGCGCTTCTAAGATCAAAGGATGTATAGTGTGAAAAGTTAACTAGTTGAACAATCGTATTTCCGGGACTTGCCGCGGATATCTCAAACAGATTATTAGAACTCCATTCAGCGATAAACGGTTGATTATGCAATGAGAAGCGTTATGTGCAAATGAACAACGAACAACAATACAAATATGTCTGTGTAAAACTCTCAGTATTAAAAGTGTACATAAATTTTGGGAGCCATGTGTTACCGTGCGTAGTAACCGAGGTAGCGCTTTATCGAAGAGCACTGTATATAGTCTCACCCTTGACAGGAAGGTCTGGAGAGGTCCTGTGAACGTCTCGGAGACATGGTGGATGAAATCTTCACATGTTTTCTTCAGATGCTGATCCACGTCACGCTTGGAGTCCACAAAGTACTCAGTAACCTGGGGCGTACCCTGCACAGTACAGAGAAAAGTATTACTAAACTTGCTTGTAATTATGTAATTGAAACTAAACAAACAGCTATCTGTGAATATTCACAGAGAAAGAAAGAAATATTTAACACAATTCTAAGATCATAGGCTGTCGACAATATCCTTTTCAAGTGTTGGATGTTTAATTGTTGGCTCCTTCTGTTGTGTGACAGAGAGAGATCTCTGTGATTGTGATTGTGAGTGTGTGTGTGTGTGTGTGTGTGTGTGTGTGTGTGTGTGTGTGTGTGTGTGTGTGTGTGCGTGTGCGCGAGTGTGTGTGTGTGTGTGCGTGTGTGAGTGTGTGTGTGTGTGTGTGTGAGAGACAGAGAGAGAATTAACTTCATCCTTAAGTCTGTATCCAAATGGTATGTTTGTACCTTAGCCGGACCATCAACCAACCTACATCTCATGATCCATTATTACATATAGAATATCAACAAACCTGCATGCAATCCTCGTTACTCTCTGGTAATAAAAAGTGTTAAGTGTATATCTGGATATATGTTTGTAATATATTTATTTAATTCAAAATGTCATTCAATAATGTTCCCATTAATTTTGACTAAATTGTATGTCCCTCCAATACTTACAGCTTCTGTTTACTCTGGTCCATAGGATTCGGTTTACCACATACCATGACAGCACCAACTAACATTATCATCAACCACGATCTTATTACTGCTTCCTGAATCTGACGAATTCCTTTTCTGCCTACAGTTGAGTCTGAGTCAATTCAAACCTGGTTATGTCAAAGGCTATTCCTAGTCCTTGAGTCAACTGTATCTAGTATCCCTATTTTCAAGGGCCACAACATGTTTTCACTAGTATATGTGAAACCTATGTATGATGTATATACACCAAAGGCAGCACTCACGCTGAGAACAAACTGCAGCAAGGCATTGTTGCTGTTGAGAGCAAACAGTTGTCCTTTCTTCTGAATGAGACTGTAGGCTGCATCTGCAACACAGGGACAAGTCATACAGTTCTCTGATGCCACAGCAGAGAGGTCTTAATACATCATGTGGGGGTCAGTTCTCAAGTTCTTGTACAACTATTTCTTGTATAACTTGTACAGGGATTTGCAATAGCCTCTTTGAAGAGCAAGCTATGAGGGCTCAATTGTAATTTGTAGTGAACGACATGATACAATACTATGAAAGTCTGTGACCTTAGCCACAAGAATAGTAAAATTCAGCCTGGTCTTGTAAGCTCAGCTTATAACAGTCTATACATGAACACTAAAATTACTGAAAGAGCCATGCTCGGGCTCGTAGGCTCAAACATTATTGGCACAGACTACCATGAACACAATACACATACAATACTTCTTTACAGTGACATAGGCAACATGGATGCCCCTTTGGAAGACCCAACACAGACAGGACAGCAGACACATGCATCTTTCACCACAGGCCTTTACATATCATATCAGCTCAAATCATTCAAATAGACAACATATTCACTGAGCAAACAACCAAACAAGTGTTACTGACATTTTGACCAACCCCTGACACTGGTTACTATGTCTAGAATACACTATCCGTGTTAGTACGGCCCCGCTGTAAATGTATGTGGTGTGTTAATACTACCAGTCACAACATCCTCCTGGTGTGGTGATACTTACTACAAGCAGAACAACATAGTGAATAAACACTGCTTTAAATCAGCTATAATGTGTCATTACTAAATAAACAAGTTTGATTAAAGCTGCCTTGTTATATCCTGAGAGGTGTTAACCTACATCTTGACTGTAAATCCAATTTAAAACCATTAAATTAGATATAAACCTATTCTGTTTGGAATTTTGATTTTGTCGTACTGTAGATCATGTAGATTAGATACCTTTTGTTCTTATTCGGAACTGATTGATTTTAGCACAAAGCTTCAAGAGTTTTATCTGAGGGCACCACATGCAATGTTTCAAAGAGCCTGCATGAGAAAGGTTGAAAAAGCACCCAACTTAAATGAAAGTATGATCTGTCCCCAAACTTAAGCTTATCTATCATGTTTACTCCACCAAATGTAAAGCTTGTTTACTGTATTTGTGTGTGTATAATGCACAGTTTTCCCCAAAAATATACAGCTGTGTAAAGAAAGGTGCATATTTATACCTACATTGTACATGCAGACAAAGACATTGTGTCCCACTTTCCCCACCGAGACAAATGGTAGGTATGCAAACTTTGCAAAACAGGGTGTATGTGGCTATATTCAGTGAGTTTGAGGAAGTGGAGTAATTCTGCAGTTTTTACAGCGGAGCTCAGTGAAGTGCAGGCTTGAGCTGACTGAGGCTGGTGCAGAGCATGCAACCCATGTCTGGTCATCAGTTCCGGGGAAGTGGGTCTGATGACTAGGTTATTTTCACAATTCTAGTATTAGTACTATACACATATTGCAGCTTTCTGTTAAGAAATCCCCATGGGAATTCCTTTGATTAAAATGTTGAGCATTACTTGTCACATAGATATACATTAACTATATATATTCCCAGTGTGGAGAGCTTAGCATGAAGGACATGCACATGCTGAGTTCCCCAGCTAGAGAAGGACGGCAGTCAGTGATTGCTGCTTGTCTTAATTCAGATTATTGTCATGATCAGCAATAGAAATTGGCACTAGGCCTAAATTGCCAAATAGTTAAAGCATCACAAGGACTAGTAGAAATTTGCCATTATTAAGGGTTTTGCTATCTGTTATCATTTTAGGACTAGTGGACTAAAAATTTTCTACTGCTGTCATATCATGCAGTGTTTCCAAAAACACAAAGAAAGCAAACACCTAACAAATGAGTTACTTGCTATGTGAAATAATTCTGACATCAAGTCTGATATGTAAACATGCTTTAAAACCAAAATAACACGCAAGCTGTTCTAAAAAAACCCTGTTCCAAACCTAATGAATCTTTAAAACTGCATTATTAGGAATTTCTTGATTCCCAAACTGATTTATTAAATGCATGGTGCTCAGAGCATTAAATGTACAGTAAATATGAGGTGTCTTAATTATTACTACATATTTTGAAAATAAATGACAACATTTGAATGAAGACAAAGCATTCAACAGACATCATGGAATAATGTAACATGACCAGATTATGTCAGAGATTATTCCATGGCATACATTGGATGATGTTTTGTTACATCATTACAAAGGCACAGGCACAACAAAGGGAGGTAACTGACCAACCCAGCTGACATACCTACAAATACCCCAAGTCCTAGGCTCCCATCTTTACTGGCCATGTCTGCAGGGAATACAACGGCAGTGTTAGAAACTAAAGAAGGTCCCAGGATCCTTGATGTGATATTCAGCTAAAGAATCCCGATCTATGTGCCCCTACGTATTCAGGCCTTAGCATTATTGTCATGACATGGAGACCTTGACGATCATCCCTACTTGTTGACTTCCTTCCCTACTTGTTGACTTCCATCCCTACTTGTTGACTTCCATCCCTACTTGTTGACTTCCATCCCTACTTGTTGACTCTGACTTCCGTCCCTACTTGTTGACTTCCATCCCTACTTGTTGACTCTGACTTCCGTCCCTACTTGTTGACTTCCATCCCTACTTGTTGACTCTGACTTCCGTCCCTACTTGTTGACACTGACTTCCGTCCCCACTTGTTGACACTGACTTCCATCCCTACTTGTTGACACTGACTTCCATCCCTACTTGTTGACTTCCATCCCTACTTGTTGACTCTGACTTCCGTCCCTACTTGTTGACTTCCATCCCTACTTGTTGACTCTGACTTCCGTCCCTACTTGTTGACACTGACTTCCGTCCCCACTTGTTGACACTGACTTCCATCCCTACTTGTTGACACACACTTCCAAACCTACTTGTTGACACTGACTTTGATCCCTACATGTTGACACTGACTTCCGTCCCTACTTGTTCACACAGACTTCCGACCCCACTTGTTGACACTGACTTTCATCCCTACTTGTTGACACTGACTTCCATCCCTACTTGTTGACTTCCATCCCTACTTGTTGACACAGACTTCCGTCCCTACTTGTTGACACTGACTTCCGTCCCCACTTGTTGACACTGACTTCCATCCCTACTTGTTGACACTGACTTCCGACCCCACTTGTTGACACTGACTTTCATCCCTACTTGTTGACACTGACTTCCATCCCTACTTGTTGACTTCCATCCCTACTTGTTGACACAGACTTCCGTCCCTACTTGTTGACACTGACTTCCGTCCCTACTTGTTGACACTGACTTCCATCCCTACTTGTTGACACTGACTTCCGTCCCCACTTGTTGACACTGACTTCCATCCCTACTTGTTGACACTGACTTCCGTCCCCACTTGTTGACACTGACTTCCGACCCCACTTGTTGACACTGACTTCCGTCCCTACTTGTTGACACTGACTTCCATCCCTACTTGTTGACACTGACTTCCGTCCCCACTTGTTGACACTGACTTCCATCCCTACTTGTTGACACTGACTTCCATCCCTACTTGTTGACACTGACTTCCATCCCTACTTGTTGACACTGACTTCCATCCCCACTTGTTGACACTGACTTCCATCCCTACTTGTTGACACTGACTTCCATCCCTACTTGTTGACACTGACTTCCGTCCCTACTTGTTGACACTGACTTCCGTCCCCACTTGTTGACACTGACTTCCATCCCTACTTGTTGACTTCCGTCCCCACTTGTTGACACTGACTTCCGTCCCCACTTGTTGACACTGACTTCCGTCCCCACTTGTTGACACTGACTTCCGTCCCTACTTGTTGACACTGACTTCCGTCCCCACTTGTTGACACTGACTTCCGTCCCACTTGTTGACACACACATCCGTCCCTACTTGTTGACACACACTTCCGTCCCTACTTGTTGACACACACTTCCGTCCCTACTTGTTGACACACACTTCCGTCCCTACTTGTTGACACACACTTCCGTCCCTACTTGTTGACACACACTTCCGTCCCTACTTGTTGACACACACATCCGTCCCTACTTGTTGACACACACTTCTGTCCCTACTTGTTGACACACACTTCCGTCCCTATTTCTTGACACACACTTCTGTCCCACTTGTTGACACACACTTCCGTCCCTACTTGTTGACACACACATCCGTCCCTACTTGTTGACACACACTTCTGTCCATACTTGTTGACACACACTTCCGTCCCTACTTGTTGACACACACTTCTGTCCCTACTTGTTGACACACACTTCCGTCCCTACTTGTTGACACACACATCCGTCCCTACTTGTTGGCACACACTTCTGTCCCTACTTGTTGACACACACTTCTGTCCCTACTTGTTGACACACACTTCTGTCCCTACTTGTTGACACACACTTCCGTCCCTACTTGTTGACACACACTTCCGTCCCTACTTGTTGACACACACTTCTGTCCCTACTTGTTGACACACACTTCTGTCCCTACTTGTTGACACACACTTCCGTCCCTACTTGTTGACACACACTTCTGTCCCTACTTGTTGACACACACTTCTGTCCCTACTTGTTGACACACACTTCTGTCCCTACTTGTTGACACACACTTCCGTCCCTACTTGTTGACACACACTTCTGTCCCTACTTGTTGACACACACTTCTGTCCCTACTTGTTGACACACACTTCTGTCCCTACTTGTTGACACACACTTCCGTCCCTACTTGTTGAAATATTGCTGCAGGATGCAGTGGACCTTACTTTCTTTAGTGGGCAAAAAGTACTCTTCCTTGGGGTTGAACTTATATTTTGATCTAGCTCATCTATTTAGGTTGGTTTAGGAAGGACAGACACTGGTGAACCAGGGTTATACAATCTAAAGGTGACTGTCATGAGACAACTAACAGTGTCTACAAATGAGAACACAATGCAAACATCTTCACTATGTCAATGATAAACTGTTACACAAATAAAATTGCAAAATTGAAAATTAAGTATTCTTAACGTAAAATGTAATGATCGAGATCCAGATCCAAGCTCCACACAAAAGTAAGTGTTGTAGCAAAGCAAACAGCTCTTGTACTGCATGCAAAGGGGCATCAATGCGTATACCTATATTAGTCAAGACTGGTGGCAACTCTTTGAAAGAAGACAAACAAAATTTACTGTCACATACCTTGCCAAAGGCTTACATTCGACTGGCATCAATTAAAGTTTAAGTACCTACCTTTAAACTTGCTGAAGTCCAAATGTGTTTCCCTTATGGCAAAGTCAGCATGAAATGGAGCTATCTGTTCCCGTAGTATCAACAAGTGCTTGATAAGAAACAACTCTCCATCCATAACGGTCTTTCTCTTGATGATTCCATCCTTGGCTGCAGAGAGTGAGTGTATGCAGGCTGACAGCGCCTCCTGAGACAAGCCCTGGAATGTGGTCCTCTGTGGATAAGCAAAGATGTATACACAAACTGTCAGGGCAGTGTGAGTGCATATATAGGCTAACACAGGTACGTCATGCTCTACTCACATCAATGCATCGGTATAACTTGGACAGCGTGACCAACGTACGACGGACAGTTGGGTACCACATCCCGTGCAGATCCGCTGGAGACATGGGCATGTTGCTTGTTGGGTTGTCTGGAATACAGAGAAAGTTGCTCTTATCAGGGATTGGTCAGTTTACAAAAGAAATGTCTTCATTCAGATTTTGGATATGACACCTACATCTCATCTACATATAACATAGATATATAGGTCATGTGCTCAGGAAATCATTCTAGACTTGATTTTTCGTCTGACTGTCTAAGCCACGGGTAAAGTTCAAGCAAATTCCTTTGAAACAAGCAACATGCACACTTAGTTTTGGGGTCTTGACAGGTTAGCTTGCAAAATATCAGCACTATTTGTTCTATTATGATCATTTGTCTTTCGTTTCTTTATTGGCCATGATTCGCCAGTTCCTCGAAATACCATTGGCTACCAATGGTGATATGTACCAATCATTTTGGCGCAGACACCTGACAGTTTTCATGGGCACCATATTGTGTATAATGATTGCTTACACAGGGTGCAGAGTAAAAAACTGTGATATGGCTCCATACAAAGCCACATATGGAGTGCTCTAACCATGTTTATAAACCTATAGACCTTGATCATGGTTGAACATTTTCAACCAAAAACGAGGAGTTTCACTTGTATTTGTAAGTGCTTGATTTGGAGTTTTATTGTAGGTTACAATCAAAACAAACTCACATTGTTTCAGCATCAGGATACTTTATTTGTTTAATTAGACTGGAATTAATTTAAGCACAGTGCGGCACAGCCTAGAATGAACACTTTAAGTTGTCAACCAATCTCAAGGGGTATATGGTGTGATGTACCCTGTGCGTGAGCCTATGTACCCCCAGCAACCAGGGATCGGTTGACAACAAATTTATCTTAAACACATTCATCATACAGGTCTAGAATATATGCCCACAGTTTCACAGAGTTAACAAAACTTGAAGCAAATGATGCAAACGAACCGAGTTACTTCACTTTACCCAATGCATTTGGATAAACATTGGTTCAGTTAAACTCAACAATACTTATTTGGGATATGCAAGTTACCTAAGATGTGTTTCTACTGATTTCTCAGCGGGCTACATATGCAGGCTACATGGAAAATAACTGCCCACTCCCTAACCAATCAGTATTTTTATGTAAGGTGAGACAATGTGTACTGTTTAAGTCCCTACCTCTACTGGGCTCATTGAGGGGCACTGTCTGCATCTCAGTCTCGGTGGCTGTTAGCTGTGCTACCTCCTGGCTGGTGCTGGAGGCATTAGACGGGGTGCGCGAATGGGTCTTGTTACTCTGCTGTCCCTTCTTGATACTCTCAGCAATACTCTGGACAACAATGATATTAGCTCGTACACATACCATAGTGTTGCCTATAGTGTGGTGATCCTGTCACCATCATTAGCCAAGATATCTGCTGTGTCAACCATTGAGGAACGGTAACAATTCCACACATAACCTGACATCTTCTCTCATACCACTTACTTCATGAATAGTTAAAATTAATAATTATAATAATATGAAACAAAAACAAAATTTTCTAATGTACATTTGCAGTGGAAATAGGTTAATCATTAACTGAAAGATTGATATATAATACATCATAAAATGTCAGGTCAGATGACCTAACCTTTGGGTCAGCAGATATGAATGGCTACAATTGTCTGAACTGGTACGAACCATGCTAACCTAGTGTCTCTTTAGGCCATTGAATTTTTCAACTTGTAAAACTTGCTAAACTCACTATGAGAGTACAGTCAATAAGAGATAACCTGGAAAGAAAGCACTTTCCCTTCTGTTTGAACATTGTAATGTGTAGGTTGTCCACATACCATGCATACTGTCCACATTAACAGTCCTGGAGTTGACCTACCTCCATCATCTCCAGCTTCTCGGGGTAGGCCAGGTCCCCTGATGCAGCGGAGTACTGGAAGATGTCCGCCTTCACATAGATGTACGACCGGTACACCAGTCTCTCCTGCACGTCCATCAACATCTGCTTACAAATACACTCAAACGCCCCCAGCTCCTGGGCTGAAATACACCATCATAGCATGGCAATATACGTCTGTGTGTGAATAGTCTCTCATTTAGGTTACATCACTGCATGCTAAGTTAATGTCGGACTAGCCCTCAAATTACACCGATCATAGTTGTTTACCACTATGGTGAAATGAATGAACACGGGCATGATGGTGCCAAATTAAATAGCCTTTATTAGGGTGAACGTGGGACTCAAAATCTCAGCCAGCCGATCCTGGCATGGCTAAGGGAAGCAAGACCACCTGGGCCCCCAGTGACAATCACAGCACAACAATCCTTATAGGAATACAATACAATGATTATCAGACAGATTCAGGCTAAGAGATCCAATCACCACACATTCCAAACAGCAGGTGTGACCACCTAATCAAGACTACAATCAATCCTGGGGGCACCTCTTAGTCCTGTTTAGTGACTGTATGAAGTTAACCCTGGCAGAGGAAAGTGTTCCTGTTTGGACTCACGGTTGTTCATGACATGTTCTTCCATCATCTCCAACTTGAGGATGCTGCAAAGCTCAGACAGAGTCTCCAGATGGTTGACATGGATAATGAGGGGACGCAGCACGTCGTACAGGTTGTTACACAACCGCTCCAACATATCACTGTCAACACAGTTAATACATCACAGATGTGCTTACATATAACTGTCATAACAGTCGGAACATCACAGATGTGCCAACATATCACTGTCAATACAGTTAATACATCACACATGAGCCAATATATCACTGTCAACACAGTTAATACATCACAGATGGGCTTACATATCACTGTCGATAGTCAATACAACACAGAGGAGCCAACATATCACTGCCAATAGTCAATGCATCACAGATGTGCCAACATATCACTGCCGATAGTCAATACATCACAGATGTGCCAACATATCACTGCTGATAGTCAATACATCACAGATGAGCTAACATATCACTGCTGATAGTCAATACATCACAGATGTGCCAACATATCACTGCTGATAGTCAATACATCACAGATGAGCTAACATATCACTGCTGATAGTCAATACATCACAGATGTGACAACATATCACTGCCGATAGTCAATACATCACAGATGTGACAACATATCACTGTCAATACAGTCGAAACATCACAAACACTCCAACATATCACTGTCAATACAGTTAATACATCACACATGAGCCAATATATCACTGCTGATAGTCAATACAACACAGATGAGCCAACATATCACTGCCTATAGTCAATGCATCACAGATGTGCCAACATATCACTGCCGATAGTCAATACATCACAGATGTGCCAACATATCACTGCTGATAGTCAATACATCACAGATGAGCTAACATATCACTGCTGATAGTCAATACATCACAGATGTGCCAACATATCACTGCTGATAGTCAATACATCACAGATGAGCTAACATATCACTGCTGATAGTCAATACATCACAGATGTGACAACATATCACTGCCGATAGTCAATACATCACAGATGTGACAACATATCACTGTCAATACAGTCGAAACATCACAAACACTCCAACATATCACTGTCAATACAGTTAATACATCACACATGAGCCAATATATCACTGCTGATAGTCAATACAACACAGATGAGCCAACATATCACTGCCTATAGTCAATGCATCACAGATGTGCCAACATATCACTGCCGATAGTCAATACATCACAGATGTGCCAACATATCACTGCCAATAGTCAATACATCACAGATGTGCCAACATATCACTGTCGATAGTCAATACATCGCAGATGTGCCAACATATCACTGTCGATAGTCAATACATCACAGATGTGCCAACATATCACTATCAATACAGTCGAAACATCAGACACTCCAACATATCACTGTCAATACAGTTAATACATCACACATGAGCCAATATATCACTGCCTATACAGTTAATACATCACAGATGTGCCAACATATCACTGCCGATAGTTAATACATCACAGATGTGCCAACATATCACTGTCGATAGTCAATACATCACAGATGTGCCAACATATCACTGTCAATACAGTTAATTAGGCCTGCAACGATACACCTAGGTCACGATATGATATGTATCTCGATACTTACATCACGATTCGATACGTATCTCGATAGGCTACGATACACATAGTGACAAGAGAAGACAAGAGATAAATGAATTAAACTTAGTTTATTAAAATGAAAAATGAAATGAAAGTGATGAATGTTCATGAGTCATAAAATATATACTGTAATGAGTATTTTAACTTAATGAATTATCTGCCATTTCCATGTAACAAACACGAAAGTAACAGTCCTACATATTTGTGAGTTGTGACTAGATGGTAGATTCTAGGAGTAAATACTAAATGTACCAGTGTCCAGTAACTAATGATTTGCCATTTTCGTGAATAAAGGCAAAAAAACCCAATTAAAATCAATTATAGCAACAGCCATGTTATACACCATTTGAAAGGTCTAATCCTAGTGTTTATAAATATGAAAGTTATGTTTATCACATTATTTAAATAATGCATTTACAACTTAATTAAGTTCGTTGTAAATAAAAAAAATGTAAGCTAACACATTCATAACGTCCAGATTAAAGACCAAGGAAGCGAAAATTTACGATTTGGGGCAAATTTAAGATTTCAAAAGATCTACTTATTTCTTTTTTATTTTCATTGTATACGTAATTGGAAAATTATTTTAAAAAGAATAATAAATAGAATCTGTTTTCACTCATTTCCAGATAACAGCGGCTGTCCGCCCAGTAACATGGAGAAATACCTCCGTTTTCGAAAGCTTCGTATGAATAACACGTTTGTCGAAGACTGACATGACACATCGCTAGAAAGCTTGTTTTTTCACCTACACGCTCGTAACATTGCCTTTGTCTTTTTCGTAGCTATAACATAAGATTTCATTGGATAAAATGGTTTCTAATGACAACTTCTTACCGAAATCTGCTACAAGGTTCATGATTGATCAAATTTGAGCACGTGACCTGAGACAGGCAATCAAATTACAAATCCTCGTGTACGATGAATTTCAGATTTTTACGAAATATTTTGGTTAAATCGTGTTATTCTGAACGTTTTTAAGCAGGAAATCGCGATCTATATTAAAAATATGGAGCTTCGTGGATGTTTCATGCTAGGTTACAAGCTGTGACAAAGATTTTTCATGCATATATTTTGGCATTGAACATCGTGTCCGAGCCGAGAATTCGATGCGACGAAAGCCGAGATGTCATTTTACTAACATTACACGGGATCGCACGAAAAGATGGAAATAATAACTTAGCTGTAAGTTTGACCACTCTTAGATATATTTTTGTTGATTTTATTTATCACTTTGTATATATATTTAAAGATTTGCTTGAAACGTCTTTGTTTTGCTCTTTGACATGTTCGATGTGCATCCGAGAATTATACTTTCAATAACATTGCGGGAAATAGTGAATAACTTTTTAATCTATCGATAAAAAAATGATTCATTTTGATAAATTGAAATAGAATACGTATTTCAGACATTGTGAGATGTGATAGATTTAATAAATGAATGGTATGACAGGTAGGTCCATAAAAATATATACTATTTTGAGGTGACTAATGCTTCTTGGCCGGTTTACCGGCCTGCAGTGTCGAAAGAGTTAAAACACATTTAAAACGTATCTGTGATAAAAGTTTATTTACAAAAAAAGACTTACGTATAAACGTCTTTGAAAAAACGTATTGTGAAAAATCGAGATACAGCACCTCACAAATCGCACACCGTATCGTATGGAGTGAATCGTGATGCATCGGTATCCCGGGATATCGTTTCAGCCCTACAGTTAATACATCACAGATGTGCCAACATATCACTGCCGATAGTCAATACATCACAGATGTGCCAACATATCACTGTCAATACAGTCAATACATCACAAATGTACCAACAGTGCTCCAGGTAGATGTTGTATCGGCATATTTTATGGATGAAAACTAGATAAATACGGACAGATTGCAAATTTAAAACCGTATCAAATATGTGGCCAAACAATACTATACACTCTCATGATTAATTGTTACTGTACCTTGTCTATTTATTCTCAAATACATTAATGAAATGATTGTTAAAACTTTTGTTGATTGTACTATGCACTACCTTCTGATTAAACTGAAAATATGTCATTTTGTGTCAGCAGCGAAATGGATTTCCTCCCAATCCCAAGCCTACTTAAGCGTATGTAATAGGTGCGTGACCTAAATTCATTATCTGAAAGCATGTATTACAAGGTTGCAATACACGACAGACAATTAAGTACATAATTGTCAATTCAAATAAGGAAACACACAGAAAGCCGCGCTCATCCACAGGCTGGCTTGCGGGACCCCCACTCCCGTACCAGCGGCTGTGGGAACATTGGATTCAACCCAGATTGACCACCGTGCAAGGTCTGACGCCTGAGGAGTTCGAAATTGCGCTGGGCACACCCCTTAGATAACCGCTTGTGCCGCGATCAGCGGCCCAAGACGGTGGACACCCTCCACGTCTTCATCAGAGACCTTTCTGAGGTAATGATTGGCAAAAACCGAGTCAGAACGCCAGTAACAACCCCGCAATATTCTGTGAACAGATATATTGGAATGTAGGGCAAATGTTGCCGCAAGCGCCCTGATCTCATGCGGGTTTGACCCCGCAACCGGTAACCCCCGAGACCGGTATGCCAGATTGATGACAGAACGAAGCCATAACGCAATCGAGTTGCGAGTTATGTCAGCAGTCCGATTAGGGTTACATGATATGAACAGACGGTCACGCCCTTGTCTGCGTACATTCGAAGCCTTAAGATAATACTTAAGGGCCCTAACCGGACACAGCGATCTGTCCTCGGTATCAGCAGGGTGTGAGATTTCTTTGAGTGATCTTACAGTGAATTCTCTCTCCATTTGGTCAAATTTCTGATTCTTAGCGATGAAGACCATGAGCAGGCCCAGGCGGACCGCTCCTTCGTCGCATCTATCGAATCGTACCTTGGTGACATCAAGTGCGTGAATTTCAGACACACGTGCTGCCGTGGCAAAGGAGAGAAGAAATGCTGTTTTCCAAGTCACATGCCGAAACGTAGCATTTTTCAAGGGTTCATACGGAGATTCAGTAAGCGATTTTAACACCAGGGAAAGATCCCAGGCAGGAGCCCGAAGGCGACCTTTCTTAAGATCTTGCTGTTTGAAACCCTTGATAAAACCCCGAATCACCGGCTCTTTTGAGAGACTGGTACCCATAGCAACGTCTCGTACCGTAGCAACGGAGGAGACATAGTTGGCAATGGAACCCCTGATGAGTTTCCGGGTCTCTCGTAAGTGAGACATGAAACGAGCAATATCCTGCACAGATACCTTATCTGGCGAATGAATGTGAATGAACACCACTTCGTGAAAAAAGCCCAGCGTGCATTATACACCTTCTGGGTGGAATCATGATGCATACTAATGTATGCCTGAGACGCCCGACGAGAAAAACCTTTACTCCTCAGCCGCCAACATCCACGCGTGCAGATTGAAATGCGTTTGGATGAAGCTGACGGGTGTGAGGGTGGATCAGGAGATACGGTCTCAAAGGCAGTGGAA